GTCCTCTAAGCCTGCTAGTAGGCGTAGTTAGTGCGTAGTTACTAGAAATACTTACTAGTAACTACGTATTAACTACCTCTACTTCTAGACTAGTTCTCCTACCAGTCCTCTAAGCCTGCTAGCAGGTTAGGGTTAGCAGATAGGTAGTAATACTTAAAAATAAAAGGGTTATATTTTATTATATAGGAAGAAGCGCATTGTTAGCCTCTATATAGCTACCTAATTTTTACTGCTAGCTAATGCTAAATATATAACTAGTGTTACTTTCTGCCTTTCTTTCTTTAAGGCTTTACACTTATATTTAGTGTTAGCTTAAAACTGCCTATTCTAATTTAGCGTTGGCTTAAAACTTCCTATTCTAATTTAGCGTTAGCTTAAAACTTCCTAATTAAGATTAGCTCTATCTAACTATCTCTAGATATAAAACATTAAATAACTCTTTAAAATTAAGAGATATTATATTAAAACTTTTATAAAAGAGAGTACAGAGCAGAATGTACGTAATAGTAGTAGTATAGTATTGTAAATCTAAGTTCTAACTATAATGTTATTACTGTTAGACCTCTATTTATATTTTAATTTTTGCTATATTCTACTGAATTTTAGAGGTGTCTACAATCTAAAGGGGTATAATAATTTAAATTATAAAAGAACTATAAGAAGGTAATTAAGATATTAAATAAATTTCTATAGTATAAGCTTTAAAGACTTATAAGTATTAAATACTAAAGCTTTAAAAGTTTTATACTTCTAGCCTAAAAGTTAACTAAAGATAAGCTAATAGAAGCTTAAATAGAAATATCTATAATAGCTTAGTACTACTACTAAAATACTCTATATTAAATTCTAGTTCTTTTATATTAGATATTCTAGTCTTGTTTTCTTTCTTACTAAGTAACTTTTATAGTACTAGAAATCTAGATCTAGTAGGTATTTAATCTATATTTAGATAGAGTAGATACTAGGTATATTCTAGAAATACTCTTTTTATCTCTTTAAATACTAGAACCCTAGCCCTCTAGTGCGTATTTATTGCTTACTAAGCAGCTAATAATAGTACTAGAATAATACTTTTATAGTTTAGATTTTATCTAGGTTTTATTTCTATATATTTAGTGTAGGTATCTTTTATTCTTATAGAAAAATACTCTACTTACTCTAAAAAAGATTAGATTTCTTTTACTTACTAATTAAGAGTTTTTATCTTCTAGATTTATAAAGCTCTATTCTTTAAGTATACTAGAGCTTTAAATTATATTAATAGTTATTTATTAAACTTAGTTCTTAATATTTTTAATAGAGTAGAAAAAAATCTATTAAACTTAGTATAAAAAGAAGAGAGTTATAAGATAAGAACTATTTAATTCTAACTCTATAAGCCTAATACTCTATTACTTATAAAAACAATTCCTTTTAAAGTAGTAGACTTATAAAGAAAACTATTATTTATAGAACTCTACTATAGTATATTTAAATAACTTAATATTTAAATAAACCTAAATAATAGCCTTATTTAGTTCTAGTTCTTATTAAACTAATATTTATAGAGTTTTAAATTAAAATTATAGCTCTAAAAATTAATTATCTTAAGCTTAGAGTCTATAATTTCATTTATCTAACCTAGAAACTCTTAAGAGCGTTTGCTACTGCTACGTACGATCCCCTCTTAATTTCCTCTATAATAGGCTTTCCTAACGGCTTCCAGCCCAGCTTACTCTCTGCCTTCGCACCTGATGCACGATTCTCTGCCTGAAGGAACCAAGCAATGTTCTCACCAAACCCAGCCAGAGCTTCCTCGTAACTAATATCTTTGTCTGGTACGTTAACGGAATGGTTGATTGCGGTAAAGATGGCTCCCACAGTGATGTCTGTTTGAGAGCCGGCGTTGAATAGGTCTCCCGCTTCACCCTTCTTGGCAGCCAACAGGAACAGGCGCGCAGCATCATCCACGTGTGTACAGGTGGTACGATTCTTGCCTCCATTGACAGTCGGAAGGCCGCCCATCTTCAGCGCCATTCCCATGAAACGCGCTACGCCGCTGCCGCCTCGGCCGTAAGTGTATGGTGCCACACGTACTGCCATCACTTTGACACCTCGCTTCTTCACTTGAGCCAGCGCGTGTTGTTCGGCCTGGATGCGCACATTGAGATGGCTTGGTTCTGGCGGTGCATCCTCATTGGTTTCGTTGCCATTGGGATCGGCCTGTGCCGACAAGGTGCCCGAAGTAGTGATGAGAGGCTTGTTTGAACCTTCCAGACCGTCGCAGATAGCATCAATGGCGGCGTTGTCGATAGGCAAAGCGTCCTCGTACTTCCCTTGGCCAAAGACATAGGCAGTGGCTAGGTTGATAACGACGTCGGCTTGCTTGCTCTCACTTCTCAGCACGTCGATTGAGGTGAGATCTCCTCGGATCGGTTCAACACCAAGATCTCGCAACTTCGAGTCGCTTTCCTCACTGCGTGATAGGGCGTGGACTTTGTAGCCGTCTGCAATGGCCAGTTCGACAAGTACCCCGCCGAGATAGCCACTGGCGCCGGTTAAGAACAACTGTTGACCGCTCATAGTTGAATACTTGTGTAGGTGCAATTGAATGGAAACAAGCGAAGATGTAAGATGACTTTCTATCAACACAATGGCATGCATGTTATATGAAGGTATTCAATTCCGAGCGATGTAGTTCTTGTGTAAGCTTTACGCCTGTTTCCGCTAATTCCGCGTAACCCCGCCCGTGCCACAGCATTGAGCCGCATAGAGGCTGGTTGTACTAGACAATCGAAACAATGAGATAAACCCCTTGCATGAACCCCTTGCATAAACGTATTGTTAGATCAGTGATCGGTGTCCGATATGCAGCTCTACTCATTGTTCCGAGTTCCGAGTCCCGAGTCCCGAATTCAGAGCTTTCGTACTCGTGAGCAGTATATCGCACAATTCAGACAGTAATTTTGTATTGGTCTTGAGACTCACAAGTTGGGTCGAAAGTTGATGTCTAAATATGTCAAAGATGCATAGACTATTAGGATCACATAGGTTGAATTGAACTCATCGCTGCAAGCACAGTAAACGAACAGTTTCAGAGGATTTATAAATATTATCTCAATGCCTAGCTGCATGTTCAGATTGATTTGATTGTACACAGACTGTGTGCCTTGTAGTAGCACTATGCGGATTCCTGTTTTCCCAATCAGGGTGACGATATAAACACACAGGAGATGCGGTATTCACAAATACAGCTAATAAGCAATGAACAGCGAAAGCTACGATAGATAAAGATCTGTCTTGACTTTTTGAGCATCTAATGAATGTCTTTAACAGAAGGGAAAGGTACATTGAGTAGATGTAGATCCCCTGCAACCGCCTTGAACAGTGGCATATCATAGATCTCGTGGAACCATTCCAGAAGCCGTGGATATTCATCCCGCATCATTTTGTGGAATACCATGACAGCGAATACCAGAGTGCCAACAGTGAAGAGATCGGCCAGTGTCGGTTGATCTCCTCCGACAAGATACCTGCTTTGCTGTAAGCGGTTTTGAAGCACTTTACAGTCTACATGAAATGCGCGTAAGCAGTCTTGACGGTCTTTCCGTACAGTTAGTTTCATGCCCAACAGGGGCAAGATAACCCCGCCAATAGCAGGCAAGAGATCTGAGTTGGCCATGGACATCCATCTAAGGATATCGTAGTAGTCTCTACTAGTAGCGCCGAGTAAAGCTGTGCAGTCGCTTCGGGACGTAACTGTATTTGATAGTCAAGATTGGTGCCTAACGACATGTTTAGAGATGACGTACTGTAGAGTGCAATAGCAATACATTCTGTTAAAACGAACCCATCTGCAGCTACAAAAACCGGGACCTGCCCTAGTGGGTTAAGCAAGAGAAGCTTTTCCTGGTCCTCCTTGTTTTCCTTGTCCAGGTAGACAACGTTTAGGTCCAGGGCCTGGGATTTTGCAACGGCCAGAATAGCGAACGACCTTGGATTCGGCTGGGTTTATGACTTGTATCAGTCTAGTGTCAATCATATTCTCTGACGTTGATATATATTCTCACCTTGTGCGTGTAGAGCGTTCCGAACGACATCGAGCTTCCTGCTTTTTCACTAAGGTAGCGTTGGTAGTTCGTATGCCGGTTTGACTATCTTTTGTTGATCTCAAACCATATAGGTGCGTGGCGAAGCATATTATACTGCCTTCGGTCAAAATCACTCAATGTCTTAGGCCCGATACTTTCCAGTGAGACATCGGCAAGATGCGAACTCGGTAACCGATGGCTGCTAACGGCGGTAATAATCCCAATCTTTGATGTTCGGCTTCTCGGATATGAATAGATAAGCTCTTGTTTCATGACTCGACACCAGAAGCTATAGCAAACTGATCTGCAATTATATGAGCTGATGTCTTGCAAAACTCGAACGCGTTTAGATGATGTACTACAAGCTCAACCTCTTCCAACCCAGAATACAACCAGATTAACACTTCGCTTAGTCCTACGCCTCAAGGACTTCTCACAGCCCAGTGCAGTAAAGTATAGGAATATTACCCATGAATATAGGTGATCTCAAGGTTACATGATAGCAAACCACTTCTTCTCCTTCCGCCTGATTTCAAATGCCACCTTTCCATCCTCTGCCAATTTCTTCAACACCTCATCCATGAGCGGCTCGATTGCCATTTGGCGAACCTGAAGGTCCAGTTCGTTCCCATGCATAACAGTGACCAACTGCTTCACCGTAACACTACTCTTACCGCCGGGAGTACGAACTTGAGATAACGCTCTGAGGACCTGCGTCTCTCGCCGTTCCTTCGTCCTGAGCTCCAGCTCGATCTTTCGTGGCAAATTCTTAATCACCGTACCATGTGCTGGGTAGCCTATCTGGCAATTGTGGGACTGCATGACGCGCAAAGAATCAACCCATACGCTCAACTGCTCAACTGCCGCTGTTCCATGACCAAGGACATTGTCGCCTGTGAACATAGCCATTTCCTCTTCGAGTACGAAGCATGTGTGGTCTTGTGCATGACCGGGGGCGTGGACTGCTCTCAATGTGGCGCCCTCGACGCTGTAAACGCTGCTGTCGGTAATAGGTTGCTGAGATTTGTTGGGCATGTGTTTGTATATTGATCCTTTCAACGTTGGATACATTCGTAAGAGGTCCGGCACACCGCCTGTGTGATCGCCATGCCAATGCGTGAGGAAGACGTGCGAGAGCGTCATGTTGGCGTCTGCAAGCGTTGAAGAAATCAAGTCAGCCCACTCCGGTAGGCCTTGGGCTGTGTCGATGAGCATTCTCTGAGACCCTGTACCTATAATGTAGCAGTTCGTGCCCTGTAAAGTGAATTTTCCGGCATTCTGACCCAGGACACGGATTACACGTGGACTAAGCACCTCGACGTCGGCGATCTCAGGTAGGCGTGAGAGTTGGGTGTCAAGATAGTCTTGAAATGCGCAGATGTTGAGCGCCTTGTTGATCTGGCGGTAACCTCCTCTATGCTTCTCGGGACTTGGAGGTTGTACAGCCATGACTCGGTGCTTCTGGAAAATTGATATTCGAAAGTAGAGGTGAGGGCGACTTGGGTTTCACAAGACTTCAGCAAGAGATGAACGAGGATCAAAGAATTCGGACTTTTTGCTAAACCGGTCAGGCAGAGGCTAATCATGTATTGAGGCTCATCAACCTCGGACCGAAACGGACTTGAGATTCGAGCTGACTGCATATCTTGAGGCCTGATATGTATGCAATGCCGAGCCCCGATTGAGTCGCTGCCTGACAGCGTGCACAGCTTATGCGTCCCACATTGAGAAGCTGGTTTCAGCATCAGATAGGCGTTATGTAGTCTAAGGTTCCCAAGTTGAGATAAACCACAAAGAGTATTCTCAAGTTATACGTTCCCCATATAGTCACTAGCTTGCGACAGTTTTACGATATAACAGTCACGATTCTGTTCCTGTTTGCGATGGTTCCTCACGCAGTCACGATTAACGCACCTGGCGACAACCATGAATTCGATGCAGAAAATTGGACGTCCACTTCCAGTCAAAACCCTGATGAGTTTGCATTACCAGAACGCCATCCCAATACGGGCGTTAATGTGCTTGTGGTCGGAGCTGGTATGGGTGGACTGATGACGACTCTGGAATGCTGGAGAAAGGGGCATAATATAGTTGGGATTCTGGAACGAAACGATGGTCCTGTATACTCAGGTACGTCCAATCTTGGTCTCTTCTTTTCCCTCAAGCCGGAGAGATGATAGATTCTCTAACATGTACAACGGAATACAGGAGACATCATTGTCATGCTTCCGTCGGCCGTTTCCGTCATACGCCACTGGCCCGCGATGCAACGCGATATGGAAACCGAGCAAGTCAGTGCCTCAGTGAGCTACGAAAAACACAGCGGAGAACATATCTACGGGCCCACTGTACCATCGTACAACGATCCAGAACACATAGCATCCCGAAGAGGAAAGGGACCATCTGTGGCTCCAGCCCAGATTCGCAGCAAGTTCTACCGAATGCTGTTGCGACAGGTCGCCAAGCTTGGATTCACGATCGAGTACGGTAAGACAGTGCGTGACTACTTCGAGAACGAAGCCGCTGGGACAGGCGGAGTCGTTCTCCAGAATGGTGACGTGCGAATGGCAGATGTTGTCGTGGCTGCCGATGGTCTCAAGTCGCGCTCGGAAATGCTTATCTCGGGGAAGCACACGCCTACCAAGTCCAGTGGCATGTCTATCTATCGCACGGCATATCCGAAAGAAATAGCCATGCGAGACCCAACGGTGGAGAAAAGGTGGGGCAATCGGAGTCCTGTATGGGAGTACTGGCTCGGACCTGGCATGTATATCGGCGTCTTCGTGTCAGAGGATATTGTTTCATGGGGATTTACCCCCTTGGACGCGCAGGGCGGAGCGACTGAATCCTGGGAGCCAGATGCAGATCCCGAGAGCATTGTCAAAGAGCTTCTCAAAGTGCCAGACTGGGATCCAGCCATACTTGCGCTCGTTCGCACTGCGCCCAAAGGCGGTGTTGTGCACTGGCCGCTATTATGGAGAGACTTACGCCGAGACTGGACATCGAAGGGCGGTCATATCGTGCAAGTTGGCGACAGTGCACACAGTTTTATTCCTACCTCAGGCAACGGTGCGACACAGGCTCTGGAGGATGCGGTTACGTTGGCGACGTGCCTCCAGCTGACAGGAAGGCGTTCGTCTGCGACGGGCACCAAAATATACAACCTACTCCGTTACGAGCGCGTCAGCTGTGCCCAGAAGATGTCTTTTGTCAACGCCCAACTGAAGACGGAGACGGATTGGGATACTATTTGGAAAGATCCCTTGAAGGTGCGTACGCGCTTCCCTAAGTGGATATTCAGTCATGATCCTGAGGCCTACGCCTACGAGAAATACGGTGAGGCAATCGCACATTTAGTGGATGGTGCAAAGTTCGAGAATACAAACCTGCCTCCAGGTCACAAATTCTTGCCTTGGACAGTTGCTGAAGTGGAAGAGGCGATGAAGACAGGTAGGAGGGTGGAGGATCTCTTGGATGGGGATTGGTCGTAGTTACTTGAAATCTTCAAACATCACTCGCGAGTTTGCGTTCGTCGTGTGTTCAATTGGTCAAATACTCTCTTTTTCCAGGAGTTAGACTCTGAATTTAATCAAAACGCATGAGTTCAACTAAAAACGTGTCACTTGAAGAAGAGTAAAGCGGATGCAAACTTCGAGGTATAGTTGATTGAGAGTTGTTAAGGTAGCCAATACAATATTTATATCCCTGAAAACTAAGCACTGCGAGAAGAACCTCCGGGTCTAACCGAGATGTGATGGCCATTCTTATCCTTTGACAGTTTGAAAGTTCTTGGATACACCTGGTTGGATAGATTCGATCATCTTGATCACCTCAGCAGCAATTCGATCCTGCGACTCCTTGCCTTCTTTGTCAGTCACCAAGGGACTGGGTTCCTCTATCGCGCAATCGCTCAAATACTTGCCATGAGTCTCGACACCCGAAGCTCCTGCATGAACCAACGTCCTGCTTCCTACTTCTGTAGACCGCGCCACTATGAGCTTGAAGAGATAGAAGCTCCATCCGTTGGCCTCACGCGCCAGCTCGGAGTGACATAGTCCTGGATTGACGATGTTGATTGTCACTGGGAACTCGCTAGCTGGGTGGTGCTCGGCAATAGCGCGCACGAGGAGAAGTTGTACGAGCTTGGACACAGGATACTGCTGAGACCAGTACTTGAGCGCCGTTTCCTTGTCCGAAAGAGCAGTCAAGATGCCACCGTCAGGGGCGGACCGCTGGGGGAATACGGTGTGTTCGTACGCCGCAGATCCTGTCACAGCAAAGGTAGGCCGTGTGTTGAACTTAGCGGCCGTGTCTTTCATCTTGGGCATCATGAGTGCCATAAGCAGGAAAGTTGAAATGACGTTGACCAAAATCCCCTCCTCGTGACCCATGACCGCGTGGTACTCGGCGCGCACTACGCCTGCGTTTGCGATGAAGATATCTACGCGATCTAACTCAGCGTCGACGCGCTTTGCGAAAGCCTGCACACTTCCGTAGTCGCTCATGTCGAGCTTCCACACATCGATATTACATTTGATAGTACTCTCAATGTCTTTCTTGGCTGATTGACCCTTATCGACGCTACGCACAGCGAGGATGAGCTTGCTGGCTCCCAAGCGCACATAATGGCGTGCTGCTTCTTTGCCCAGACCAACATTGCTTCCCGTGACGATGATTGTCTTGCCTCTGAAGTTGCCTTTGGGATAGATTGGCGTCTTGAAGAATTGACTATATAGGAACCCCATTCTGATTTGTTGTAGGGTAATGAGGACGAAGCAAGTGACAATGTAGTTAGAAGAAGGTGAGTTGACACGACCGTGATGAATTGTCAGGGAAAAAGAGAGTTGCTGCTATTCGAGCAAGGGATGACGGATATCAAAAATGGCTGGCACTGAACAAAAACGGAAAATGGGCATCTGTATATACTAGCATCCACCACAACATGCATGGAACCACTAAAACATGCAAGTACGCCCTTGCTGTCGGGCGGCACAGTGCATGTACGGTTCGGGGATCGCGGGGTTAGTGCCATGATCAGCGCTTAAGTCCAGGTCTAACTCCGCGTTCGTTTCGCAGACCTATATTCGGGTTCCTTGCGTTCCGGCTTCCATCCCAACCGTCCCGAACGGACTACGGTAATATGCCAGACGATGTAGGCATCACGACCAGTTCACGTGCTCAATGTCGGGCACCGGATCACCATGTTGCGTTATAGGTTTGGGACTTCGACTGTCACTTGAGTCTCACAGAATATTGCGATTGAGAAACCATGCCTACATACGCCATTCTCGGTAGCACAGGCAACTGCGGCTCAGCCCTGATGAAAAACCTTCTCAAATCAAGCGACAACAAGATCAATGCCTACTGTCGCAATATGGCCAAGCTCCACCAAGTGACCCCCGAAGCCATAGACAACAAGCACGTGCAAGTCTTCTGCGGCAGCATTGATGACGTCGAACTCATGGTTGATTGTGTTCGCGACACCGATACGGTCTTTATGGTGGCATCGACGAACGATAACATTCCTGGATGCTGCATCAGTCAGGTGAGACTTCTCCCCGACTTTTCTCTTTTCTTAGTTTGCAAGGAGATTAGCATACCCCGTTAACACCATAACTGTGTTTTGACAAGATACTTACACCACAATCCAGGACAGCGCTGCTGCCGTCCTTGCCGCCTTACAGAAGATAAAGGCCGAAGGGCAACCAGGACTCAGGTTGCCTAGACTCGTACTTCTCAGTTCAGCAACGATTGATCCCTATCTTTCGCGCAACATGCCCGCTTGGTTCCGGCCCATCATGCTCGCCGCCGCTTCACATGTGTACGAAGATCTTAGGCTGGCTGAGAAGCTTCTGCGATCGCATTCCAACTGGCTATCGACCATCTTCATCAAGCCAGCCGGTCTCTCACCTGACGTGTCGCGCGGACACCGATTGACCCTCAATGAAGAAGAAAGTTTCATCAGTTATCTCGATTTATCAGCTGCCATGATTGAGGCTTCGCAGGATCCAGAGGGGCGCTTCGATGGAAGAAATGTGGGCGTCGTGAACGCGAAGTCGGGGGTGGGTGCCAAGTTTCCACGTGGCACTCCTATGTGTATTCTGATGGGGTTGACAAGACATTTCTTCCCGTGGCTGCATGCATATCTACCCACTACAGGGCCGGCATAATTCTCGTTTCTTGTGTCATAGACGTGTGTCAATATGAATGTATGTTCGAAATGAAAAAGGCTTTTTGGGATTTGAGAGATAGCTGAGCAATGGTACGCAACATAGGCAGAGTAGCCTCTGAGGCAAGTTCCAACTGTTCAGATCAACTGATGGTTGAACACAATTATGATGAGATCAGAAAACAAGACAGCATATGTTACGATCCTATTCAAGCGATTATGTGGAACCTTGCGTATGCTTGCCCTTCCCTTGGATCTACTCATGCAGCAGGTCTGGTCTCTTCCACGGTTGCTCAAATCCAGTGAATGGTACCCACTTGAGATCTGTAGGCAGCCCTTTGGTGGTGTCTTGACACATTCTCGCCAATTTCAACCACATATCGCCTTTCATAGGAAAATAAGCCTCCCAATCCCCTTGCTCAAACCTATTGGCAACATTTTCCCCATTTTTCAAGGCGCGGAGAAACTTAGCAGCATGGCCATCGTCGTGCTCCTTATTGACCGCATCAAATAGTTCGGCCCATCCCATGCCGTCGCTCTCGGGAGAAGAGTACCCAGAAATGGCGCTGCCGTCCAAAACTGCAGATCCGGCCACAGCATACCAAGCCAGATCGAGACGTGCTTTCCACTCGACAAGACGTACGCGGTCCTCAAGCTTGATCCAGTTCTGGCACGAAAGTACAGTAAAGAACAAACTACTGGTCACCGCGTGCATGTAGAAGAAATCGATTTTAATCTTGCGGGTTGACGCCTTGCTCTTGTCCTGTGCCGCACCGGCGAAGTACGCACATGTACTGATCATCTCTGCGGTGCGTCTCTCCAGGTCTTCTTCGTCGGCGCGGATGCGAAACTGTGAGGCCAGACTCGACATTTCCTCGCCAGCGCGACCGACGACGCCGTCGCGCATCTTGTTTCCAAAGTCGGTCCATTTTGGTGCGTTACGAATGGTGTCGCTTGCTCGTACCTCGTTCACCAGCTCTAGCATTGATTTTGGCTTGATAGACGGATATGCGATAGCAGCTTCTTTTTCGGCATTGACTAACAGTGTGCCGATGTTGCTGTCGTCGTGGGCCGCGGCTTGTGCGAGAGCCTCCGCGATGATAGCCGGTTGCTGATACTCGACCCCAAGGCCCAGGTGGATGATGGGATGATATGCACCCTCGAACATGCGAGCTAGCATGACCTCGGCTACCTTGGTACGCGCCAGAACGTATTCCTGTACAACTTCCTTCCAGCCATTGACCTCGATTTCGGCCTTGAAGAACTCGAGGAACGTATGATACTGGTTGATCTGTCCAACCAAAGCCTCATATAATGCTTCGGTGTCGTTCTTATTACTCAACTTATCCAGCAATGCGTGATCGATCGAGGGTATCGAACGCTGGATCTTCACTCCGTCTTCGTATCTTGCCTGGAGCTCATCTGGACTGGCGCCCAAAGACAAGATTGTAAGGAGGCTATGAACAATATGGTTATGACCTGCAGTGTCTCGGAAGAACATGTGCCATTCCTCGTGGTTTTTTTGCAAGAGTTTGTTGCATTTTGAAAGTGACTCCGGAGAAATCTCACCCGTTTTGATGAGGCCAACATGAGTCGGCGAGAGCTGGATCGGCGAAACCATTTGGTCTAATGTAGACCGTAATTATCTTGTATTTGAAGATCTGTGAACACAAAAGAGAAAGTAAAACAGAACTTATGGCTTTTGTCCTGGATAATGGAGCCGCTTACAGGTCGAGGAGCGGATGTATGAATCATCGGCATAGTTCGGGATGACAAGAATGAGAAACTGGGACGCACAACACCATGTGCTCGGGATCAACTAGATCGGGGTCCGAGCCGCATATGGTGAGTCTGGTGGGACCAAAATGACGCATGCCAATAACGAACAGAGGGCTTATGATGAGTATTTGCAAACGGCTGTTGCTATGATCCAAACGCTTGTACCCAACCTGAGGTTCTCATAACAAGGGCGCCATTTCTGCGCCTCCGTTGATTCGATGTGGCATCAGGGTACCATATCCACTTCGGTACGTATAGCTTATAATAATTGGTCACAAGGTAGAACAATACGTGACAGAATTTCCAAGGCTTTTGGAGTCTTGGGAGAATAGCCCGTCCAAAAACACAAACGATGACGGCGAGGAAGACCGGCATGATTATATAAAAATTCATCAAATAATTCTGAGGATTCCATTTGTCATACAGAACGAGCTAAATAGGGCCACGCTAAAGGGTAATATGATACGACTTCATCCAGACGTGTACGCGAACAGGAGTCGTTGATTGAGCCAACTTGGATAGTGTCTGAGATGGTACACCGTGTCATTTGCACAGTGTATTGATCCGACTGCTCCTCATTCTATGCCGGTATTTGCGTGCTTGTAGTTCTTTGGAGGTGTTTCACCACAGCATTCTGCAGCTCAGACTTGATAATCTTGTGCGTCGCGTTGACAGGGAACTCCACAAGGCCGAGCTGTTCAAGTGTTACGATATCCCCAAGCGCATAGTTCTTGCCTAATACGGTCTGGACGTAGTGTTTAATCTTCTCTTTGGTCCTATATTCGAAAGAGTTGACAATTGCGAATGGTTCGGCGCCAAGGACACTGTGGGGAGCTGCTACTACGACTGCCTTAATCATGGTTAGTACTCAAACCACAGAAATGTATGAAGGTTCGTAACGACAGGATCTGGACATACTTGGGTCTGAGTGAAGGCGGCAATGCAGCTTTCGATAACAGCAGGCGCAATGGTCACACCTGCGCGCTGGATCATATCCTTTCGTCTCCCCACAATAAATACTAATCCTTGGCCATCAATGATGGCCATATCTCCCGTGTTAAACCACCTGCCTTTCTCATCATCATAGAATGACTCCTCAGATCTGCCCCCTAAGTAATGTCTGATGATGCTCGGACATGATATGTGCAACTCTCCGAGCTGGCCCCTCTTCACCACGCGTCTTGCTTGAGTTTTGATGTCGTGACTCGTAATGGAACAAATGCGTACTCTAGCACCAGGGGCAACGATTCCTACGGGACAGACTTGGCCACCCAGGAAAGGGATCATACCTGGGGCGGTCTTGAGGAACGGCCATGTGAACACACCCGGGCCTTCGGTCATTCCTTGATTAACGCATACTTGTGCTTGTGAAAAAAGCGCGGCACATTTAATCAGCACCTCCTTGGTTACAGCATCACCACCAACTTGGACTCTTTTGACGCAGGAGACATCGAGAGGTCGTGTGGCCAACTCAATAGAAAATCCATGTACCATTGGCGGTGTCAGGACAAGGAAGGTCGCTCGAACCTGCTTGATGGCCTTGATAGCATCGCCTACACTATGAAATGCATCGTTTTGTCAGCACCGCTCTCAATAAATGCGCATGGTATTACTTTACTGACCTGAAGCTTTGGCCTGTTAGAACCACTGCACCACCGGCCCGCCAAGTTTGGAGTGTCTGCGCTGGTGCAATACCCCGCGAGTTGTGTGGTTGCATGATAGCAAGATGCGCTGTTCCGGAGTCCGAATCGATAAGCCATTCCTGTGAATGAAGGGCATGAGAGATGGCGGATACAGACTGAGGACAACCTTTGGGAATGCCCGACGTGCCAGAAGTAAACATTATTGAATTTATACGCTTGGGGTTCCTGTCGCGTCGTGCCGTCGAAACAAGGTTTGCGTTGCTTACGTGAGAACGGAGTTTCGAGAGGGAAACTATATCGGCGAGAGATCTCCATTTGTGGTTGGCAATAGTCGAGACGGATTGAACGAGACACACACGGATAGGCTCAGGTAACTCTAGTTCCACCAAGACTGCGTCGATGGCCTTGCCACTAAGAGTGTCGGGGACTATTACAACCTGTGGCTTTGTCGTTTGTAGTGTGTACTTGAGTGCTTTGTCATCAGGATCTTCCAGGCAAACCGGGTCTATATTCACGTATGTAATGCGCAGTAGGATGCAAGCCCAGAGCAGGATGGCATATTCGCCGCCATTGGGGATTAGCATAAGCATCGTCGTGTTGGGTCGGGCTCCATCGCAAATAAGTCCGGTTGCGAGTCTTAATGCAGTCTGATGCAGTTGTGTGTAACTGAGTGTAAAGGTAGAAGCGTCTTCCGTTCGGGTAGCTCTAGCAGCTGACGTGCCTTTCTGCTTGTCGACTGCAAGAATTCGGGGTTGATCTATGCAACAGAGTTCTGCCGATTCAGTACCGCGATGAATTACATTCATGTATAACGTGTTTTCCGGGATACATGCGGCGAGCATTTCCTCCAGACCCGCTGACTGTTGAAACAAACAGATGATCGCTGGCCTATCTGGGCTTTTATTCAAGCCTCGCTCGACGTGCTCGAAAACTGACAATTGCTCCCAAGTCCCGCCGTCGATTTCGGCCAACTGTGCAGGTTCGTCAACCGAACTGAAGTTCTCAGACGGGCTGTTTGCCAAGTGTGAGGATGACCAATAATAATAAACTGTTGTCACAAAGCAGAGGCCAACAAGTAAGAGGAACAACATGGTCGTACAATGAAGACACAGTACAGATCTAAACTTTCTAGCGATGTTAATTCTTTAGAATCGATTATGCAAGTCACGTCAAGGCGTTGTAACCCCGATACATTTGCGATCTGCACGCCATCGAACATCGGCGTTCGGTCGTGGGCATCGGGGTCCGAACGTCAGCACACGTCGTCCAAGCAATAAACATAATTCTGTCACAACACTGAATGGTCTAAGTTGTTAGCCTCTAGCGATAGGTCAATATTAGTTGACAAGAACACTGGGTTCAAATTGCAGTGAAATGAGGTAGAACTTATGCACATTTGCAATGAATGTAATTTGCTTAAACTTGTCCTCCCTGTCACGTATCATGGTAAGACTCGACTAGGCCCTGTAAACAAGAAACATCTCTTGATGTAGCACACATATGCGGATCTCGCCCAACCTCCGAATCAAACACAACTCCACCAGTTCAATTCCCATTCCAGTCGGCAATAAGCTCTCTTTTGCCGAACGTTTCCCGGGCTCCAATCAAAGCACCCACCAACGGTAAGCAGGACCGGGTAAAGTGCAACCACGACCACTTGATGACCAATCCTTTGGCTTGCATAACAGTCAAGGTGCCATTGCCTGTCCGCGCCCCCGTTCGGGTCAGTGCCTCCAGCCGAAATAGCTCGTCGTTGGTTGGCACCATGAAGATCCACGTAAATGGAATAAGACTCAAAGTGACCGCTCCGGCAAGTGCATACACAAACCAAGATTTTGGGTTCCCGACATTGTATCTGTTGAAGCTGACATAGCTGTAAAGCAAGAAAGTGCAGATAGCTAGGGTTGGAAGAACCTGGTGTCCGTAATGATACATACGGGTCCATTGAAGGAAGAGCTGGGGTGCTTCGGTCGTGGTATCAAGCATAACAGGGACCGCCATGAGGGATAGGGACATCATGCACCCTGAGACACGTCGAATCAGCATATGTTCTTTCTTCAGAGAACTTGGGTGTTCAAATAAGAAATTCAGAACGTACCAGAGAGAAAAGCGCCAGTTATGAGTGCCGTAGCTTTAGCTCTGGTGATCGATCTGGTGTCAAGCCCTGCGTTCTGCGAAGCGTGCGACTTCCGTTCTGCATCGGTTCTTTCTTTGCTGCTACTGATCAACTCCCCATCCTTGACAAAATCAGTGATCCACCCGATTGTCATCATGCTTTTATGTGTATCTGCAAAGTTTTTGTGGTCTCCCGCTACCTTCTCCTTGTACCAGGGATCTTCTCTCATCCGCTTATAGTCGTCAACACTCCTGAAAACTACTTGGCTGAAGCAATCGAAGTCGGCAAGGTTGACCATGTGCTCATCAAACAGCTGTGTCATAATTGCGCGTGTCTGGGATGTATTATGAATCTATTGATAGCTTAGTTTGGTTATCCCATTTGATTTGGACAATTATAAGAGTCAATAACCAGGTCGAACTTACCAATGACCAACTCTTCACTCCATACTTGACCATCAAGCCCTTTGTCATGGGGCCTGATACATGCGTCATGTGATGCCTGTATTCTTCTTGGCTCATACCGGGACGACGATACCCGCAGATGGTCAGACAAAGAAACTGGTCATCTGAAGTTCCTGGAGGAGGGACTGGAATCTCCAGAATGTCGGTCATATTGAGAAATAGATGAAGGTTTGTATTTTCGAGACAACCATTGTGATTGAGGGAACAGTGATCTGTATAAGTACTACTCACAATCTATATATGCCCTCTCTCCCCGAGATAATCCATTCCCGAAGCCCGAACTTCACTGATTCGCGCGTTGGGTTGAATGGAAAACGGAGCAGCAATCCCGACTGGTCATGCAGCAGACATCAAGAGACAGCGACTTACACACCAGGTGCAAGGAGATGAGACTTTCAAGTACCTCTCCTTTATGTATTTCTAAGGAGACATGTAGATTGGCAACCCTCAACTATGATACTCGTCCAACCAACTGCGCAGATCACCGATCGTCGGATACTCAAGGAACAAACTGCCACCCACCACCACGCCCAACTGTTCGCGAAACTTCTCGGCTATGACCAAACTCATAAGTGAGTCAACGCCCAGGTTGGCAAAGCTCGCGTCGTCGGTCAGGTCGGCCATGTCTAGCGCGGATTCCTCCGCGATGATGCCAATAGCTTTGTCGGTTGTGGTATCAGAGTCGATACTTTCGGGAACCTCTTTTGCTTCGATGCCGTTTGTTTTCGCGTTGTGCACAGTCAAAGCTGGAGATATGGCGACTGGTGCCGGCATAGATGGTTCCGTGAACGATGATGACACGGACGATCCTAATATAGGATTTACAATTGCTGAGCCAGCGACAGGTATTGTAGCAACAGAAGTGGAGTTGGTGGCGATAGGAGATGGTTTGGAGTCATCTGGCGCAGAAAAGAAACGGCTGAGCAAGATCCTTGGATACCTGCGGAACTTGATGCCCCTAACAACTCCAATGATTATTCCGTTCTGGAGGATATACACCTGACCCAGATACACAGTTGCATCCTCCGGCGTGGGAATCATCTTGACATAGGAGCGATACTTGGCCCCAGCTACGAGGGGTTTTGCAAAGCGCATCGAGTCCCAACCTGGTGTGACACAGAAGTCGGCTTTAGTATCCATGGCATCGCTCACGTTCATGACAAAGCCCGCCAGATGCGCTACGCTGTCGATGAAATAAGGCGGCACGGTCCACGATCCGCTTTTATCAGTTGTCAGCGTCACATCGGCAAAAGCCTCAAGATCGTGCAAGACTACCGATGTCATGCCCCGGTACTTGTCATGGTAGTTGACCAGGTTGTTCGCGAAGAGGAGATATGCCATGTTCCGATTGAAGCGGTTGGCGACACCTGATTCGGCCAGGCGCTCAAGTTGTTCGATGCGGCCTTGCACCAAGTGAGTTAGGGGAACCCACGAGGCTAACCATTCACTAGGCGAACCAAAGACGAGAGTAGCGGTTGCGAAGGGTTGGTCGACTACAGTTCCGTTGACGTGCACGTTGTACCACGTTATCTGGGCCTTGTTGGATGTTATGTCGGCCGTGGTCAGCGAGACTTGTATGAATTGTGGGATCTTTGGAGTACTATTTGCGACAAGTCCTTTGACGACTTCAAGGTTGGTAATGTCAATATGAACTCCCTGTTTGCCGCGTGTAGGCACAAGCTTCTTGTACAGGTATTCGCCCAGCGTGTAAGCGATATCAGCATGGATAGACTATAGTCCAAATGTTAGTGTATCGCACTTCCCACATCTTGAGAACAGTCCATAAGCAAACTCACCGAGGTGACAACACCACAACCGTTCATCTTATGGCCCCAAGCCGCGGCTCTGAATTCTGGATGCGCTAGGTTGGACTGCATCACGACAGTTCCAGCCATTCCAATAAAACTTTCGTCAATGATGCGCTGTACAGTTGAGGTACTCAGACTGGAGGTGCTAGTGGAAGGTTCTGCTTCTATCAAACTCGACTGTGACTTTTCAGCGTCATAAAAGGTGTTGCCTTTCGTGAGAGCCCAGTCACCATTATACTGTAACCAATATCTTTTGTCATTCCAAGCATACGTAGGCAGGTCCAGGAGTCGCAGCGACTGTTCAAACGGGCTATGGAATTCGTTCCAGCCGATCTGCACACCAGCGCAATGTAGTGCCGCAAGACTTGTGGCCATAGTCGCCCAATTGTCCTCATCTCGGCGCAGAGATGCGACAGCAAAGCCAACTGGCGAAAGAGTCGACTTGATAAACCCAATGCAAACGGGATGGGGCCCTATTTCGATCCAAACCGTGTCGTCGTCTAAAGTACCGATCTTCTTGGCCGTTTGCAGGGCCGCCAGGAAATTGACAGGCTCACGTGTAGCCCGGCGCATATAGTTGCCGTTAATCGTTTTGTCGTCAAATATGACTTTGTTGAGAAGAGGTGAGATCACAGGCAGGTGAGGTGCTTGGAATAGTACGCCGCTATTAGCGATAGCCTCAAAATCGTCCAGGATAGGGTCCGTTTGGGCCGAGTGGAAGGCAAAGGCCACGTCGAGGCTATAGCACTTGTAGCCATCGGATTCAAGTACCGCAACAAGGGCTTCAATCTCTGCCACCGGACCACTGATTACAGTTTCCTTTGGACCATTAATGCAAGCGAGTTCGTAGGGAAGGTGTGCTTCAACAGCACTCTTCTCGATCTGCTGGACGGAAGCTCGCACCGCCAACATCTTGTGACTTCCCACCTGGCACTTGGTCTCAAGCATCGTGGCTCTCCGCCCGACAAGGAAAATTGTATCGGAAGCTGAGAGCACGCCAGCTACATGCAAGGCCGCATACTCGCCTAGGCTATGACCAACAACAACATCAGGCCTCACACCCAGAGAGCCCCAGTACTTGACCAGAGCAATTTCGCTGCATACGAGCGCAAGCTGCGTCATGACTGGTGAGTGTTGGTATTCACGGTTCTCTGCATGGCTGCCATCCAACACAGGAAGGAACGATGGAAATCCCTGGCCCTGAGTGATGGCATCCAGCCGCAGCATCTCGGATCGGAAGTATGGCGACTGGTTGAACAGCTCCAAGTTGAACGACTTGTATGATGCGCCCTGTCCGGTAAAAACAAATGCAATTGGAGGCGCATCAGTGTTTGGAACCGGTTTGTGTGTATCCAAAGACACCAAGGTCGATGCAAGGTGCCTCTTGGCCTGGTCGATAGTGGAACAAGAAAAGGCCGCACGGTAATTGTGGTGGCATCGACGTGCAGTAGTTGAATACGAAAGATCTGCGAGTCGCGTCTCTGGATTTGTTTCCAAATACACGAGCATCCTTTCAATATTTCCTTTGAATGACGCCCTGCTCTTTGCCGATACTGTAACGACATGCGAGGGACGAGAGTCTGTTCCGATCACCTTCCGCTCAGGTGCTTCTTCGATGGCAATAGTCGTATTTCCTCCAGCAGCACTGAAGTTGTTTACCATGGCAAGACGTTTTTTCCCAGGCACTTGCGGCCACAGCGTTTTCTCGTAGGGTATGCGGACATTGCGTGCGTCCATGTCCTTCGGAAACCTAGGGTTGAGACTGTTTTTGATTCCCACATGTGGTGGAATGGCGTGTTTCTGCAACATGAGGAGTACCTTGATTATAGCTGTGACACCTGCAGCTGCCTCGCTGTGACCTACGTTAGCTTTTACTGCACCGATGTACAGCGGATTTTTGGAGTTACGGCGTTTGGCCGAAGGGGCAAAGACGTTAGTCACGGATTGAATTTCCTCTGCATCTCCTGCTTGTGTGCCTGTACCATGCATTTCAACAAAGCTGACATCGAGCGGGTTGATGGCTGCTCGATTCGTGACCAGCGTGCCAAGATAGGCTTGATGACCTGCATGGGGATGCGTGATAGAAATGGCTTCAGCGGAATGGTTTGTTGCTGCTGCAAGAATAACACCAAGGATATTGTCATTATCTGCTTCCGCGTCCTCAAGACGCTTGAGGACAACGGAAGCGACTGCGTCAGCTCCTGCTGAAGGTTAGCAAGGCATGACCTTTTGACTTCGGTTGAAATCACCATTCGCATTGATAACAAAATATGATCTAACAAAATATGATCTAACAAAGCAATGAAAACATAGTTATACTTACTGCAATAGCCGTCAGCTTCAGAATCCCAGGTCTTGCACGCATTTGGGGTCTTGGTCAGAAAGTGACCATGGCTGAGACCCGCAAACGCATCGGGGTTGGTTAACACGTTGGTACCCCCAGCCACAGCCATATCAATGTCACCTGCCCAGAGCGATGTACACGCAGTTTGAATAGTTGCCAGACTAGACGAACACGCCGTATCAATGCTGTAACTAGGGCCTGAAAACTTGAAAAAGTAGTTGATTCTGCCAGGTCCAAATGCGCGACAACCTCCAGGGATGAAGTAGGTGCTGATTTCCTGTGCTGAGTTGACCTCGCGGTAATCGTCGCTAGCTTGGCCATAGTAGGTGCCAGTGCGATGCAAATCCGTTGCAGCTGTTCGATTGGCGACATAACCAGCTCTCTCGAGCGCTTCATATGCTGTCACCAGGCCAAGTCGTTGCATAGGATCTGTTTGTTGTGCTTCGCGCGGCGACATGTTGAAAAAAGGTGCATCAAACAACCCAGGCTCGTCGATGAAACAACCGTATGCCGTGTGTGAAGTGTTCATGCGCTTTCCTGTGGGATCGTAGTGCGACTCAACGTCAAACCTGTCAGCTGGGATCCTACGGTGCACATCCAAACCGTTCTCAAGCAACTGCCAGAATTTCTCGGTATCGGTCGCTCCACCAGGCATTCGACATGACATGCCCACGATCGCTATCTTGGACTGCGACGGATCTCTGTTCCCTGCATCCGTGTCAATGTCGATGATGTCTGTGGAAGGATGCTTGTTATGAACCCAGGACCCAAGCTCCTTGATCGACAGATCCATTTCTGGTACATTTTTCAACGCCTTCGAGAGATCGTGCATGGGGATAGACATTCGATAAACCAGCACATCAATACCTGCACGTGGATTTTCCTGCACCCGTTGGATGACACCTTGCACAACCTTGTCCCATTGTATCGGTTGTGTTAGAATCTCGCTTATTATGTGCTCGAACAGGTCAGTTGCACTTGTTGCAGGGAAAGACTTCCCGGTGCTTGTTGAAAAGATAGGAAGTCGGGGTGCGAGAGTTTTGTCGATGCGCTGCATAGAGGGCGTCCTGACTACCTCACGCACGTCTTTCTCCGTGTAAATGTGTCCAGCATGGCACAGGCCAGAGTATACAGGCAAGGCGATGGATCGACAATCGCGGAAGAAATCTTCGATTTGAAAAAGAACTTTCAACCTAGCTGGAGGTCCACTGATCGTAACGGAAGAAGCGCTCAAAGCACTGATGAAAATCTTGGCTGCTACTGGAGTGCACTGTGATGGAAGAAGCATAAAATTAGATTCATTTCTCCACTGCAGATGTCTCTGTAGTTCTCTTTGGAGGTCGACTTGACTTACCTGTTTTTGATGCATAGCGTCGAGCTGCTGCTGGACTTGCTCTGCTGATACGTTTGATAGCACGTAGGCCCATGAGTCCAGAGAGGTATCTTCGGTTAAATCACGATGCTGCAAATTCTGGGAAACTTGGTTGACCAGAACACCGAGACGAAAGGCTTGTCTCAGGACCTGGGTTCCAACAACCGCAAGGTCCGCCACTGTACTGGCTAACGATAGAGCAGGTGCGGCTAGAAGCCCGATACCTAGACCAGCGAGACATACATTGGTATCGTCCAGATCAAAGGCACTCGGGCAACTTTCATAGTAACTGAACAAAAGGTCAGGTCAGCTTTATGATCCACGGAAAGGTTGATCGCGTGTTGATGGCAGGGCTACTCACGCAATGAGTGTCCCCAACTCAGCAATACAAAGGAGTATACCATCGACAGATCCACAAAGAGGACCCTTTCGGAGCTCGGAGAACTCCAAAAATGTCAGGATACTCTCAAACGTGGGAATCAGTTGTCTGAGTTCTGTCGGCAAGTGGTGTACTTCGTCACGGATGGCAGTGGTTCCTTCTTGTAAAAACCGGGCAAGGACAGGATGTCTTCTGCTTTTGCTATGCTGGTGTAATTCTCGGAAGATGTTCGGCAGGTCCTCGAAAATAAACTCGTTGCTAAAGTATATGAGCTTCATTTGGCCACTATTAGACCTGTTTGTATGTGTCTCGCACATAGCATTGTGCTCTCTGGCCATTGGTGCCCAGTTGGATACAAAGTGAACTGATCGATTGAATTTGTTTTTGCACGATATGAATAAGTGAGTGCTTCTTAAGCATAGGCATTCATTCAAGCATAAGACCATACGTCGATCTTCTACGGAACTACGGAGTTCCAATTGAGTAAGCACCCGGACATCAGAATTCCGACATCGCGAAAGCTGACAATCCCCAATCACAGTTGTGAATGTGTTGATCGCGCCACTCGGGCGTCAAGGTCATGTTCGGGGGCCGCTTTCTACAATGCCGAAACTTACGGATGAGTGTATTTCTTCGGAACATCTTCATGTGGTGACCAGGTGACTATGAAAACTAAACTTTACATATGTATGTCATTTCCGATTACCATCTTTTGCGCATATTGTTTGCGAATTCATTCGTTTGTTCCACTACCTCCGAGGTCAATCCTATTAAATTGTTTTACACAGTCTACTGAATCTTTCGCAGTCCTCATTCTCAAAGATGACTAGTTTGCTTACTTTGTTGTTTCTGTTTGGACTTCGACTCAGTGAAGCTCGTGTGCTTCCGCGCTATTCATCCCGGATCTCGGCTCGGGCCGCCAACTCAACCAACTATGACTTTGTCATTGTCGGAGGAGGTATATCTGGACTTGTACTAGCGGACAGACTGACTGAAGATTCCCATGGTTCGTTGCGTATCAAATTCCAGCTTCAGATATGGACAAGACTGACAAGTAACAGTCACTGTTCTTGTGATCGAAGCAGGCCCATTCGACAAAGGGGAAGATGAGGTCCTTGTACCCGGCAGTTGGAACCCAGCTCAGTATCTATGGCCTGGTCTGGTAACCGAACCACTCACCGCGCTCAACAATCGATCCGAACCAATAGTCGTTGCGAAGGTGGTAGGAGGTGGCAGCACTATCAACGCAATGAACCTTCTGAGGTGCGTGAATTAGACACCACCATAGTCTACGACATTATCGGAGACTAACCTCCTTGAATCTTAGGGGTACCAAAGCCGACTTTGCAGGGTGGGTGTCCCTCGGAAATGACGGCTGGGGTTGGGACGATATGCTTCCGTATTTCAAGAAGGTAAAGGAACTCATAGCGAAGATGGAGCACGGCAATTGAGCCAGTTGCAGGGCTAACACATGTGTTTTCTTTGCTAGAGTGAGAACTTCACCGCGCCAGATGCCTCTTTCGCAGCTACCTCGAACATCTCATGGGATGACTCCGTCCGAGGACATGACGGGCCAGTTCAGTATTCATACCCAAATTATGCCTACCCTGGTCTCGGCCACTGGTGGACTGCAGCATTGTCGGCTGGTATGACGCCAGTTCAGGATCCATCATCGGGCGTCAACCCAGGAATATTTTGGACACCAACTGTCCTCGATACGAGTACCCAAACTAGATGCGATGCCCGCGTTGCTCACTACGACCGTGTCATATCGACTCGTCCCAACTACCACGTTCTAGCTGAGAATATGGTGTCCAGGATTCTCTTTGAAGGGACCCAGGCTACCGGTGTCGAGTATTTCCCGAGTGCTGGAGGAAACACTTCGACAGTGTTTGCCATGAAAGAGGTAATTTTAGCTGCCGGAGCATTACATACGCCGCAAATCCTTCAGCTATCTGGTGTTGGCCCAAAGTCGGTACTTGACTCGTTGAGCATTCCTGTCGTCGCGAATCTACCTGGTGTTGGGACCAACTTACAAGATCATGGTGCGGTAGCAGTACAATACAACTGTAAGTTGGCATTCAATCAAAGCTCTTTTGCTAGAAAGATCTGCTTCTGTGCTCTGACTTATTTTGTGTAGTCACTAAGATCATCACCCCTAACGCCATTTCCCTCGTCACCAACAGTACCTACAGTGCTGAACAATGGGAGCACTACAAGAACCATGAGCCCAGCGCTTTTACTGTCGTCCGAGGTCTTGGTACAACCTTCGGAACGCTGGCGCTTCAGGATATGACTACGTCGAACTCGTCCATTATCGCTGACGCCATGGCGGACCACGCGGCTTCTTCCCTACCCACAGACACAGATCCTACAGTTATCGCAGGTTACCAAGCTCAGCGTAGGATTTTGATTGAGCAGTTGCAGAACCCCAATATGGCAGTTTCTGTCTTATCCTGGGACACATACTCATCCGTAACCGTGTCACACGTGAAGCCCTTCAGCCGTGGCAAGATAACCATCAGATCAACGGACATCCTAGTGGAGCCTAAGATAGATTACCGCACGGCCACAGACCCAACCGACTTGACTGTCGTTGTAGCGACCCTCCGCAAGCTGCGGGAACTGATGTCGGCGCCAGCGATGGTAGCGCTTGGCACCGTTGAAGCGGCTCCGTTGGGTGCAAATATCAAGAGCGAAGAAGATTTCACGGCAGTGCTTCGTGCATCTTATGGTGTTTCGGCAGCCCATCAGTGCTGCACCGCGCCTATGATGCCGCTGGGTCTGGGAGGAGTGGTTGATTTGGAGCACAAGGTCTATGGGGTCACTGGATTGCGTGTCGTCGATGTTAGCACTTTTCCCATGGCAGTTTCGGGAGGCCCGACCGCGAACGTATATGCTGTAGCAGAGAAGGTAGGCCATCTTGCCAAAAAAGCAACTTTGGACTTAAATGAAAAACTAACATTTCGTAGCTAGCAGATGTCATCAAGAAGGAATTCAAAGAGATCTAGATACCCGACATCTAAGACTCAACAGAAAGCACTACTGCGCATGGTTTTAGCTACACTAGACTCGTATGGAAGATTCCTCGAGATTTGATTTTAAGCTATTAAATCCATCCTCACTTAAGCATTGAACTTATGACCATAATTATCTTTTTACCTGTTTCTTTTGTCAAGTTCTGTTAATGCTAGGCCATCGTGAATCAATTGCATAGATATATCCCTGATAGAACTTCAGATATTGGATCGCTATTTGAATAGTTCTTCAGAATTACAATATTATGCTCATAAACTCTAAACCCACATGCTTTCAAGTTCTTCTTAGACTACAACGTTTCGTCTTAGATGAAGGTAGTATCATACATGCATTGTTCCAACTCTACGTGTCATGCTCAAAGATCTTATCGTAGTCATACTCGAACCATCGAATATCAGGCTCAATTCCAGCAAACTTCCAAACGCCATCTATCTAATGATATTGCACCGTACACTTTCCATGCGCATGCCCTTTAATAGCAACCTTAACCATTGTATCATCAGTGTATTTCTGGTGAGCCACGCGCATCTGATGATGGCCGATCATCCCACCGTTATCGAGCAAATCCCATTTTGAGGCGCCGACGAAGTGTTGGGTCTTCAACAGGGGGTTACCCAAGAAATGTGGGTTGGATGCCATAGTGACAAATTCCTCGGCGGGGAGAGCTTCCCATAGCATGTTGAGAAAAGCGCGATAGTCAACCTAAGACATTGTGTTAGGGGTACTGGCATCTTGGAAGGAGTAAGAGCAGGAAAACTAAGTCACATACCCGGAGTACTGGGGCGATACATTTTGCAAGACGTGCCCAATCTTTACTGTCGTAGCTTTCAGTCCACTCGAACATAGCTGCTTGGCAGCCCAAAACGTCTGTATCGCATCCTTGGTTAGCCGACGTACTCATTGGAGATGACATCTTACGAAAAGCGTATATTTTTACCATCGAAGGAAGGCTGGGCTTTCATTGTGAGATTCACCGTCATGGGTGATGAAAATAACGTAATAAGATGTTACAATTTTGATTTTCGATCTTTGTTTTTGGTTCAAAAATTTGCAAGCAAGGCTTCTACACATCTATCGCGAACGAGCACGACTCATCTCGGGCAAGCTAGACACAACGCCCCGTGAGTTCCGGATTGATATCTCGATCGGCATGGGATTCGGAAACTCGGGACTGCGGCTCGAAAAGTCGGGATCACTCTACGTCGGGGCCCGAAAGGAACAACAAGCGTTAAGGCCACCAACATGATCTTGCTCCGAAGCACACACAGCAAGCAAACCGCCATAGCTATCCTTTGTGATTGAATATTCTGTGTCCTTGAGATTGAATTTGGATGACGAGGCTTCGTGGCTCAAAATGTTGAAAATTTGGAGTGCAAATGGCACTGAGTTATCGGTGAACAATACAGCTACATCTCAATTGAGATGTTTGTAGGAATCTCTCCAGTTTTACTATCCCAGTAGTAGGGACTTGACAACAGCTAACTATTTTACACCGATTCCAAAACCAGTTTTTGGATAGGTGGAAGTAAATCAGCGATCAATACTTGTTTCAAGACATCTTTTGCAAAACATACTCTTTGTTCATGTGATAGCAAAAGATCTCCAAATCTATTCTCGCTATCGAGTACAACGGTGCAATTATTCAACTAATCAGAGCATCTACAACTATGCATTTACAACCGACTAAGCCGCACCGCCATCAAGCGTGATGGTCTTGCCGTTCACCCACTCACCCTCCTTGCTTGCCAGGAAACACACCACACGCGCGATATCAACCGGGAAGCCGTTCATTATTAGCGGCGAGGCGTGGGCTGCCATCTATATTCGAAAGTCGAGTTAGCCTCCTTACCATGCCAGATATAATTGGTTCTCCCAAATGATCTATGTCGTGCAAGATAGGGCATTGGAACTTACCTGTTGGCGCTCCTCCGCCGTATATTTGTCTCCGTTTGGCATGTAGTGTTGTGAAACATCATGGAACATGTCTGTCACGGTGCCTCCAGGCGCAACAGCATTGACGGTAATTTTCTTGTCGCCGCAGTCTTTTGAGAACACGCGGACAAACGAGTCGATGGCGCCCTTAGAGCCGGAATACAGTGAATGCTTGGGCACAGTGAAATCCTTGGCCGTGTTGGACGACATGAGGACGATGCGGCCGCCGATGTTGAGATGGCGGTATGCTTCGCGGGCAACAAAGAACTGACCTCGTGTGTTAATGGCAAAAACGCGGTCGAATTCCTCCTGCGGCACTAGGAGTCAGCGAAAGAAATTCAGATATTAAGATGACACGGGCCGGGGGGTAAGCGATTGAAGGACGTCTACGTACCTCTGTGACTTCACCTAGATGTCCGAAGCTCACGACACCGGCATTGCTGCACACGATATCAAGCCCACCAAAGTGCTCGACAGCGTTGTCCATCAGTTTGACTGTTTCGGATACGTTCCTGATGTCGGCCTGCAGGGCGATGGCATCGGAACCCAAGCTTTTGATCTCAGCTACAACCTTCTCGGCCGATTCTTTAGAGTGTGCGTAATTGACGATAACCTTTGCACCGCAGCGGCCAAGTTCAACGGCCATTGCTGCACCAATTCCCCGCCCAGAACCAGTGACGAGCGCGACTTTGCCATCAAGGCGGTAGGGAATGTAGGGCATATCCGTGACGGTCATGTTGGCGGGAGATTCGAACTTGATTCTGTGTCAGGACGATAAGTAACAGCAACACGAAGTAATTGGCAAATATGACGAGACTTTGGACTGGATTTACCTCCGTCAACATACATAAAATGAATACAAGTATGCACTATCTTCGAGAGCCTTTCGGCGATGGTATCCATGTGCGGGATCTCACTTGAAACTGTAGTCAATCGGACCTCGGGGTTCACCGATCGTCCTCAGTGTCAGATAGGATTCAGTTCCATGTACTTCCTTTTCCCGCGGAACGTTTGCCGCTCTATCGGAATTTCGGCCATTCTGTCGGGACGTTTGACGACCCTAGCAACCTACATGCAGCCATTTCAAAGTCGTTGCTGACTCCGAGCAAGTCAAGTTTTGTGTTTCTTATCTGTCACTTGCCCCGGACGCCACAGCTCCAACAATAGAATACACCACAAATGTTGAGAGCCATGTAGTTGGTATTGTAACAACATGGGTAACTCTTTCAGGGAATAGGTGGGTTGCTGATGCACTTGAACTGAAATTGTTGCCGACTCAACAAACAAACTGCCTAGTAGGTTTACTTGGTTGTTCAATGTGATTTACGTGATGATCTCTTTGTAATGAAAGGGGTTGAACGGCTCAAGGCAACATGTGGTGATGGTCGCTTGACACTTTTTTTACTCGGCCTTGACTGTATTGCCAGCTATTAATAGAGTGGTTATAAGGCTTGCACCTGATTAATTCTCATCAGAAACACATGACTTGGGACGGAAAGGTCATGTTAAAGTGGAAACCTATGAACGATTGAGTTTATCTAGGAGTTTAAAGTCATTTTAGCTTGAAAGGATAACTATAGCCACCCGTGTACTCTAACGGCAGTGCTTTAATCTCTTCTCAGATGTGCGACAAGGCCCATGGACAGACTCTTCAACCTCTTCCTCAGGTCAATCTCTAATTGATCTGACATGATCTTCGAGAACGGTGTCGAGACATCATTTCCTTGCCTTTCACCACACAATGCTGTGGTCATCGTACCCTTATCTTGAATGTCACTGGCGCCTAGTGCCGTCTGCTCTTTCATCTTGGCAGAAAATTGGTTGACAAGGCGCTGGACTCGATGCAACTCGCCAAGGACCAGCTGCACAGTCATGTACGTCGAGTCTTCATCTGGCTTATGATTTGTTGGTCCATGAGACGTGTTTGCGGCAGCACCATAGAAGTCCAGTACTTTGAATACGATTAACGATATAATGGCTAGTAAGTAACCGTTCTGTGAGCACGAGCACTGCAACATGACTGCAACGGCGTCCATGGTTTGCTTGTTAGTGGCTATGACGACGTCTGTAGGTGGTAGATGGTTACCGTCGACCCGGATATTGGTTGCAAGATCGTTCTCTGCTTGAGTGTTTTTACAGGCGTTTTCCGTGACCGTGCTCGGTTGAGAAAATATCCGTTGTAGGAGAGTCATGGCTTGTGTCAAGCAGCAAGCGAATGTAGTATCTATCCTCGATCCTGACTTTTGCGTTTCGATGCTTGTAAAATTTTCGTGTTGCTCATTTTGCTCATCGATCGGTCGGACGTTGATAACATCTTCATTATGCCGGTCGCTTTCGTCATGGCTGACACTCGCTGCAACGGAAAAGAAATCTCCGCCTATCTGACCCAGCACATCGGTGCTAGAAGTGTCCGGAACCCAGAAACTTGTCGGCGACGGAAGGTAGTGGTCAAGATTCGGTATTGTGACCGAATTATTCACAGGCGATGGCAGGTGTGAGGTGAGATCGGGATCAGGATTTACACCCGTACCAGTGGATAATGCTGTCGATGGTCCCAGGAAGTAGTCATCGCACGAACCCGCCACTGTGTTTGCCCCAAACCAAGCATCAATATCGAGTTGATCCAGCTGGGATTCGGGTATTGGCGAGAAACTATCGGGTCTTCTGCGATCCGATCGACGACTGTCATAGCGGCGTCCAGCTCGTCTTGTCGCGAGGTAATTACAGGCGATGCCGCGCTTTGCACAGCGGGAGCATACAGGCTTTTGCTTGTGGCATTTTAGTTTTGACGACGCACAGGCGTCGCAGCTGTCACGTAACTTGGGAGCAGGGGCGGAGGAGGGACTGAACATGTTTGAGGATTAAGCGACGCATAACTGGTCAATCCAATTACTTATGAGCCCTTCAGCCGCGAATCTTTCGCGGGAAGGTAAGCTTCAGCCTTCCGTACTAACGAACCACGGCGTCAGCGAAGCTAGACGGTAGGCGCCGTTTGTGCCGTATTTGCCATCCATAAGAATTGTGTGGGCAACATCCCTGCATGATGCACCCTAGGATGACAGGTACTAGCGAAAACTGCAAGGTTCAAGCGGTCCATCCGCAGTCAGCATGGTGCACCTAATTCTCACTATAGAGAGAGGGGAGATACGTGAAATGAACATTCAACTTGTTGCAAAACTGGGCTTTAGTTGCAATGCTGCATAGCGGGGCAGCGGGGTGTACGAAATAGCGGTTTCAATATGCCCCTCTCGTTAGTGTTCTGGATTCTGTCAAAATCTACTTTCAGTCCTACCACCAGCCTCAACTTGTCAATCGCAACGTTGTTAGTCCCAGCACTAGTAACATTGAATAAGCGCTGGGCTGAGTTATAATGTGGTCATCATCGTTGTCCAACTGCAGAAGCCAGCCAGTACTTGCTTTAAATGAGGTTACGAATCTTGTTCTGAGTAATAGTTGCCTCTCCAATGAAACTGCAAACTGCCCAACGTCCGCCAGTGAAGTTTGGGAAAGTGGGTAAGCTTGGGAGTTAGGCAGCATTCTGCTGATATGCTACGCCACACACATGCCTCGCGTTACTAACCTGTAAACATTCCAGCTAGACAGGGTAACCGGACTCCGAGCCCGACAGGTGTTAGTTTATCTTAGTCACTCAGCATCAGCATAGAGGTGGCGAAGTCGGAAGGCATGATGCTTGCTATCGTGCAGCTCTCTGGTAGGGACACGGCCTGTTGGGTGCCTGAAAATGATATGTTGGGGTATCCACTGTAAGCGACGGATGGGAGGGAAAACATCCTTCCGGTTGTGGCTGCAGAGGCCCGTAAAATCGACCTCAAGATTGAGATAGTGTAGTGAAGTTGTTGCATAGTAGGTTCACAAAGTTACCAGGTACTTGCATGTTGTAGTGAGGAATGGCAGAGGTGTATGGGTGATAGTCTTTCAATACGATATTGACAGATTACAATCACTGTCGAGTTGACAGTTGATGTTGCCTGTCCGTGTTTGTCTGATACCTGATTCCTAGGGCGACTGTAGCAATGTTCCGCGAAGACAGCTTTTTGACGACAACCAAGCGTCCATTACAATCATGCACACTATCGACCAAATCCATCAGCTCCTGCATGGTTAGGTCGCCGTCGTTGGCCAACTGCAGCAGAGACAGATCTCGCAATCGTGCCATACTTTCAACGTGGACGTCGACAGCGCTAGGTTCGGGGAGCAGCCGCGGAGTCAACACTAGTAGCGCAGATTTGTTGGCTTCTAGAACTCGGAGGTGGGCTTGCAGCTCAGACAAGATTCTGGTGCGGATTGGGGTCAGAGTGGGGGTCGAAAGTCGGATGAGGTATACAGCAGCGTCTTTGATTGTCTGTTGTGTCCCATTGGCTCGCTTATGCACTGAGATCCGGGAAGTAGGATCTTCGAATGAAGACGATTGAGATCTTACTGGCTCGTCCGTCTGAATGACGAAGCGGAGGGCGGGGTGGTGTTCCGCTAACGTCTGAATGGGACACAAGCCACCAGTCTTGGACTTCCTAGTCGATGGACCTCCAACGTCCACAACGCACGCGTTTCCAAGGCCAGGCCAGTCCAGTTGGCCGAGGATGTCCGTGGCGCCACCATGGCAATCTCCCACACAGCTAAGATAGGCTGGCCATTGACGTTGCAGTCGTTTGCGCTGTACCAATGCCGACTGGAACGTCTGGGGCTCCTTCTGCGAGCATCTCAACGCAACGGTGTACGCACTCTCGGCTGCCCTTGCCTCTGCTCCTGATTTAGTGGCTGCATGACGCCTTGTGGCGGCAGCCATGTGTAAAGCAGACGGGGCCACAGTTTCAGCCATGAACATGGCGGCATCCAAATGGGCAGGTCTTGAGACAAAGCTGGCCGATAAGGCCGTGTGTTCGATATATCCAGGCTGGGGCTCTTGCAGAAAACCGGCCAAGGCCATTATTCTGACTACACGATACAATTCCGCTTCAGGAACGTCTGCCAGATCCGCCAAGTCTTTGATAAGCACACTGCAACTCCCAACCAGTGGGACGTAGGCGAGTACTTGGAATTCTCCCAGCCATTGTAGACATGCCAGAAGCTGGTTCTAATCAAGAGTTAGGACTGAGTCGACTGAGTACCATTTTCGACTCGATGAAACCTAGAGTAGTATCTGCGAATTGGGGATACGGACGGGCGTCTAACCTGAGTTGCAAGATGTTGAAGAAAGGTGGTGGGCTCCAGCTGGAACAACAACGTTTGCATACTAGTCATGGTAGCGCCTATCGAGCGGGTAGCGCGTGAGGATGCATCTGGCATGCCGAGACCGGCATCCCGAGATTGGTCGGCAAGGACTTGGACGGCGCTGGCCAAGTTGATGGCGTGTGTTTCTAGTTGTTGTCTAAAGGTTGGTTCCATCTTGAAAAACAGGGAAGAGTGAAAGGGCGATTTGGAAGAGTTGATGATTTTTCCTCTCCCGACGGGTTGAGATTTGGGACTTGGCCCGCAAGGACGCGCAGAGAAGCACGCTCGCATATGGGAGCACGGAAGTGTTGTCGGGGATTACGGGACGCTTGTTTGATGTGTAGGTATTTAGAGTTCAACCCCGAAGCGTTGCATAGAGTAGTTCCGATAGAATGATAAATAGAATAGGTTGCAGGTTGGATAGCACGTAACTAACCGTACCGGTGAGCCTGTACTTTACCACACTCGTCGACATGACAGCCAATCCCAGTACCCTGTTGACTCTCGTGCAGCAAATCACGACGCTCGGTGAGGCTTTCACCAACGCGAATGGATTCGCCCACCAGGATACACGTACGCAGCTGGTCGATGCGGCGGAGAAGCTTGCCATTGCCGCCCGCTATCCTGACGAGAACGTCTTCTTTGCCGTAACTAGGACAACGCAGAATGCTGCCATCCGCATTGCGTGCGCTCTCAACCTGTTTGCCGTCGTGCCCTCTTGCAGCGGTGATGCTTCCGCAGCCAGTATCAGCACCGCCAACATGGCCGCCGCCGTCAAAGCCGATCCAATAGTTGTAGCGCGTGTCATGCGTGCACTCGCGTCGTGTCACGTTTTCGATGAAATGGGCGAGGACTTGTACGCACACAACGCGTTGTCGCGTGCTTTCCTTGTGCCCGAGACGCTGTCCATGTTCAGTGAAATCTACGATATGGCCGGCAAAGCTGCCCACGCGCTACCCGACTTCTTGGCCGCCACCGGCTACAAGAACCCCGAGGACTATAACAACTCAGCCTTCCACCTAGGCGCCCACACGGAGCTGGGATTCTGGGAGTACCTCGAGGCTGACGACGCCAAGCTGCAGGCCTTCAACAACGGCATGCGTTCCCAGGCCACTGTCAAGGACTTTGACAGCTCCTACCCCTTTGAAGCTGAGCTGAATCGCTCCAAGCTTGCAGAAGGAGACGTGGTGCTAGTTGATGTTGGGGGTGGTCGTGGTCATGCTCTCGAACGCATCAAACAACGTTTCCCTGAGATGCAAGGCCAGTTCGTACTCCAGGATCAGGAGGCTGTCATCAAAGATGCAGTGTCTGGGGGCCTATCGTCGGAAATCATCGCTCAAGTCGCGTCGTTCTTTGAGCCCAATCCCGTAAAAAACGCTCGCGCCTATTTTTTTCGACGCGTTCTTCACGACTGGTCCGATGCCGTCTGCCGCACGATTCTACAAAACACGGTCGTGGCCATGGCTGCTGATAGTAAGGTGTTGATCGCCGAGTACGAGGTGCCGGCGGTTGGGGCGCCCGCCAAGCTGACCATGCAGGATATAAACATGATGGGGCTGGGTGGCTGCGAGCGCACTGAGAAGATGTGGGCTGATCTTCTGAATTCAGCCGGCCTCAATTTGACCAAGGTGTGGAGGACCCCGGGAAGCAATTTTGTGGTGGTGGAAGGAAGGTTGAAAGATGCATAAGTAACATGCAGCAAGCTCGTTTCGCTTAACTAAAGACTTGTAACGTTACAATTTGCCACGTAGAGTAATTAGGCATGTACCGGGACTAGTTACCTACCGGGCACTTGTTATAACTACATGACTAGAATAGATATTAAGATTCTATTTAAGCTAAGTTATAAATTATAGTTATAATACTATTTATTTAAGTTTTTAAAAAATTATAATAAGATAGAAAGCTAGAATCTTAATAATAAAATTTTAAATACTAAATTAGTATTTAAGATAACTATATCTATATATAATAGTAATATAAATTTTATAAAGTATATTTTTACTTTCTAGCTTAAACTTTCTTATTTTAAAAGTAGTATAGCATTAGCTACTATTTATAGCCTTATATTAAGATAACTAAAGTACTATATAAGATTTTACTTAAAATTTTACTTTTACTAAGTAAATAAGTTAATAAAAGTAAAAACTTAAGTATAAAAAACTTTTATTAGTATAAGTAGTATAATATCTACCTTTAAAAATCTAAATAAGATTACTTAAAAGTAATATATTATATTAGTTTCTAATAATATATATTTATTATTATAATACTATTAAAAGTAAAAATTTGTTTAAAATATTCTTTATTTATATTTAAAAAGAACTTTAGTATATTAAAGTACTAAAGTTTTACTTTATTAGTCTAGGTATTTAGAGTTATTAAGCTTTAAGAAGTACTTTATATTTTTATTTTTATTTACTTTACTATAGTAGCTATTACTTAACTTTATATATATAAAAGAATTTTAATACTAAACTTTATAACTTAAGTTATTTAGACTTTAGATGCAGCTTTTAGATATAAAGATAGAGGTGTGTACAGAGTAGTGCCCGGTAGGTAACTAGTCCTGGTACATGCCCGATTACTCTATCACGAATCGCAAGAATGCATGATTTGTGGGTGATCGTATAAACCTTGTCTAAAAATAAATGTCCTGGTACCCAATGCGGCATAGTACTAAAGTCCCTATACCTGAGCTGACATGTGACTGATGCTTATGACGAGCGCGTGACTTCACAAGACATTGCTAGACAACTCCATGTCTGCGACCTAGTGTTACATAAAAATATAAAACCTCACCAAACATATCCAGAATATGAGTTTCCCGCAAAAAAATTGCATTGTAACTACATGACCTCAATACCACTCATCACGTCGCAAAGTCCCTCGCTTCTGCTCACGTTTGCACGGAAGCCGGCCCTTGTGGAACGCCTCGGCCCCCAGATATGTCGTGATGTCAAGCTCACCTTTCTTGAACAAACAGCTAACGTACGTCTGCAACCCCTTGCCCTCGTCTAGTCGCCGATGTCCAGCCAAACTCTCCAACATTGTAAGATACTTTGCGCAATACGCTCCCCGGCCATTCACCTCCATCCACTGCGTGAGTGCTGATCCCAGAGCTAGATCATCTCGCCCATAGTATCTTGTAGGTACAAAGAGCTTGATCTCAGGAACCGCTTTGCCAGGGGCAATGTCGAAATAATACAGATATCCCTTGAGCGCCTTGCTCAGTTCACCAAAGTTACATGTCGTTTGAAGCTCGGAACCAGCGGGTACTTCTTTGTCTTCAGGGAAGTCATCGGCTAGGCCGTTGACCGTTTTCACGAGCGAGTGCAACTCCGAAAGCAGCGAGTCCATTTTGGGTGTCGTGATGCTTCCGCCCAGGGTCATAATATGGCGCACTGACACGAAGCTTGTTCGTGCTGTATGAAAATACCACTTCAGGCGCGACTTTTCGGGTGCGACGTTGTCAACTGCCAAAGAGATAGGCGTCAAATGTTTGCCTTCTGGACTGGTAGCAAGAAAGTTGTCGAGTGCAGTGCGTGCGGGTGTTTCGAAACTACCAGAAGAAGCACCGGCGCTGGTCCTATGTTCCAATTGCAACTCATCGATTGACGCCTGCCACTGCTCAAGTGGCATTATTCCAGCCTGGCCGAATTTGCGTGGAAAAAAGTACGTCTTGATAGCTGGGCCTGTTTCAACAAACTCCACCGCTAGCTGCACGCTCGTTCCCAGATGGCCGCCACGTACTGCCTCTCGCGCAAACTTGGCATTATCGTGGTCATACAGGGTAGAAAGGAAGTGGTTGGCCCAGTTGTTGTCGACTTTTGGCAACATAAATGCCATACGATGCAGTATTTCGCGGGTTGCCTGCTGATTCAGCGGATCCAAATCTGTCCCTGCGTTTTCTCCAATAGCCTCTACAACATAGCGTACATTGGGCATAGATTTGGGCGACGCATTGTTCCATTTCCACGAGTATTCGATAGGCGTACCGTCCAGTGCCATGAGCGATTTCCATTTGAGAGCATTGGGAGAGCTCGAACACGACCCTGGCGCTTGACCCATGTAAGGCAAAGTCCAGTGATAGTGAAAAAGCAGTGCCTCGTATTGCTTCTCGATGGGGTATCCGGCCGCCTCAACAATAGCTGCCAAGTGACGTCCTGTGAGCTGCCACCACGCATCACTGTTGGCGTTGAGAGTGGGCAGGCACTGTGACAGCGCATTCCATGCTCCCGTCATGGCGGAAAAGAGGTAGAAGATAAGATCTGTGATCTGAAGACCGAACAACCAAAACCTAATCTTGTCTGTCTATGGGATATGAAGGGTGAAAATTGGATAACTCTTCTTCACTCGGGATTTTGGGGCGACCAAGTTAGATACCTTAACCATCATAAAGCTAATTGACCGGAGATCAAACAATCAAGACGCCACCTTCTCTGCTCTTCGGTTGCCGTAGTCGCGACAAGACGCAATTCCGATCCCGAGGTCCGATCCCCGAGCCGCTGAGACTGTCGCCTTCATACACAGCAGTTGTTAGACCTGACATAAGTACCGTCAGCTCCATATTATTCTATGATCCTTGGCAGCTATCCAATAACGAAAAAATTGTCTATCGTTGCAGTGATTAGCAAAATGGTTCCCAGGGGTGTTTTCTTGCTAGCAGCGGCCTTGCAGGTGGCTGCAGATTCTTCATCTTGTGTGAGTCAATTAGCCATATTCCCATCGGAGTAAATGTTGCTCACATACTTCGCGTTATACAGTGCCAAGCTCTCAAACGCAAGTTGCCTGCCCAAGTTTTCAACGACCATGACGCGACCTATGCTCAACTCAACAACCAACGCTGGTCCAACACCAGTATCCTCGCTCCTAGCTGCGTCTTTGAGCCAAAATCAGCACTAGATGTGTCGAAGGGCGTCCAAGTCCTAGTCGAGCGCTCGTGCCCATTCTCCATTAAGTCGGGTGGACACAATCCTATACCCGGCGCGAACAACATCGATGGAGGAGTTTCCATGGTTCTGGGCTTGTTGAATAAGATTGATCTCACCCCAGATCGGTCGTTCGTCGGCCTGGGTCCTGGAGCCAAATGGGGTCAAGTGTATAGCAAACTCGCGGGCGGGGACAACGTATCTGGCCTCCTTGTGCCTGGCGGCTTGTGTGGAGGTACTGGCGTTGGTGGAGTTTCTACAGGTGGCGGAGAGTCGTATTTGCTCGCAAGCCATGGGTGGGTGGTAGACAACGTGATCAACTACCAGGTCGTGCTCGCATCGGGCCAAATAGTCAACGCCAACCAGAAGTCAAACAGCGACCTGTACCGTGCGCTAAAGGGCGGCGGTAATAACTTTGGTATCGTCACGCGTGCCGACGTGGCTGTGTTCGAACAGCCTCAACTCTGGGGTGGCTCTATTCTACTCCCCTACTTCCCGGATTCTGCCGTGGCGACTCTGTACGCCATCACTAATTTCACCGCCGGCAACAATATCTACCCAAACAATGGAGCTCAGGTCGTCATCACCTACACCAGCACTGGCACTGCGCTCATCGCCCTCTCTGTTGCGAGCACCGACGGTACCGTCAACTCAACGGGTCTAACACCCTTCACTTCGCTCCAACCTCAAATCGCCAATACGGTCGGCCTCCGCAGCATTAGCGACATCGTGGCGGAGCTCGACGGAAATCAAGGCGATGGTTTTCGAGATACCTCAGCGACCATCACGTTTGCCAACGACCCTGCTACCTTATTTGCTGTGCACAATGCATCAGACCATATCTATCTGAAGTATAACGCCACAGTTCCCTATCTCGACTGGGTGATGTTCTACGTTCCAACCGCTAAGATCGATGGCACACATGCTGAAGCCCGGGGCGGTAATGTCCTGGGACTCGACGACGAAGAAAAGGATCTGATTGTGGCATTCATTACGCCACGTTGGCTCGACCCGGCGTATGACCACATCATGTACGAGATGACTGCGGCGTGGGTCGACGCCGTCAAGAGTGTGACGGTCAAGATGGGCACCGACCACCCCTTCTTGTACCAGAACTTTGCCGCTGCGACGCAGAAGCCGCTCTGCGGGTATGGTGCGAAGAACGTTCAATTTATGCAGAGCGTATCAAAAAAATATGACCCTAAGAGTGTGTTTCAAAAGCTCGTGCCAGGTGGGTTCAAGGTTAGCAAGGCTTGTTAGCCTCATCTACCGTAGACTGTTGGGACGGAGGTTGATTCGATCAATTCGCAAAAAGCTTTGGAGATGTAGATAAGCAGATATCGTATGTACCCAGGATATCTCATCTGGACCATTGATAGTTGGAATAATATAGCCAAATCCTTTGGCGATAGCCTAAGTAGTTCTTGGACATGATCTAACCAGCGAACCAACATGTCGAGTATAGACAGGCTGTGAACATTGTTTTACGTTAAATGATTTATCCCTGAGCTCGTATGGTATCCTATATGAGTGCTTTTCGAAACACCTTGATCACACGTAATTTCTCTAGTAGCCGATTAGTTAGATGTCTAATAATGACGTACCTAGTAAATTAGTATTACAATTAATTATTCTAGTAATTATTAAGCTCACGCACGTCTACGCTAGTAAATAGGTCAGAGTTAGGTAGGGGTTAGGTCTTATATAAGCATAACCTAACCCCTACCTAACTCTAACCTAATGCACAGTCTACCCTAACCTAACCCTAACCTAATATTTTAATACTAGTATTAGGTTAGGGTTAGGTTAGAGTTATATAGACCCTAAGTAGAAGTTAAGTTATATTATATCTACTCTAAAATATTTCTAGTAATTAGAATTTTATATTATATAGGTAAGCATTTTAGTAAGTATTAGATTAAGGACAGTAATTATTATAGTTATTTATTACAGCTTATAGAAGGTTTTATTTAAACTATAAATCTAAGTATTCTTATATAAAGAAAGCTAATTATATAAACCTATTTATTTACCTAAAATCTTATTATACTAAACCTACTATAGTAATGTTTTACTAGTACTAAGTTCTTTTACTAAATAGTAACCTATTTAGTATAAATAGTATTAATATTATAGTCTTTTATAGTAAGTATAGTACTAGTAGTAGTAAAAAGAAATTAACTATACCTTTAAAATAACTAATAAGAAATAACTTAGTTACCTCTTAGAGGGCTTTAAGTATAGTTTTTTAATAATATATACCTATACTCCTTAGTAAGGCTTTAGTAATCTTATAAATAAGGTAAAAAAATAGTAACTTATAAATAAAGAACTTAATAGACTTCTAATACTTCTTAATATTTCTTAAAGCTATAGCTAAGTATTATTAGTATTTATTTATAATTAAAGAATATAATAATATACTACCTTACTTAAATTAGCGCTTCTTCTTTACTAGTATCTACTTTCTACTAGTTATTTTCTTTATAGTAGTCTTTTACGTAGCTTTAGTAGCTAAATCTTTCTTTAGCTACTTAGTAGTAGCAGTATTTAGCTTAAGTTTTCTTATTCTAGCTATTATAGTAAAGTAAACTTTAAATAATATAATTAAAGTATATAATAATTAAGTATTATTAGAAGTATAATAATAGTAAGATAAGCTTATTAAAGTTTTAAGAATAATAAGTAGTAAAGGTAAGTAAAAATTTACTATTTATACTAAGTAGGTAATGTATATATATAGGCTACCTATACTCTCTTACTTTAAGTTTTCTATTTAAAACCTACTACCTACTCTAACTTAATAACTATACCTATACTATATTATTATAGATATTAATTATATAATACGTAATAGATACTATTAAGGAAGAGCTTAATAATATCTTAAAGAGCCTACTACTAGCCTTAGAAAATAACCCTCTAATAGGTTTTAAGTATTAGAAGTAGTTTAATCTAACTAAAGTATTAAATATATTTATTTATTATAGTAAATACTTACTTATATAGGAGTTTAATTATAAGAAGTATAAAGTTTAAAATATTCTTATATAATATAGTTAAGCTAGTACTTAAAAAGGTTACCTAATAAATTTTAGAAAACTATTTATAGGTAATTTTAGTAATAGTAATTATACTATTACCTAGAGAAACTAAACTACTCTACTTAGTAAAAAAAGAAAAGTACTTCTTACTACTAAAGCTATAAATTATATTATAAAGTATTAGCTTAACTAATAACTTAAAAAGATAGATTAATATATAGCTATAAGTAAAAATAAGTAGGTAAAGTATTTTAAGAAAAAACTTAAGGAACTAGTATAAGATTACTTTAATAATTAGAAGAGTAGTAAGTTAATACAGTTATTTATTATATAATCTTACTAATAAACTTTAGCTAAGTAGTTAAAGGCTAAGCTTAATAAAGTCTATAAGAAATAGAAAGATCTATACTAAGAAGTTAATATACGCTAATATTAATAAGTTCTATAAAAGGTTACTTAAGTAGGCTAAAGTAGTATAAGTACTAAACCTTAATCTTATACTTAACTATACTTATTTAGTACTAGTAGTACCTTTAAATAGATTTTACGTAATACTTATAAAGAAAAATTAATAAAGTTAAATAGCTAATCTTTTAAGAGTAAGGGTATAAAAGAAAAGTAGTTAGCCTTTATTACTAGGCTTATAGTAGAAGAATTAGTAATAGTAACTAGTAAGAATTAGTTATAAGTTTAATATATACCTTTATTATATTTATATACTAATAGTAATAAGTAACTTAAACCTACGCCTATTTATAAACTCCTAAGTATAAATATCTCTACTTTATATAGTAATCTTCTATATATTTAAGGAAATAATAGTAATAAGTATAAAGAAAAGGTTAATATTAATTTAGAAATTAATAAATACTATAACTAGAGTAAAGATAAGTATAAGGGCGTTAATAAGTATAATAATAAGACTAATTTTAAAGGCTTTATAGATTTTAAAGGCTTTTTAGATAATAATACTAAGGTTAAAAGCTTAGGTTAGATAGTAGTAATATTAGCTAATAGTTATATATAATAATATAACTTAAAACCTATAATATTCTTTAAATAGTAACTTAGATAAAATAACCTAATAGCAAAGTAGATATAAAGTACTAGCTATAAGGTATTTAACTTAGTATTTTACTAACCTTTAATAATTAGTTTAACTTCCTTAGTATATATTATTATTAGAGTAAAGACTTAGAGTTTTATAGTTAAAGTAAAGATTATATATAATAGTAAGATTACTATAAGTTTATTCTAGTTTTTATTACAGCTTTCTATTACAGTTCTCTCTTACTATATTAATTAATACTACTAGATATATAATTAACCTATTACCTAAGCCTATTTAAGAAGTCTAATAATCCTATAAGCTATTACCTAGCCTTTATATATTAAAGTTAACTACTTCCTAAATTATTAAAGGTAAAGAAAAATTAAACCTAGAACTTATTAAATACTTACCTATAGTAACAAAGTAGAATAATAATAATAAAAATATACTTTTAACCTAAAATAAGTAGTAAAGTAAGACTAAATAGGCTGTTAACCCTATAACTAGTTATTTATATTAGAACTCTACTATACGCTATAGTTAAGTATAGCTATATTTTAGTAAGGCTATAGACTCTATAAATAGTTATCTATATATATACTACTTTAACTGTAACCTTATACTTTAATACCTATTAGCTAAAAAGACTATTAGAATAAAATACCTACTTAACTATTTAAACTTAAGAAGCTGTAAGTCTACTATTATTTCTATATACTTATACCTATTAATACTTCTTAATTAGTCTACTCTACTTAGTAAGAAAAGAACTTATAATTCTTTTCCTCTATATTCTACTTTAAACTTTAAGAAAGAGCTTATATAGCTAGTTATTAATAGTAATTTATTCTTCTAAATAATTAAACAGCTATTATTTAATTACTTTATTTAATTCCTATAACTAGAGGCTGTAATAATTAGCTATTATAAATTCTAGTATAACTTCTATAATTAATACTATAAAGTAAGGATATCTATTCTTTATAATCTTAGTATAATAACTAAAATCTTAATTATATTAGATAGGTAGTTTATAAGTAATTACCTTAGTTTCTTAGCTATTAAAGAGTATTATATTAATACTAATTAAAAACTTTAAGAGAAGCTACTAGATTTTATTCTAATATATAGTAGGTATACTAGTATTTCTATAGTAAAAGAGGTAAGTAAAGTACTTTCTAAAACTAGTACTAAGTATAAGCTTCTTATTATTACTTATAATAATACTAGTAATAATACTATACTTACTTAGGTAGTTAAAGTAAACTTATAAGATAATAAAATTACCTAGAGCTTATAAGAAAATACTATTCTATACCTTACCTATATTATTAACCTTATTATCTAGGATATTATCTAGTATCTAAAACTAACTGCTTTTACTAAAGTTATTAATACTTTATAAAGGCGCTATATCTAAGATATTAAAGTATAGATATTAGTTCTAAACTTACTTTATAAAGAATATACCCTTTTATTATATATATTAATTATATACTAATTAACTACTAGCTTAGAGCTATTTATATTATAATTAATATTTTACTATAGTATTATAAGCGCTTTATATTAATACAGCTATACCTTCTAGTAAAAGATTAGCTATCTATTATTTATAACGTAAAGATAAGATAAAATTCTACCTATAATATATATAAGTATATAATTAAGCTGTAGAGATATATTAATAAATAGCTAAGGTAAGAGATTATTCTTAAGGCTAGTATAGGTACTTATACTAGTAGTATTTTAGCTAAAAATAATACTAGTAAAGTAGACTTTTATAATCTAAAATGCCTTTAATTATCTTCTATTAAGTAGTATTACCTTAAGCTAATAATAGAGATACTTAAGTAATTTAAGAATATAACTAGCTTTCTAAGTAAAAACTAGAAGCTATAGATCTAGTATATATAGCTTATATATAATTAACTATTTAACTTTTTAGACTAGATAATAGAAGACCTTAATAAGAATATTATAAATTAAAAGAATACTAATTAGCTAGCTGTAGTATAAGCTATAGCTAAAAGAGGTTAGGTAAAATTAAGTAAGTACTACTTAAAAACTAATACAGAGTATAGGTTCTTATTTAACTACGTAATAATTTTTAACCTAACTTAAAAACTTATAATATATAAGGTCTATTTATTATAGTTACTTATTACAGCTATATACTAACTAAGTATATAAGATAAATTATAGAATTCTTAAGATAAATATATATATTATATATAATTTCTTAATTACCTTAGCTACTATAACTAAAAAGAGTAAAGTAAATTTATACTAGGCTTAACCTTTTATCTATAAAAATAATAAGGTAGTAAATAGTTTTAGAAGCCTTCTACCTCTTTATTATAACTAAGTAGTTTTTTTACCTTAAGTTAGAGTTCTTAAACTTAAGAAGCTAATAATCCTAATAGCTAAACTATTTAAGAAAAAGAAGCCTACCTTAGTACTATATATATAATAAGTAATAGCTCCTTTAATATTTTAAAGTAGTAGAAAGCTAATAAAGGTATATATCCTTAACTAGCCTAAGTTATAAAGAATATATTAGTAATACTAATTACTTAAGTTAGTATTAAGCACGTTTTTAATATTACTAAAGATATAATTAGTAATTAAAGGTATTACTTATCTAGTTAAATAATTTAGTAAATTATAATTCTTAAGGATTTAATTTCTTAAAAGGTAGACTAGCTAATAAACCTTTTAGATAGAGATATAAGCGTATATAAGGCTCTTTATAATAAGACTAATAATCTATTAGATCTTCTAGCTCTAGTAAAGTAGATAAGTAACTTATATAAAGTTATTATTAAAGAAGAAAATATTAAATAAGAAGAGAATATAAAGAGCCTATTAATACGTCTAGCACGTAAGTATATCTACTCTACCTATTACTATAATTAATAGTTATAATTAAATAGTTTAAATAATATTTTTATATTTTTTATATAATACTAACCTATATTATTATTATAATATATATACATCTTTATATAATATATATATATATATTTATAGGCAACCTACGTAGGTACCCTCTACCTAACCCTAACCTAAGCTTTAACTACCCCTACCTAACCTTAACCTAAAGCTTTAACTACCTCTACCTAACTACAACCCTAAGCTTAGACCACCCTAACCTAACCCCAACCTAGAGTCCGTGCGACCCCGACCCAACCCCAACCCGTCGTTGGGTACCCCGAACCCATTTACCAGCGTACGCACGTCCCTCTAGGGATGGATTAATGTATCTCTAAAATTACCCTCCTACAACTCCGTTAGAAAAGCCTAAATTAGCGCTTTTATAACAGATATGTAGAAGAGATTAATCTTAAGTGTACGCTGTTTGTTAATTTAATTAATCCTGCTACGGGCGTTGTATTACGCTGCGAGTCTAGAGATCTGGAGAGTAACCGATAGGCTACTACGCAAATCACGTGTGATCAAGGTGTTTCGAAAACCACTATATCAGAGTAATTGTGCGTCTCTCAAAAGCTGACAATACCTCATCTAGGCTTTCTTTCTCTATTTCTGGTGTACAGAGTCCAACACGAGAGAACATAGGTGCTTGTGCTTCTTCCTCCAATATCATCAAGGTCAGAGGTATTGATTTCCAATAATTGGACTGAGACTGAGGATATCCCATAAGAACGACTGTACATGCGCAAGAAGTTTGACGATTGACATCCAACACACAACCATCAAAGACAATAGGTGCAGTATCTTCTCGCCCGTGAGAAAGTACACCAACATGCTCACGGCCTTTGGGCAATCGATAGTACATGCGCGCAGTCTTAGCAGTGAGTGTGATTGCAACGTCTGGGTTGGGTTCCACAAAGTCATTGACGCATTTCCTGTCAATCGGTTCAAACTCAACCAGGGTCAGGTCCGGATTCGACACGCATTTGAAGAGCACTGTCCCATTGACAGATGCCCAGCTCCAACTCGGTATACGCCGATCTGTTGGCCTCGTGAGTATTGCAGGCTTGCTGTCAGAGCGGTACGGGTTTTCAGTGGTATAGTTGACCAGTCTGGGATGGTATGGGCCCCAGCACAGTCCCTGCAGAATTTGTTCCTCGAACAATCCTGCAACATAATGGAATCCCGAGCGCTCTTGGAATCTTGCAGCTAATGCAGAGATCGCAGGAAGTTTGTCGGACCCCATCGTGATATTGCGCCTTTGGAACTCATAAACAAGGCCATACCAATGTGCGATCAGCTCATGAACGCCACGAAACCATTGCGTCTGCACCGTAATTCTTGTCCTGTGCAAGTCGGCCGTCACAGATGGCGGGCCATATCGGTCTGCCGGAAGTTGCGTTGCCCAATGAGATCGTGAACCATCTTCCCCAACGTTGTAGTGGAGGCATTCGAAAAACATCTGTTCCCGCCCAACGTGCAGCATTGCGGTTGCAAATAGGCGTTCTTGTAAGCACCATGCTCGACTATTGAGAGGCGACTCTCTGATAGCATCGTCGAAGTTCTCATGGACCTTGCTGATGGTCCACAAGTTATCAAGCTGAATCTCTGGTGTAGGCTGGAAGTTGAAAATGCCAGCCGCACTGCTATTGGAATTGAGTGGTGAGATGGTAATCGCTGAACCTGCATAGATTGCAGCCATCTGACGTGCTTCGCGTGTCCAGTCATCGGCTGAATCTTGGATGATGCATAGAGCATCTATCCACAAGTACCGTATACCAAGGCGTCTTGTCATGATTACAGCTTCTCGAAACGTTTTTGGCATATCTCCCAACGGTATTCCTTTTTGTCTTTGTTGCAGTGTTCCTACCGTTGTCGTACACGATATCGGACCTCCCCAACAATGGGTCAAAGCAGCATACCTGCCGCTTTCGTTTTCGGGCGATAACAGGTATGGCAGGCTATCCACTTCATCTCCTACATCAATAATCCGCGTCGGCAGTGAAGGATATGTATATCTGCTGCTTCGGCAGACTTCGTGTATTTGAAGGCAATCGTTCACAAGAGTCAACAATTGCTTAAAGTCAAACTCTTCGATAGAGGTTCGGGTGGGGATGGCTCGAGCTACTTTGTGGTAGTGACGGTTCTGATAGTTCATCAAAGAATCAGGCTCTACAAATTTATTGAATCGAAATGAGTGTTTCACTGGCCACTCGGAATGAATCATTCTCAATTGCCATTTGTCATGTTCAGGGGGGCCATTCCAGTATTTATGCGTCCAGCGACAATCGAGTTGCTGAGAGAAGGCGGCGAGGAACCGACTCCTCCAAATAGTTTGCCTAACCTGTGCGAGGAAAGTGTTAGACTCTTTAGCGTGTTTTCGAAAATAAAAGCGAGACCGCCCAACAAACCAGCCAGAGCATGAAAAGAAGGCTTGTGATACGACGCCGATCAATTCCTCGCGAAACCAACTTTATGAGACTTGGTCTTACTACATCAATATTAGTAAGGCACTCTGTTTTCGCACAGTTAGAGTTTGAGTACCTGGTTGTGAAAAGGGGCAAAGCCATAGACTTCCATCGCAAGATTCTAATTCTTCATCGGCAAAGTCGTCTAGGATCAGGCGGCATAATTGGCAGCTCTCTCCGCTCGCCCTCAACGCCTGGAGATTTCCATGATGCTGGAACGCTACGCCGGTGAATTGGTGATCTGCTTCATCGTCTCGAATCCATCGATCAGAAGGGTTGGAAAGATATTTGGACGTGTCAAAGTCGTTTTTGACGAATAGTTGTGTGTACTGCTCGCATAGCGCGCATAGCGTCGCCAGGTCCTGGTGGAATTCTGGCATGATGTGTGCCCTAACCCTACACGACGATAAACAGAGAATGATAAGTCAAAACTCAATGAAATGCTGTGCTTGGTAAAACCTTCGTCGCGATACATCCAAATGACGCCGACTGTCGCCACGCTAAGGCCACCAACCTACGTCACGACCTCGGCAGGTTGGATACTTGTTTATAACCATCGCAACACAGATAGTGCACTGAGACGCTGATACTGGGTACTGCTGGACAACCAACTACCAAAACGATGTGACTTTTGAGCTGAGTCGTGTTTGGCCTAGTTGCATATCGGTAGGATGTCTGCACAACAACGCACACTACAACACTAACATATGATGCGATGAAGCTGCTATGCTATCTATGTTAGACCACGCCGGTAGCGATGAGGGTTTAGAACAATGTACTGTTCTTGGTAAATGGCACCTTGTTAGTGTGTGCATTGGTCACATCTGACGTTAGAAAATATCGTTAGTAAGACCGTTGATTGTCTCGACTTAGTAACTGGTTGGTCGGAGCAAGTGTCGAAGCCGTTAAAGCTATCAACTACCCCTGATCTTCGTACGATTTTGATTGGTTAAGACGGAGCGGAGCGGAGCGGACTCGACCTTTTCTTCACTGTTGATTGGTATGGAAACGGGTCCGCACAATCCTAGGTATCTATAACTTGAGAACTAGTAGGAAATCCTTTACAAGGAAGATCTGTAATGTATCAAGGCGCAAGCCACTATCTACAGGAGGCTTCTAGAAAACGCAAAGAGCCTAGCAACCCATCCAACGTGCGCTCATCGAAGTGCCGACTCAAAAATACTTTGTACACTTTCTACCCGAAACGAAGCGCAGACCTGCAACAATAATCTGCTCAAAGCACATCAATTGGCGGAAGTGTGGCTTGGTAATGATTTACTTGAATCGACGCCCAGATGCTCCAGTAATTTGCTTTCTCGAAAAGGGCCGACTGCGACGCTGCAAGAGGCATGTCGACCTTGAGAAGGATTGACTGCCTAGATCGAAAGAAGCCAATCCTTAGGATATCGCGGTCACAACGAGCGGACTAGGTCATGGCACGGGTATTGCGATGCTGATATGAGTGTTATCAAGCATAGTTTTCCTACTCTAGAAGGTGTTTGAGCAGCCAAGATCTATCCAGGGCTGTACACCGAGATGGACCGAGCCTAGCCAGGATCCTTGCTGCCTCAATCCAACATCGTCAAGGCAAACATGGCAGTCGGAGGTACGGCTGTTTTAGATGAGGTCCTCAATTTTGATCTCGTCGTGGTATAAAGGTTGATGGCGATATGCCATAGAAATTGCCCACATCATCAACCATCGTTCACTTAGTCACTCCTTCGTCAATCTTTGCTTCAAGATGCCGTCCTTACACTCTTACAAACAACAAATCCTGGCTGTTCTGCTCTGCCTTGCTCCCTCTCTCGTGTTGGGTCAGACTGCAGCAGCAAACGTTGTTCACTCTTGTCTGACTGAGGCTGGAGTACAATCAACGATTTCTACGGACAACACATGGACCAACGATACAGCCGCTTTTCAATTCCGTCTTCCTCGGCAGCCTGTCGCTGTTGCATTCCCCGAGAACAAGGACGAGGTAGCTCTCGCTCTGGGCTGCGCTCGTAAGTCTACAGTCAAAGTCTCAGTCGTTGGCCGCGGACACTCCTTCCAGGGTTCCAGTTATGGCAATCCAGGTAACCTTGTCATCAACATGGCGGCTTTTACGGACATGAGCTTCGATGCAGCCACCAACGAGCTGAAGTTTGGCGGTGGAGTCAATGTCGGACCAGCGGCCAAGTTTCTCTGGGATGGCCACAAGCGACACTTTCCTCACGTGCGAGGGTCTCATGTTGGGCTAGTAGGCAGCTCTATGGGCGGCGGCTTTGGCACCACGTCGAGAGTCTTTGGCACGCCGGTCGACAACCTCGTTTCTGTGGAATACATGCTAGCTAATGGAACGATCGTCACCGCCGGACTTGGTTCAGACCTGTTGTGGGCTGCGAAAGGTGCTGGAGCCAGCTTCGGTGTTGTACTATCGGCTACTACAAAGACGTTTAGTGTTCCTCTTGACGGAGCGGTAAGTTACTCGCTCGCTTTAGGCGACGTTGATGTCAACACCGCGGCTGCATCCCTGCTTGCCATTCAGAAATGGTCCACTGGCGGCCAGGCTCCTGACGCACTCTCCCTCCGCTTCGCGCTTGCGAACTACGCATCGGCGGGATTCTTCTACGGCGAAGAAGCTGCGTTCGACAAAGCGTTTGCACCCCTTATCACTTCGCTACGCACTATCACTCCCACTGTCAATCTGACCAAGACTGTTCTTCCTACATTTTGGGATTCAGAAGTGGCCGGCACTGGTCCTGGAATGAACCTCGCCACGGGCGGCGCGCTCGGTGGGCGTGCTTCCCTGGTGCAGTCGTGGACCACTACAAGCGATCACCCGCTTACACTGGCCCAAGCAAAGGCACTATTCACTAGCTACCGCTCCCTCGATCGCACCGACCTCAATGGTACTGGTTTCTTGGACCTGTGGGGCGGTGTCAACCGCAACGTCAAGGACTCCGATACGAGCTATGCCCACGGCAAGAACCTTTGGTTGGTGCGCGTAGATGGTGTGGCTGCTGGTACTGCCTGGCCTAGCAACGGCGTGGCCTACATGCAGAACCTCATGAAGCCTTTCGGAGATGCGTTGAAGAAATCCGCTTCCCTGAGAAGCTTTGCCAACTATGTCGATTCCGAGTTGTCTGTCGCTGACTGGAGCGCGAGACTGTACGGCGCCAATTTTGCCAAGCTCCAGAAGATTAAGAAGGCGGTTGATCCTACAGGCCTGTTTTCTGGCTTCAAGCTGGCAATTCCCCTTCCTAGCCGTCGGAACAGGTAGAGATTGTGTTTGTACTGGGTACTTAGCTGTTTGTTGAGTACGAGAGAATGAACCACTAGCCTGATTTAACATTATATCAAGCATCTGTAGATCTCGCAAATCAATCAAAGAACTGAAACATTCACCTGCGCCATCTCTTCGATCGAGAATACTACATCCCGATACTATACGTGCCGTAGATTAACATAGCTATCCTCATACCCATTGAACTATAGGCTCACGCTTGTCAAACAGTAAAGTTGGCCCGTCACAAGGTAGAGCAAACCTCTCGTCAATGATGATATGCTGGGTCGCTGCGAATTTCCATATGCAAGGCTAGAAAATAGTATGGAATGCATCGATTGAGAAAGATTGGAAAACATTGAAATTTGTGATTCAAATAAAGTTATTCTGAACTCTGGTATGCATCAACCCTCAGCTGAGAAGGTCCTTGTCCCATTACCATACATGCCATGACTTCAGATATATATTCTTATGGCCATCAAGAAGGGAGTTTGACCGGCTCTGGAACAGGGCTTCCGCACCAAGATACCAAATGTTTCCAACGGACCATAAAGCAGAACAAGCTATGCCAAGTCAAAGCGATTGCTAGTGCTGGTTGGTAGATGTAGGGGCTTCCAGGACCATCGCCTTTGGTGATCTCCTCGCGAAGACCATGACCCATCATTCGACAGCAGCGGTCAACAGGTATCGAGGAGTTCAGCCTGGTTTCGAGCGGAGGTATATGTGGATGCGCTCAGACTTCCAGGTTGGAAGTGAACAACAACTCGAAGACCATCAACGCAACTAGAGTCGAGGAAGCCTTCGCCCAGCATCAAGGTCCATTTCGAGTGGGATTCCAGCTCCGAAATATGCATCTTGTACTAGCGGGATTTCGCCTCCGAAGTATGGAGAAGCTCGTCCATTTTGTTGTACCGGTGCATTGCAACTAAAGAAACGAGCTCCTTCGTATGGTTCCTGCAGGATATCGCGCCAAACACGCCAGACCTTCCACTCATCACAAGTTTGATTGATGTAACGAGAGGTGAGAAGAAAGCTCAGTGCCGATGCGGAGGGTAGTAGGTTGCAGATTCGTTGTAAGATTTCGGGTGGTAGGTCGACCAACATATTGTGACTGGATTGAGTATGCCACGGAAAGGATGGAATAGGATTTGGAAGACTTGCTACAGAAGGAAAATGGATAAGAGGGCAGTCTTATACGAAAGGTGGGGATTCGGCATCCTGACAACAAACCCCGTTTTCATCATGATGGCACGAAAAAGCGTTTCTAGAGAGGTGAGGGATGTAATGCGAGGCGTACAGGAGATCGGAGCCTTGTCCTGTCGTACAGTCAGCTGATAGCAACGAACGATCGGGCCTTAAAATTCTCATAAGACGTCTGGGGTACTCTTTTTGCACTCAGTGGCAGGTGACGTTTCGCAATAGCTACCTCTATTTGGTTACCAGACGCTTCATACGGCACGTACCACAGACTTCTTTGCTGTAGTTTTAGTCCATGACTCGAGAGTTCAATTACCAAGTACCTCATTATGCATGATCATGCTCGAATACTCGCCGAGCGCTTGAGCTATTATTGATATCATTGGCTGGTCGCATACCGACGATGTGCGAGCGTACGCCGAGTGCAAACTTAGCGTATTTATTCACAAAATAGCATCAGAAATGTAAAACTAGCTGTGCGGTGGCAAGGACGCAGATCATGTGACGTCGCGAGAACACCGCCACACTCGTCTCACATCAGACTTGTGATGAGATAAGAACTAAATGACTTTTTCCGGCTAGTTACGAAATCTAGGCTTGGTCCTTCAATAGGTTGGAGCGCGGAGCCGGTTATCTGGATCAGTTTGGCGAAATCCTTCGGTGCATGTTACATCGCATCGTGCAGCTGTCTTATGCGGATTCCAACGAGCCGCGGAAAGACACGAAAGAAGGAACTTCCCGTTCATGCTTCTTCAGTAGCCCGATTCTCTCGACGGTGGTTGCCTATCAAAGAGATTCTGCCTATCAAGAGATCTGTGGTAATGCGAGGAACAGGGTCATTGCCGCGTAAGCACGCTCAATCTTTGCCGCGAAGATGCGAACACCCTCGACCGAGGCTGCGACTCCGGATGGTGGAAAAATTGGAACTAGGTAGTGCAGGTTACATCGAGTGAACTTTGTTCTTGCATTGGAGGAAATTAGCGCTATACAAATGAGTCTTCTCTGATGTCAGCGGTTGCTGGGATCGCTCATGCTGCGCCGCTTTCTCGCCGAAAAAGCTCCATACGCGGGTCACCATTGTCGGGTTTGGGACACACGAACTTGGAACCTAGGCGGGGCGGACCGTTCCCATGACATTTTTCCTCTATAAATCGGGACGATGCAAGGTGTTCGCCAAGATCCAAGCGTGGATCCTTGAGTAAGCGCCTACGAACATGCAACTTGCGTCTGCACACTATGTTCAATGAATTGCAAGGGTTTAAATGTGGCTGATGCGATAGAGCGGCGTAGTTGGATAAACAATTTGGAGAATTTCACAGTTATGGGTAGTTTTCAAAATACCTTGATCACCCCGTGACTTGCGTATCAGCCTATCGGCTGGATATCCGGATCTCTAGATTGGCAGCGCTGTGTAAAGGAGACTGAATAATCAATTCACTTAAAAGCTGTACGTCGTAACAACTCATAGCTACATTGTTACTACCTTAAATGCCTTAGTTTAAGCAATTACAACAAGTTAAAACGTTAAGGCTGATTCAAAAGATGGTAATTCTAGCCCCAAGATCACGTGATAGAGCTTAATAATCAATCGATAATTAACTTTACTAGACACGTCATAACCAGGCATTCAACCAATCGGCCGATACGCAAGTCACGGGGTGATCAAGGTATTTTGAAAACTACTATATCAGTGTGTGACACCTGAGCGGAGACAATCAATCGGTATCGTCTCATCTTACATCGTTTCACGCTACAATCGTCATCCAAAGCATGGCAAATTTGGATTCCTCGTTTGTTCCGACTGCAAAGCTCCGCTCAACCTGTAAAGAGTGTGCTCTGTCGAAAGTCCGATGTGAGAAGCAAAAGCCTACCTGTCGACGATGCGAATCGCACGACTTCGAATGTGTATATGACCGCTCGAAACGTAGAGGGAAACCAAGGGCGACGAAACAGCATCTGCCAACGTATACTTGGTACGATGCAGATCTCCTCCATGGCGTCACGGCCTCCCCAAGCTTTACCAGTCCATTATCTCAAGACATTGGATTCGACCCGGATCTTTGGTGCACAAGCAACATCTCGTACGTAGATGTTGAGCCGCACCCTTCGATATTCCGTGGTATCGACGACGAATCCTGTGTCACACTGTCGAATAACGCTGAAAACAAGACAATTCTACTTCCCGAACCAACAATGCTTTCTTGTATACCACCCCGTCTTTGTCAAGATGAACCCTGTATGGGAGCAACATGTACAGATCAAACACTACGTATTCTGAGTGCTCTTTGTCACGTCGGATCCGCAAATCGGACGATCGGTGGTCTAGCAGACAAGAGAGCAACCTCAAGCAGTATTGTTCTAGGAGCGAACAGAGCAGCTCTGAAGGACATAGAGCAAGTGTTGAGTAAGCCCTGTACGTACTGTGTGCAGGACGCAAACGTATGCTTTTTGGTGGCCACAGCAATGTCCAAGATTCTGGCATGGTACTTTAGTGTCTTGGAAAGCATATCTGAGCTTCCAGAATTACGGTCGACTTCAACTTCTGAGCTGGTGTTGATGACGCCTATTGTCATGGGTCAGTTCCAATTGGACCGAGTGGCGGAGACACGAATGAGTGCACAGCTGTTGCTGTGTGAGCTTCAATGCTTTGGAATTGTACTAAGCTTGCTGGAGCAGCGAAAAGATCGTTCCGTGCAAGGGAGAGAAGTGAGCAGTACTTTCCATGCATATCTTCGAGAATCTTTGCGCGTTTTGAACAGCAAGCTTCAAGGTTTGATCGTCCCGGCTGGAGGAAAGGAAAGATAGACTCGTTCTCTTAATGATTGCTTATCAATGGCCCACTCAGTACACAATCTGATTTGTTGTTCAAAGACATAAAATTTGCGTGTTTGAGGCCAATGTGATGCAGAATTTGAATCGATGTCAATGTGGCCGACTGTCTAGAGAACGGTAGATGTCGACAGCACGCTCGATCGTTCTCTGACATAACAAAAGTGGAATGCACAACTAAATATTCACGAACGCTGTATGCCTTGTGGGGTGGCTGACGGCAGAACAGGAGGCTTCGGTATGCGATCGTTTTGCGAAGTCACACGTCAGCGCTTGCTCGGCGAAAGGTCGGCCATTGAACGAAAGCGCCCCCAACTGCAACACCGACAACATCAACACCATACCACAAGATGAGACTCTACTGTCGAATTGAGTCAAAATGGCCATGAGAGCTGACCGGATTGTGGCTTGCCTTTTCTACGGCTTACAGGCGTCCAGTGGGATGCCATCCTTCCGGTTCAGCATCCACATGCCAGGCGTAAGCCATCGCACGTCAGCGTTCACGCTCAGCGAACAGACGGTCTCTGACGATGAGGACGTTTTTGGCTGTCTATGATCACAGTAGCGTGCTGTGTTCCATTTTTGTGTGGAGGCAGCTACAATTAGCCAAATGTTGAGATGCTTATATCATGGTCCATCGTCCCTGGCTGAAAGGGACGCATTCGTACACTTGACAACATTCCAATGGCAAACCCTTGTACGACGACCTTCTGTTCTGACCAGCCTCACGATGGCTGTAAGAAACATCAATTCCCTACAACATACATCAAATCGGAAGTGGGCGAGACAATGCCCGGTCCTACACAACCGACATGTGTCGCCTCCAAGATGGCCATTATCGGGTACTCTGGAAGGTATCCCAGTGCTCAGAGCAACGAGGAGTTCTGGAGCATATTGGTTGACGGACGTGATGTGGCAACGAAGGTACCCAAAGCGCGATGGGACATCAACACCCATGTGGACCCAAGTGGTGAAAGAAAGAACACTAGTGCAGTGCCTTTTGGCTGCTGGCTCAAGGATCCAGGACTCTTCGATGCACCTTTCTTCAACATGAGCCCGAGGGAAGCACCCTACGTGGACCCAGCCCAGCGTCTCTCGTTGACGACAGCATATGAAGCCCTAGAGTGCGCTGGATTAGTACCTGGATCCACGCCATCGACACAACGAGATCGAATCGGCGTATTCTACGGCACAGCTAGTAACGACTATGGCGAAGCCAATAGCTCGCAGCACATCGAACCGTACTCCATACCAGGTGCTTGCCGTGCTTTCATTCCTGGGCGACAGAGCTATTTCTTCAAGTTTAGCGGGCCTAGTTATAGCGTCGACACCGCTTGCGCCTCGAGCTTGTCTACCATTCACTTAGCGTGTAACGCATGTAAGTTGGAACACTACTCTGTCATGTCTGAACCTCGACTGATCCTCCTACACTAGTGCGGCTGAAAGACATCGACACTGCCGTTGTTGGTGGTACGAACATCATCACAAACCCCGACGTCACAGTGGGACTAGACCGTGGCCATTTCCTGTCGAGAACAGGGAATTGTAAAACGTTCGACGAGGATGCGGATGGTTATTGTCGGGGAGAAGGCGTTGTCACCTTCGTCATCAAGCGATATGAAGACGCCGTGGCCGACAACGATCCCATCATCGCCCTCATCCTCGCGTCAGCTACGAATCACTCTGCCGAAGCTGAGAGCATGACTCGTCCACATGTTGCCACACAATGTGCAAATATTGAGAAGGTTCTCTTACGTGCGAACGTGGACCCCGATAGTGTAAGATATGTCGAGATGCATGGGACAGGCACCCAGATTGGGGATGCGCGAGAGATGGAGACAGTGCTCACAACATTTGCACGCGGAACTCGCGAAATACCCCGTGCTGACCCATTATATCTCGGGTCCGCGAAAGCCAATATCGGTCACGGCGAATCAGTCTCTGGAAGCATCGCTCTGGCCAAGGTTCTGATGATGTTGGAGAAGGAAACCATAGTTCCACACATTGGAATCAAGACGAAGGTAAACATCCCCAGGAAGCTCTTCATGACTATGTGCTCACACACCACAGATGAACCGCAAGATCCCTGGTGATCTAGAGCAACGAAACGTCCATATTCCCAAATCATCAGTCGCATGGCCACAGTCGATAGAAAACCCACGCCGCGCTGTCGTCAACAACTTCTCCGCCGCTGGAGGTAATAGCACAATCTTGATCGAGGATGCGCCCCCGAGGAATCCATCCACACAGCGAGACCCTCGCACGTCGTTCGTTGTCGCCGTGTCCGCCAAGTCAAGTACCGGTCTGGCTGCCAACATCAGATCGCTGGTCGAGTACATGAAGAAGGAGAACCCAGATCTGGCTAGTCTCTCATACACAAGTACCGCCCGTCGCATGCATCATTCTTTCCGCGTTGCTGTGTGTGGCTCCTCCATCTCAGACGTCTGCGAGCAGTTAGAGCGCAGACTGATACCTGATGGAGTCACCAAATCTATCGATGCCGTGAAGAGCGCACCGGATATCGCTTTTGCATTCACTGGACAGGGCAGTCAATATTTCGGGATGGGTCGTGATCTGCTCAACTTCCAGTCCTTCGCACAGGACATGCACAGGCTCGACACGCTCTGCCAGAAGCTCGGATTTCCTGCCGTACTGCCCTTCATACAAGCTGACAGCAACGCCATGTTCGAGCCCTCGCCGGTCGTGGTGCAGCTTGCATTGACTTGCTTGCAGATTGCCATGGCTCGGCTTTGGCAATCTTGGGGAGTGCAACCTACTGCAGTAGTTGGTCACAGTCTAGGCGAGTACGCCGCGTTGTGTGTTGCTGGCGTCTTGTCGGAGTCAGATGTCGTCTGGCTTGTGGGGAAAAGGGCACTACTTCTTCAAGACAAGTGTACACCGAACACGCACTCGATGATCGCTGTCGATGCAGCGTGGGAAAACATCTCCATGTTGGACCTTGATGCCTTCCGAGTCGAGATCGCCTGCAAAAACAGCCCGAATCAGATTGTCTTAAGCGGCGCAAACGCGGATGTCGCCACGGTTCAAGACATCCTATCAGAGGCTCATATTAGTTGTACCAGGCTGGACGTTCCACTGGCTTTCCATTCGGCTCAAGTAGCGCCCATCCTGGACGAACTCATGGTTATCGCAGGGAGTGTCGAATACAAAGCCCCGCGTATACCAGTCTTGAGTCCGCTCCTGGGTGAGGTCGTGGTCGAAGCAGGTGTATTCGGTCCAGCGTATCTCGCGCGGCACTGTCGCGAAACAGTGAACTTTACTGGAGCCATTCGTGCCAATCACACTCTTACCGATAGCACAGCCTGGGTCGAGATTGGGCCACACCCTGTACTATCCGGCTTTCTGCACTCTACACTGGCTTCGGCTGTTACTGTTGCTGCGTTACATCGACATGAAGACGCCTGGTCTTCCACGGGCAAGGCCTTGGCTACTCTGTACACATCCGGGGTTGACGTGCAGTGGGCCGCATACCAGTCTGACTTCATCGGACATGCTTCCGTTCTGCGTCTACCGTCTTACAGCTGGGACCTGAAGGAGTACTGGATTCCGTATGAGAACGACTGGCGTCTGCACAAAGGCGGACTGTGTGTCACTCCAAACGCAGCAGCCCCATCTTCCACTCCTGAAAAACTTCCCAACAACGCGCCCAGAGATGAAGGTAAGAGCAAAAAGCGTCCGCGGCCCACGCAAGCCCATCAACACCACGTCAAGAAACAACGCATGAGCCTCCCATCAACGAGCGCGAGTCCAAACCCGACGCGCATCACAATCCAGCTAGACATGAAGACAATGAAGCTAGAAGTCGACATCGACACAGGAAGAGCAGCACTCAAGCCCCGCCGTCCACGCCGCACGCCAGACCGCAAAGCACTTTCCCCCGCAACCCCTCAGCCAGAACCCACTCTCCACAACAGCACTTCACGCGACAGGTCCTGGTCGCACGCCCTGAACATCATGTCCGAAGCCAGCGGCGTGCCGACGTGCGCTCTCACCGACGCCGTCGTCCTGGCGGACGTTGGCTTCGACTCCCTGCTCGCGATGACGTGCTCGGAGCGGTTTCGGAAGGAGTGCGGCGTCGAATGCCCAACTAGCGTGTTTTTCGAGTATCCGACGGTCGGGGGGTTGAAGGCTTTCTGGGTGGAGGGGAGGGCCGAGAAGTATGCTGACTGTCCGAATGACTCGGATTCAACGGCCGTTGTGTCGGATCGGGATGGGTATTTTTCGGACCGTGGATCGGAGTCGTCGGGGCTGAGTTCGTCGGACTTTCATTCGGATTGCGATTAGGTGTCGCTTTCGGTTAGTGATGGATTTGTGGTCGATATCGTGGGGGGAGCGGAAAGGAGTGTTGAAGTTCGTTTTCGATATGAGTGATGGGGATGAGGAAAAGGTCGGGGTTGAGGGGATGTATTTCGTATTATGTGGTTTGTATCATAGGTTGAGATTTCCAAGTTCGTATATAAATCAAATTGTTCTGGAGTGGTTAACTAGTCACTCATATTCGCATCCTGTACTGTTTTCTGGTAAATAGCTGTCTCGTAGATTGGACTAATTACACAGCCAATAGACCATCTATAGCTCATCAATTTTTACCAAAAGACACCCTGTTAAAGAGCGTACTTCAGTCCCGCGACGCAGCAATCGCCACCCCATACCGATGAGGAAACAACTCTAACCGATACTGAAGAACCCTTTGGTGTGATATACACTAAATCGAATCGAATTAACCCACACATTGAGGTAAACCCACTCTTTTACGTTGTTTAGACGTACATCTACCTCACTTAATAGTTATATTCCCAGATACCCTGCCACTAGTACAACCATTACTCACAACAACATCCCTCCAGCCCACCCTACACACGCTGAAAACCCAGCTCCCCATACTCCCAGTCAATCCAAATCCCAGGAACTAAGGTGCGCCAAAAACTATCCAACAACCTGACACCTACACCTCCATTCATCATCAAAATCATATGCCCAGGTTCTGAGCTGTATACGCCCTGCGTACATGTTTTTATATTTACTTGTATAGCTTCGCAACTTGTACGAGCCAGAAAGAACGCAGCTTCCTGCCTTTGTAGGTGACTGAGAGCTATGATAGAGCGCACGATTGAGCCTACCTACGAACTCCCCTATAATCAAGATAGGATCTGATCTCACAATCAAGCTTAGATTGAAGCCCCCAATGTATCTAAATTCTGAACTACAACAAATCTTTAATCTCAGCTTTTAGGTGGATCTTTATGCAGATATGGGAATAGCAGTAAAAAAAAGAACTTGCCGATATTAACTCTGTTGTACATGTGTGTCTACAGATAAACTTACCTTACATTCAATTCCACACTGCACCGCAGTGTAAAACACACTCTTTCTTCTGTGTTTTGAATCTAGCGAATGTGCGGATTAAATTACACGGTTTTGTACCCCAGTGCGAACCATGGTGACAATGTGGATACATCCCTTTTCCTCCCGTTATCCCACATATCACAGCAATACCTCGAATATCCCCAACTTTCCCCTGAAGCAGACACCCCATGCCAGCTGTACATCACCAGCTAACACGCTATCGGCACTTCCATTCCATTACAGCATGTTACCAGCACCATGTATCGAACCCAGAAAAGTAGTGCATGAGCCGTTAAGCACCACCCTCCATTACGCGTTATGTCCAGATTCTAGTTTCCAGCTCCTCAGATCCTCAAATCCGCGGATATACGTACACGCCGTTCCCTATCCATCCCTACCCCACCCTACGCTCCGTATGCTCACGCGGTATGAACGCCTCCGAACATTTTTTGGTCGAAAGATAACTGGGTAGTAGATAAAACGAAGTATCCATGCCTAGTTCCCAGCCAATAAATCGCGCTTTGAACAAATAGCCACGGGTAGGACTGTCTACAGCTGCCAAAGAGCGATAGAGTATGGGCGAAAGGATGTAGACACAAACACATCCGCGAATTTTATGAATCCGTCCATGTATTGTACGTGACTTGTCTACACAGGACAGTGCGCGGTTCACATGGCGAGACGCGATGCGATTCTGATGTGAAGGTGATGAGTGTACAATCTCTTCTATTTTATTCTCTTCATTCCCATTCTTCCCAACAACAAAGACACACGCCGAAGATGAGAGATATAGTACAATAGTGCGCATGCTGTATCAGCTCAGGAGCGGATCAGTATGCGTGAACGAGGGAAGACATGATATACATAAATCCATACATTTTCATCACACCCGAACAAACCAATCCCTCTCCCTCCCCCCTCCCCCCTCCCCCAACATCCATCCATACATATCACACACCCCTCCCCTCCACCCCCCTCGTCCGTCTGGCCAACAACCCCGCCCCCCCCGCACTTACCACCCGCCCAAACTCGGGCACCGCCCTCGTCCCCTCAACAACCCTTCTGTCACTCTTCCCCACCACCCCCTCCCCATCACGCGCACGGCGATCCAGCCCGCGCTCCCAAAACGCATAGTCGACAACCTTGTCCAGACCGTACGATTTACGTTTATCAGCGGCGGTGGGGCGTGTGCGGTGCAGGGCGACGTTGCCCATTGTGAGGAGGGCGCCGAGGTCTGGTTTGGTAGGGCGTGTTGGTTTAGATAGTGGTGATGTGGATGTTGATTTAGCGCGTTCCCGACGTTTCTGGCCTTCGATGTGCAGGGCGCTGAAGAGGGATGTGGGTTGTGGTTTTGCGGCTGTGCAGAGGTGGGCGTAGAGGTCGCCGAGGGTGTGGGTGGAGGAGAGGTGGACGTCGGAAATTGTGAGGGAGGTGAGTTGGTGGATGCGTTTGAAGAGCTGGTAAATAATATTAGCAAGATGTGGGATAGTATGAAAGGGGTAAATATATGCTTACAGCGAATTTCAGCGCGTCGTCGGCAATCTCTGCGTGGCGCCACTTCACCTCTTCGACGTCGGGGACGGGGGATGTCTTGCGTGGACGGACCGTCTTCTGCATGGCGGACATGTCGTCAGCCAGACGTTGTGCCCGCGCTTCGAGGTCGGCGTGCTGTGAGGCGTTGGCGATGGGTGATGTCGCGCTGACCGAGACGACTGTGGGGGGTTGTTCGGATGCATCGACGACCGTGGCGACGACTTCCTCAACAACGGGTGTCTCGACAGGCGTCTCGACAGGCTTCGCGCGGGGCACGGGACGGTTGGACATAAAGTCAAACGGCTTCTTATCCGGGTCCTGCTTGACCAGCGCCGCCTTCTTGAACGCAGGCGTGTCGGGGTCCATCTCGGGCTGTGCAGCTTCCACCACCGGCTCACCCTCCTCGACGACCAGCTCCTCCTCCTCCTGCACTGGCGGCGTCAAGTCCCAGACAGGCGTCGACTGCATGATGCTGAGGAACTGCTCGGCGCTCTTATACTGCGGGAAAGCAAGGGCGAGCTCCCCGCTCTCAGTGCGGTACAGCTTGATATCCTTGACCCAGCTGGGTTGCTTGTACACGCCGCGATTCTTCGACTGCGCGAGATCCAGATCCAGCCCCGCCTGCCGGAGTGTATACACCTCCGCCACGGCCTGAGCGAAGCGGTCATGCAGCTGCTCGGCGGTCTTGGGTTTCTTGTACACACCATAACTACACGACATCAACAACCACATAAACACACGCACGGTGAAAACTCACTTAAACCCCGTATACGGCCGTCCGGTAACCTTCTGCACCCTCTCACCAACCCCGAAATCCTCATCCCGCAGCGTATACAAACTCCCCGTCCACTCCTCCACCTCACGCGCCATATCCAGCGTCAACGGCGTATACGTACGCCCCGTCAACTTCTCATACTCACGCGCCATATCCTGCTCGAGTTTCCTTCTCTGCCAGGCCTCGCCGCCGACATGCATCAGCCCCCTCTGCACATCGGCGGGCCTGTACGACGGCGCCGCCGCATTCGCATCGTCCAGCACTTCCTCGTACTCGCCCTGCTCGGCGGGCGCGATGCGGACGGGCGATGTGGGGTCGTAGGGATCGACGTGCGCGCCGATCGGCTCAGAGTCGCCGAGGAGTCGCTTCTGCCAGCGCCGCACGAATTGCTGGTGCTTCTTTTTGTCTTGCTTGCCGGCGGGGACGAGGAAGGCGGGCGTGGGCGTTGTCGAGAAGGCGCGGAGGGGTGGGCATGGTGGGGGGCGGGCGGAGGTGGAGAGGAGGAGGGGGGAGTCGAGGGCTCGCGTGGAGCGAGGTATTCGGCGCATTGGGGCGGATGGGGCGATGTGTGCGGGTGTGGTTTGGGAAGTTTTCGTGGTGTTCGGGGAGGGAGAGGTGTGCCAAGACTCCGGTGGGCCAATCAACATGACGGACACTCCGAAGTGATGTCGATGAATTTATGTTATTGGGGTTTGTCCACATTATCATCTATGAATATTGACCTCGTAAACTTACATTGTTGTGAATAGTGTGAACATAATTGAAGATCGAATATCTGCACGAATTGCTTGACCATCAAGTATCGAATCTTCCTTCAACAAACATCACCAACCACCCACCCTCCAACTACCCCAACATGCAAGAACATCAATCGACAACAACCACATTCACCCCGCAAACTTCCTCCCCAACCACGCACTCCCCTTCTCCTCATACTCCGCCTTCCCCACCAGCACCTCCCCCAGCCCCTCACTCCGACCCGCAAACCTCGCAGCCCCCAACCACGTATGCCGAACCGGGTCCTCCGCCCTTTGCACACCCAGCACATACTCCGCGGGCACTCTCGCCCTAAGCTCAGCCTCTAGCCTCTCCATGAATCCAGGGATAAGCGAGTTCCCGCCTACAACTAACACGTTCGCCAGCAAGCCCACTCTTAACGCCTCAGGCAGCATGCTCAGCGCCTGCATGACAGCCCCGGGTATGCCTTCCTCCTGGATACCAATATCGGATGGGTTGAAGAGCAGTTCCGGCACAGCGAAGCGCTCGTTGCCCAGCGGCAGCACGTCTTCCCTCGGCCCCTGCAGCGCCTGCAGACCCTTGCGTGCGCGCGACGAGACGGGATCGTGTGGTCGGGCGTGGCCGTGGATCGCCTTCTCGTAGTCCGGCAGCACGTAGTCGACGACGATGCTGGTGTCCAGCGCGCGCTTGTCGCCGAGGCGGCCTTTCCATGTGCGTGCCAGATCTACGCCGAACTGCTGGGATGAAGGCGTGACGAACGATACGGCCTCTTTGATCTCGTTGAGCAGGTAGGTTTCCTCCATCATGTTGTAGTGGCGGAGTGAGGCTAGCTCTTTGAGGTAGTTTGTGAGGAGTTTGCCGCCTACTGTTATACGGCGCACGGCGGATTGGAGGACTTTGCCGTTGTAAAGTGGGAGGATTGTTGTGTCGGAGTATGAGGTGTCGATGACGAGCATGCATTCCGCCACGCCGTCTGGGTTGTGGAACGCGTTCGTCGCGGGCCCTGCACACTTCAATCAGCATCCCTCGTGATCTCGCTCAACCGAAGAACATACCAACACCCCTCCAATACCCCGCAAACCCAAACTGCTCAAACACAATCTCATCGCAATTCCTCTGCAGTTCGCGCGGACAATTCGGTTTCTCCAGGAGCACGAGATTCGTCTCCGTAGGTTCACACTGACCATCCATTAGCCCAAACATCCCCACCTCCTCTCAGAATCAAAGTGCTTACCTACCCTCCCCAACACCTCCCGTTCCCAAACCCCCTTCTGCGCCTCCCACCCGACCACGAACCCCCTCTCCACCGGCCGCCGAAACGCCAGCTCCCCAAAGTCGCGACAATCATCCAGTTCCGACCCGACGTAACTGCGCTTGTCGCGCGTGCTGCGCGCGATGCAGTTTGGGATTACCGCGCAGTCGGCGTAGCTGGGCGGTGTGGAGGAGGGGGGCAGGAGCCCGGCTTTTAGCGTGTAGGCGCCGTTGTCGAGGATAAGGGTTTTGGTTTGGGGGACGGCGGGTTTGCGTGATTTGGGAGGCATGGCTGGTGACGTGTTTGGGTTGTGTGTGGTTAATTGGGCGGTGAATGAGTTGTGTTGCGTGTTGCGTGTCGGTAAAAGTCGCGTTGGATTGACATAACTTTCCGTCAGCGATGCGTGGGCACGTGAGTTTCTTCGCCAGTCTTGCAACGCCATCACCATCCAAGACGACCACTTTCTCGCAAGCAGGTTACTGGAACAATTATAGTCAGATGCCCATGTCTTCAGAAGGTTACACCTGCAACACCAAATCCCCATCACATGCAACCAGCCAGTCGCCCAACTCTACACTTCCCCTCATTCACATGTTCAGATCAACAAGAGAGCCGTAAACATGTACACAGCAAGAAGGCTCAATATAGACAAAGACCCTAGAATCGAGACGCTTTGCTCAACGCAAGAAGAATCCAAGTAATCAATGAAATCGAAAGCGATTCATTGAGTTTAGTGATGAAGCATACAAGTAATACTTGAAAAGTTCAAGTATTACATGAACTTCTCGCAACGTCGTCAGGTTACCTACTGTACTGCACAATGTAAAGGAGCTAGTACAGGTCGCACGACAAAGATGGTTGAATCCCTCTAACAAGTGAGATACCTACTGCGTTGGCGAGCGATCGCGCTAACCGAGCGATCACATGATGTGCTTCAGGCCCTCGATCATGTATTCATACAACATGTCACGGCATACTGCCTCCATGCACGTTCACTCATGACGATGAAGAGAGAGTCTACCTACCTATCACTACACAACGAAACATATTAGCACGTGATTGAAATGGGGCCTTGGGCGGTGTGGGAATTGCACCCGCGGTTTCCGATCTGGCGTTCCTAGAGCATTCCCGTGACGGATAAGTCAGTCACGCTAGGCCGGTTGATTGGCTCGGTTGCTTGCTGTCTAGACACCACATGACCAGCCCCACGTGATGAGCGTCACGTGACGAACATCATGTAACAAATACCGTGTTGCCCAACAGTCTCTACACAACTCTATTATTCTGCGTCCCCTTCGAGACACGAAGAATGTTCTGCATTAGCAATAACAATAACAATAATATCATCCGCATTTGTAGGTCAGCAAAACATACAAAGCATAGCTGCTTATAGAAGCTCCTCCTTTGTTACAGCGTGCCTTCAGCTCGTAATCCACCAATCTATTGCTACATTAGTCTAATAGCAATCAAGTTCGTGGCTGCAAGTCGACTTAAGTGGTGTGTCAGTCGACGCTCGATGAGGATGTGTTTAAACGCGAAGAGCTGTGCGCACCAACATGTAGTAAGCAACAACTTGTCGGTCCCTTGCATGTACAATGGAGCTTACAAAGCATTGCCAACACGACCGAATCCTCCCCTCTCTCCAGAAGGTGTACAACATGCCGTCCCTTGACGACCAGCTGCTTAATGTACCAATGCGGACACGTTTTCGATAGCCTAGGCAGCCATTGATCAAAGTTTTGGTTCGGCTTTGAGTTGTTCTTGCGTATCGTTGCCTTGAAAGAGGCGAGTTCTTGGTGTTCTTGTTGTTCTTGTTGTTCTTGGACGTTTATTCAAGTTTGCTGTGCGGCCATTTCTGGTACACGCCTCTCGGTCAATCGAAAAACCAGGAACTAAGGTGCAGCAAAATCATGCAACAGCTGGACAACTACAACTGTGTTTAGTGTAAAAATCTTGCGCCTAGATTTGTAACTGTATGCGCCTTACGTATACATTTTTGTAATTTGCTTGTGTAGTTATGCAGCTTGTAGGAGCCACAAAGAACGCAGCTCACTTCCCGCTTTTGCAGTTGACCGAGAGACGCATAACGGGTGGTGCCAAGCTTAAGCATACATCCGGGTTATTCAACGACATGAGAGGCTACCACAGTATGCATTGTTAAGATAACAAAACCAAAATCGATCTTGTGAAGCCTGGTACCAGCGAGGCGCAAAAATATACGAGTCGTATCATGGACAAAAAAGGATCTGGACACTGCGAGAATTGAACTCGCGACCGTTCACAATCACCGTGTAGTGCAAAGCGAAAATCATACCCCTAGACCAAGCGCCCTTTTGGATCTTGATATCATATTCAAAAATTAAGCCTTTTTTCTTTTTTCTTTTTGTTTTTTTTTTTTTTTTTTTTGCACAGAGAGCGCTGATGAAGGTACCGTGAATACTGGAACATACTCTACCTAGCAACTACGCTTGTACAGCTTGGCTTTCCATATTGCCTTGGGACATATCTTCTTGTGTCTATCTCAATGCTCTGCTCAGACCACACCCCAGCACGCCCCGCCAAGGCTGGAAGTGTACAACCAACACGCGCCATGCTCCCCAAACACACCACTCACATGGCACCCACACCCCGACGACCTCAGACACAATGAGGCTACGCGTCCCCTCAGCATGGCAGAGCATTGCCGTGCTCGTCCTACTATCCGGTGTAGCACAAGCCTCGCTCGGTGACAGGCTGCCGGACTTCAAGGACTGCTTACAGGTACATAGCACTACCTGCAACAACTCCTCAGCACAAATTACTCACAGATCTCCAGGTCTGCACAACAGCCAATTGCGGCACAAACCCAACTCCCATCCGTACGTCGCCCACTTCCCCGTAATACCACATCCCACCCAGTACCATGCTCACGTCAGACCACCAGCCCTCCACCGCCGCCTCCTCCTCTGGACCTGCCCCGCAGAATGCGACTACACATGCCAGCACATCGTCACGGACAAGCGCCTCGCCCGCGACCCGCCGTACATGCACCCGGTCTACCAATTCCACGGCAAATGGCCCTTCTACCGGTTCCTAGGCCTGCAGGAGCCCTTCAGCGTCATCTTCTCGCTGCTGAATTTCCTCGCGCACGACTGGGGCATGGCGCGCGTGCGCGAGCGCATCCCCGCGAGCTACCCGCTGCGCAAATACTACATCATGTTTGGGTACGTGGGGCTGGCTAGCTGGACGTTCAGTATGGTGTTCCATGCGCGCGACTTTGGGGTTACGGAGAAGTTGGATTACTTCGGGGCGGGGGCGAATGTGCTGTATGGCATGTACTATGCGCCGATCCGCGTGTTTAAGCTGGCGGGCGGGGATGCGAGGGCGCAGTCGCTGCGTAGGGCGTGGACGGGACTTTGCGCCACGCTGTATGCGCTGCATGTGCTGTACCTGTCGCTGTGGTCGTGGGACTACACGTACAATATGGCTGCGAATGTCGTTGTCGGCGCGCTGACGAACATCCTCTGGGCGGGGTTCAGTTACGTGCAGTACCAGCGGATTGGGCGCGCGTGGGCTGTGTGGCCCGGTGTGTGCGTCGCCATCATTATCTCGGCGATGAGTCTGGAGTTGATGGATTTCCCGCCGTGGCAGGGTGCGATTGATGCGCATAGCTTGTGGCATTTGGGGACGGTGCTGCCGACTGTGCTGTGGTACAAGTACGTATTACACTTTTGTATATGTGTATGGGCAGGGCTAACATACACCAGTTTCCTCGTTAGAGACGCTCAGGAAGATATGGCAGGTACGCGCCTCAAACGATAGTGCAGCGCTTCTTTGGTCCTGCTTACCATATGCGTGTCAGGAAAACTGCCGACGACTAATTATGGCACAGGGTCTCGGAAGGAGTAGTTGATCTGGTTTGTCAGCGGCATTCAGATGGGTTGTTGTACATTGGTATTACGTAGTGTTGGATTGTTCAAAGACGAGCCTTACTTATCCATAACCACATACCCATTCACCTATAAACTCATCAAAACCGATACGTAAGCTGCTGTGAGATCCTTCCACCTGAATACCTCTCTTCACCTTGGTGGACCACATGAAATCCACACTATCGATACAATCTTTCGGCAGGGAGAACTGCGGGTTGAAGTCTACTTGTTGAACTAGATATCAGCCAGCAGTTGATGACTCTTGTATATTCAACAAATCAAGCTTGTACATTCGCAAACCTCACCATTTAACTCCACCCCATCGCAAAAGAATAGACTGCATTAAGAAAAAGCGAAAGCAGATCTGATAAAATATCGACTAAGAAAGCAAATTCACCACCCAGCTCGGGAAAGACAGTTCATCTAATCCTCCAGGTATCATTTCGCGCCAAACACCGCAAACCCAATCCAGCAACAAATGAGAGTCATGATCTCGTCGAACAAAGAACTCAAACAACCCCTCGCCTGCACTCAAGTGTCGGGAACAGCCAGCTCACCCTTCGTCCACTCGCCGCCGCTGATGCCCCTCGTAAACACGCTGATATCAGTGCCTTCCGTCTGGTAGAACACATACAAACTGCTCCACTTCGTCGAGCCATCGGTATTTGTATCCGACGCCGCCGTGACAGTCAGATGAGTTCCGCCGAGACCCTTGACCGGCCCCGCGCCATCGGTAACGTAAAACGACTTATCGGTCGGCGACGTCGTATTCTCCGCGTTATACTGGACGTCGTAGCCCTTGATTGACCTATCAGCCATCTGCGTGTAGAAGTAGGTAGTGTATCCGAGTGAGGTGGTGGGGTACACGTCGTCGATGACGCCGCCGGTGGCGTTGACCCACGCGTTGATAGGGTGGTCGGTACTCGCTTTCGTCACGTTACTAGTATCTTTCCAGTGGATTTCCACATCGTTGGCTTGGTTGACCAGCATGGCGTATGTCGTTGATGTGGGGCCCCAGCTGTAGCACCCCACTCCTGCGTGGGTGTTGAAGCCGCGCCAGCGTTGGATCAGGACCCAGTCTTCTTTGCCAGCATACCAGGAGTACTGCTCGAAGGTGGAGTCATCGATTGGAACCCAGATATTCATGCCGATATTGTTGTCGAATTCTACTGTGTTGTTTGACCCATCATTCGTTGGGAATGTCTTGTAGTCGGGGTCGCCGTAGTAGTTGCCTTTCCAGCATGCTTGTAGGCCGACGGTGGGTGTGTCGTAGGCTTTGAGGTTCAGCTTATTCAAGGGCCCGGATTCCCAGAGGTCAGTGGTGTTTGACTTTGTCAATTGCTTGAGCGAATTGTCGGTTGCGACGTAAAAGATATGTACCTTAATAAGGTTAGCGACGAGTAATGGTATGCGCACCTGGAGGAAAATAAACTTACATATGAAGTCTCGTTGACGGCATAAGCCACGGCGGATATGGGAGATGCATCCTTAGCATCTGACGCGACCGTTTCGGATTTCGTACCGCCAATGTATGTTCGATCTGCAGTATAGATCATGTAACGAATGTCGCCTGTGTGATGCTGGAAGTATATCGTAAATATCCGGCGCTGGTTCTTATCCCAAGACTCGCCTGCCAGCGCAATACCCGTACCGTTGAAAGCTCCTTTCTTGGATAAGTATTGACTGTTGAGTGCACCGCCAACACAGTACTTCGGGTTGGTGCGGCAAAAGGGATCAATCTTGTCGTTCCTATCACATCAGAGTTAGCATCTCTTGAAAAGTTATGTGAAGAGTTCCGACGTACGCCTTTTTCTTCAATCCTAAGCTCAAACCCACCCCAAGTCCAACCCCAAGAGCAACGAGCCATATCAGAACACATATGAGCAAGATGAAGAACGTTCTCTTCTTCATGCCACACTTCCTGTCGTCCTTGGGTGAGGTCGGAGGAGGATTGGACGTCTGTTGATATGCTGCGTCATTGGAATCGACATGCTCTTTGAACCCGTAGGGTCTCACTTGAGGCGATACAGGAGTGACACCTCCATAGGAAGTTGCTGACATCGGAGCCTTGTGTTGTGGATAGTCGTAATATGGTTGCTCGACGACCTGCGGCGCCGAATAATCCGGTGTCGGCGCACCAGGCTGGTAGGTTGTACCATATATCGCGCCTTTGTCGTCATGCCCTGGCACGACTTGTGGTTGGGAATGATCTGGCGTCGGCGACGCCAGTTGTGAATGTGTAGTGTATGGGGATGGCATCCCATTCGATCTACAAAGAATCAGCCTACCATGTTCGAGTTGAGATGATATATCTCGTGACAATCCTTCACAAGAACCGTGATGTTGTGGATGCCTTCACTTACCCTTCTTGGTAGTTCGACTGCATCGAAGAATGGCGATAGCCGTGGAGCGGTGGTGATACAGGTGGATGAGGGTGCGAATGCGAATGGTAAGGCTGCGCCGATCCCTCAACTGGGCGTATATTGTCGAGCTCCGAGTATTGTGGCGAAGGACTCCACTGCCCATCTGAGTTACCTTGTGGGCTATTCATGTCTGCGTGTCACTGCGAAACTTTCCCCACAGTCGACGTTTTTGGACAAAGGAATCTCACGCCAGGATGGGGCATGTCAGACTTTTAGACAGCCGCCTGTACGGGCGTAAATGCTTATGAAAGGGATACCCTGCTGCGGCTGTGCGCCAGCAGAAGCGAGTTGCAGCTTGTACAGCAAATCTGAGAGGTCAGACACACACCCAATACTGGGTCGACCGCATCTGGATCTTGGGCTTGCATGCACTGTGAGATGCATACACAGTAAGCCGTAGTACCATAATAGCTGCCGACTGCCCAACCGGAAGAGCTGTGGATATGATCAGCAGAACCATAGTCACACAAGGTTCTGAGGACCATTATCATCATTCGCCCTCGCAAATACAAGCTGACGAGTATGGAGCAACAGCTTCCGATCAGCGTAGGTCAGAATTAGTTGTTCCAGTCTTTTTAACGAAACAAGTGAAGAGAGCATCTCGAATGAACATTTCATCTCAAGTCAAACGACATTCTTGGACCCAGGGCGTCGACAGCTTGATCCTTGTCAGCAAAGTCAGCCCTAATGCAAGGCGAACAGCCCAGGTCACGACAGTTCCTCTGATTTGTCGAAACTGCATAGCCGCCCTGCACACGTTGCTTATTCTGACCGGTAGCTCTGATTGAACTTCAGCTGGCAAGGATGCCGTTCTGTAAGCAACCAAAGCATGTGCGTAGGACGCAATCTAGAAGTAGAGAGTGTGGTGGCGTTGAAAACGGATGCCGCTGGAACCGTTGTTTCTTTGCCTCGCCAATTCGCGCATCTTGTCGCGCTTGCGTAAGTGGGCAGATACCGGTGAGCAGAGTGGTGTATAATCCACTGTCAGTATCTCGGGAAATTGTCTAGGAAGTTCCGTATCTGCCTCATGGACGCGCTTGACAAGCCCTCTTTACTACTGATACATAGTAAACCGCAGTCCATATCAGCAAGCAATGGTGGTGCTCACGGCTACGCCGACGCCCTGTAAGCGGCTGGAAGCTCTCGGTGTACGAATGTGGCTTCCAAGAAGGCCAGAAGACCGAACAGGACGAATGGCAATTCAGCCGATGATGACAGCACGCGACGAACCGAAAGACGAGCAGATGGAACCACACAAGATAGGAAGGACGACCCTACTGGCAGCCGGACAGAATGGTGGACGTGGCTGGCTGAAATGACGAATGAGCCGAGACGCAATGCCTCCCTTGGTGTGAGAGTGTGGGGTATGGGAAGTGGGGAGCCTTCGTCCGCGGGGAATGTGGGACGCCAAGAGGATCTCCGTATCACTCAGGGAAGGCGCGACAACAACACTTAGGGGGATTAGTCAAAGCTTATCGCATATTATCATCACGCTCAAAGTCAACCTCATCACGATGTGACTCGACAGTCAGCAATACGTTGGCGAATTTCTGGTGCGGGAGAAGATCGTGCATATGCGGAATGATGACGGAATTTGGGACACTCAACCCCTCAGGATCTCGGCTGTGACCCAGTAAGCCAGAGACAACTAGAATATCGCTGGTGGCTGCCCTAATGTCTTACAATGCATTGATTGTGGATAGCATCAGCGAGCAAAATGATTGGAGATATTGTTGGTTCGTTCTCATTATTCACCATCGTCGCGGGTTGCGTGATCGTACTTGCTGTTCGCCTCTTGTACAACAAGTATGGGACGGGTCTACAGCATGTTCCAGGCCCGTTTCTGGCAGGCTTCACTGATTTCTACCGCTTGTTTGTGACTTGGGGTCGGCGTCCCCAGCAGTGGCATATCCGCCTGCACCAGCAATATGGCGATTTAGTGCGCTTGGGGCCTCGTACAGTTTCGTGCGCAAGCAACAAAGCAGCGAAGAAGATATACGCACTCAATGCTGGCTTCATAAAGGTATAAGAGCCCCGTGAGCTAGAATGTAATTGCTAATCTCTCCAACAGTCTGATTTCTACCTGGTGCAACAGACTCTTTCTAATGGCGTTGCTCTAAAGACCTTGTTTACTTCAACAGATGAAGCCTTCCACGCGAAGTTGCGGCGAGCTGTCAACAATGCATATGCCATGACTTCGTTGGTACAATTTGAGCCGCTTGTAGATTCTACTACGAGTGAATTCCTAGCGCAGATGGAGGAGAGATATGCGAATAGAAAGGACAGCAGTGGAATCGTTGATTTCGGCGAGTGGCTACAGTTCTACGCCTTCGACGTCATCTGCGAGCTTACTTTCTCTAAACGAATGGGATTTGTCGACCGTGGAGAAGACGTCGGAAATATCATATCAAGCCTTGAATGGACGCTGCGATACGCAGCGGTGGTAAGTCGTTACAGCGCGTGATGCGCGACTTGCACTGACGATGGTATCAGATTGGTCAAATACCTATTCTGGACCGTTTTTTCCTGAAGAACCCAGTTCGTAGATGGATGAGTTCGCAAGGTTTGATTCGAGCCTCGCCCGTAGCAGAATTTGCCAAAGAACGGATAGCGGAATCTAAAGCCAAACCCAAAGGTGCTGTCGATTCAACTGCTGTCGACTCGATTTCACGCCGCGACTTATTGTCCCGGTTTCAAGAAGCACATAAAAAGGACCCAGACTTTATAGATCAAGGCCGTGTCCTTGCACTTACCGCTGCCAACATGATTGCTGGCTCAGACACTACAGCCATCTCGCTGAGAGCAATCTTTTACAATCTCATTCGCAACCCTGACAAATTGGCAAAACTGAGAGCTGAGTTCGATGATGCTGAGTCAAAGGGTGCATTCTGGCATGGAGATCCACTCGTAAGATGGAATGACGTTCGCGACCTACCATACTTGAGTGCAGTCATCAACGAGTCGTTGCGGACTCATCCGGCTGTGGGTCTGCCTTTGGAGCGCATTACGCCAGCAGGCGGTCTTCAAATCTGCGATACGGTTTTACCGCCAGGATCAAATGTTGGCTGCAATGCGTGGGTGCTTCATCGCGACACTGCGCTATGGGGTGCGGATGCAGACAGCTGGAGGCCAGAGCGATGGATTGAAGCGAGTGAGGCGAAGAAATCGGAAATGAAGAATAGCATGTTTGCTTTCGGAGCGGGCGCGAGAACATGCATAGGAAAGAACATCAGCTACCTGGAGATGTACAAACTGGTACCTGCAGTATTGCACAGCTTTGATGTGAGTCACTGGTTCTGGTATGTATGTATACGTGCTCATCGCGACTGCAGATCGAACTGGCATACCCCGAGAAGGAGTGGACGCTTTGCAATGCATGGTTCGTCAAGCAAAGCGACTTCTTTGTGAAGCTCCGTTCGAGAACATAGTGACGATTGTAAAGCCTGCCGCAGTGGAACAAGACGCTCAGGTGGTCGGAATTATTGCCAAGCTAGTTGTCGAGCAGTCCTGAGGTCATCATACGAATCGATCGCTAGTCATTGAGTCTGGGGGCTGAGTGAATGGGGAAGGCTGTGACGCTGCCCATTTCGGCGAAGTTCGTATGCTAAGCGTCTTTACATAGCACCAAACTACCTTAGTGTCTTGTGAGTTGTATTCTATAAACCTACTCGTCGATTGCGTAAGGGTGCACACCAGGCGCTGCAAAAGAGCTAGTGAAGGCATCCACGACTCAGCCTCAATATCTACACCGGTCACATCCTCGACAAAGGGCGTGCCTGAAGGGTTCTGATACCTCTGTACAAGGGTACCCATGAGGGAGAAACGATCAGGGTCGCTTGAATAGATTGAAAATTACAGTCTGTATCTTGGAACTGCAACTCCCAGTGGTGGAATTTGTCTTGTTCCACTATTTCCCATGTAATTCTTGAGTAAAGTAAGACTGGCGGATGGAGGGGTACGTGCTGTATAAGCCCGAAAGCTCAGGCTTACTTATTCGGCCTAATCATTGCGCCTCGAAACGCTTATTGATTAGCGCACCTGTCTTCTACCTCGTACACTCCTTAAACGCTGGAACTCTGCTGTTGAAACATATTCAGACTCGTGTAACTGGAATAAATCCCCTGTGTACGACAGCTAGACATTGATTACCTCGGGAGTGAGGTGATTGGCTACACGTGATGATCAGCCGCTCCTTCCCGAATGAGTCAAGCCAAATTTTGGGCAGGTAGACATGACGCACGGAACCTGTCGATCTCACCACCCAACCCTTACTAACTCGTACACCCCACAATCATTCATACACTTCACATTCATCCCACTCGAGCCAACAATCGGCTTGTAGGACACAGCAAACAACGAGTAGCAAACTCGTCTCCACGTATCATCAATAGCAGGAGGACCTGCCCCGCTGCGACACATTAGTCGCTCACCCCACGTCGGCTTCCGAAATTCGGTACAGACGAACGAAAACGCGTTCGCACGACAAATTTCTGGAACTTTTGAAAGAGCAAGGAATGGATTTTATCTGCGTTAGAGTTATGGCTTTTTCGTGGTACTCTAATCTCCCGAACGTTGGAAAGTTTGGCGACATTATCGGCACTCGCCACCTGGTTTGAGCCCAGCGCCAGAAAAACACGCTACATCGACATTCCCGAATTTCACAGCAAAAGACACAACACCAACAGTGTCACATTCTGAAGAAACACCGAAAACGACGCCTGTGACCTGGGGCCTTTGCGACGCGTGAAACAGCCATTCGGGCCGGCACGATCAGCACTCACTCTCACGTGGGAACATTGTGCACACAACACGCGACAGTCACAGCGCAACGTTGTCTTGGAGCACATTTTCTCTCGTCGATTTCACATTTTACAGACCTTGCGAGCGCGACAAACCCCTTCGCGCCAAATTCACCTGTGCGTAAACCTAGGATAAGCGACTCATTGTAGTGACGTGAGCCGTACCTCGAGATATTCCTTCACCCGCCCCTTATCCGCGCGAACTGAGTATAGATCACGCACCTCTGCTAGTATAACCGCGGTTATTACTGGTAAAAGGACGAACTCGCAAACAGTCTCAACCGTTACGAACGCGTCTCGGTAGCGACATCACAGCCATGTCCGCGACAACAAAGACAAGCGCTCGCGCGAGGCTTTGCATCTCCGCGAGTATCATCTTCTCTTCGCGTGAACTAAAACAATACCGACGATGGCAGCGCCTATACACGACACTCGACTCCGCGCAGCACGGCTACGTCCCTACAGCGATCGAATACGAGGAGTTTCAGCAATGGCTCCGAAAACAGGATTCGGGCTACTTCTCTGATATCTTCGAAGATGTTTCGAGTCATGTCCAACCGATCAAATCTGGTTCAAGGACGTGCACAATCGAGCCTCCGGTCGCATATCTCTGCCGACATCGTATGCACCCTTTTGATGCGGGCACCTTGAAGCCACGATGCCCTGTCTGCACCATCGACGTGCACCTCAACTACATGAATGTCCTCACTCGAACACTCCAAGGCGCTGGTGGACGAGCCCCATCCTGTACCCTCCAAGCATCGGAACATCAGGAGAACGTATACCAAGTGTGGAGCTTGGAGAAGCTCTCGACAGTGCAACAACTGTCGAAACTGGAACAACTGGCGGAGCAAGAAGCACAATGGTCAGCGAACCACCCAGAGCAGAAGTATGAAGATATCAAGACTGCAAGACACGCATTGGAGCTATACTGGTCCGAGATGGGTACATGTAAGGAGACGAAGTTACCCAAGAAGAAGATACACAGTGTCTCGTTCACCAAGGACACCGAGGATGGTCCGGGACGGCCACAAGAGTACTACTGGCGACGCTCACCGCGTTACGAATCCGGGAAATACACCGTCAGCAAGTCGGATGAGGAGCAGGCTGAAGCTGGTAGCAGACATGTCTTCGGTCAGCACCGGGAAGAGGAAGACAACGTCTCTGAAGACTCAGAAGACTACTCACAGGCGCCCGTGCCCATCTTGCTCGAAGCAGCACAAGAGGATGCAGCAACTCAGGACCTCTTCCAAGAGGCGGAAGAGGGACTGAGAGATGATGACTCATTTGACGAGGTTCCAGATGATGATGGCGATAGCGACTGGGAAGACATCGAATCCGACGACGAGGATGGCAAGAAGCGCAACGGCGTTGAGCGGGACTACGTCTTTTTTGAAGAGATGGACGAATGCAATTTTGTTGTTTTCGGGGAGGACTAATCAAGGCTGGATTTGCGAAGTGTATGTGAGTGTATCGACGTCAGAGTAGCCATCCTTAGTACGTGAACGATCACCATCAATGACATAAATTTCTCAACACACATTCACGAGCTAGTTGGTGATGATCCTTCGTCCTCATGTCATTTAACAACACGTAAACGACTACACACTAGCTTGCCCTCGCCTTCGTACCGGTACACACTCTCTATGCACCATCTCCACTTACACCCTTGAAAACACAAATAACAATCCCACACACACACAAACATACACTCAAACCATGACCCGCCCGCCCACTCCCTCCACCCCTCCACCAACACACCTCCTAACCCTCCTAACCACCCCCTCCTACCCCGAAGCAGAATCCCTCTTCCGCCGCCTCGCCAGCACCCGCGCCCGCGTCCACGGCCCCACCTCCCCCGACACGCTCGACAACAGCGCCGCCCTCGCCCTCCTCCTCAGCCTACAGGCCAAACACGAAGAAGCAGCGTACCTCCTGCGCGGCGTCGTAACGGCCCGGACGCAGAGTCTGGGATCGACGCACGACAAGACAGTGCAGAGCGTGAACTGGCTCGCGGAGGTGTTGCTGCGTGAGGGGGATTTGGCGGGTGCGGAGCGCTTGTGTCGGGGGTTGTTGGACGGGGGGGTAGAAGGGGAAGCTGTGTTGGATGGTATGCATATCCTCGCTCAAGTGCTGCTAGAGCAGGGTCAGCTGGGGGAGGCGGAGCGGGTGGCGCGGAGGGTTGTAAAGGGCAGGGAGCGTGTGCTGGGGGTTGCGCATGTGGATACGTTGATTGGTGTGCATACGCTTGCGCGGGTTTTGGCTGCGGGACGGCGGTGGGGAGAGGCGGTGGAGTGCTTTGAGTGGGCGTGGTGTGGGATGGAGGGTAGGTTGGGGGGTGAGCATGTGGATGTTAGGGAGTTTTTGGGGGATTTGGAGAGGGCGAGGGAGGAGATGGGAAAAGGAGTGGAGGGGGAGTGTAGTATAGTGTAGCGACATGCATGTGTTACGGTCATGTGCTGAGTGTGTTTGTCTCGCTTTCACTCTGCGTGACTAAGACAAGCGGGTGCGCAGGTTTCTAGCAAAGTCATGCACCTATGTGTTCATTCACCCACGTAAAGCCATATACCCCCGCCACTCGTCGAACCTCACTAAACATGAGCAGAATACCTGTCCCCGCACCACCCACCATGGAACAGAACCCCCACATCCAAGCCTCCGTCCTCTTCCACCCCATAGACCTAGACGAATACGCGCAGTGGCGCGACCCGCACGAGAACTATGGCTGGACACCGCTCCCCACAGCCTTCGAATACGCAGATTTCCTCGCGTGGCGGGACGCCGAAAAAACGCGAAAACCTGTGCCCCTCATCGACGCAGAAGCAGAAGCACATTTGAACACCGGGGGCCAGATCGCGATTACATGCGGCCATGCGGTGCACGCGGGACATCCCACGTTGGGCGAGAATGGAGCAAGCGAGGGGCAAGAGGTGGAGCGGTGTCCGAGGTGTGTGGTGGATGCATATGTGCAGCTACTTGGGGCGTTGAGGGGGCGGTGGGACGAGGCTGGGGGACCGTGGAAAGAGCAACGGGTTGTGCCGACTGAGCAAGTGCGCAAAGCGTATACGCGTACGAAGACGGAATTCGCGAACGCAGTGCAAGAGTTGGAAGATATTGCCGTTGCGGAGGTTGAGTGGGAGGCCGCGCATCCAGCGTATGATGTGCAGATTGTGGGGAAGTACGCGGCTGTTGGCGCACTGCAGGATTACGTCGAGCGTGCGCGATTTGGGTTCCCGGCGGAGTTTTTGGACGAGAGTGTGCTGCCCAAAAAGGTTAAACCGAGAAGGAGGAATCTGAGGGTGAGGTTTTCGGGCGATACACCGCAAGATACACGGCACCGTCCTTACGAGCTCTTCTCCCGCAACTGCATAGCGTACGAACCCGAAACGCATGCCTGCGTCGACGAAGACGGGTGGGAAGACCACGGGCTCGCGCATGATTGGGAGTTCAACGTCAAGCAGTGCAGGGTGTTGTTTTGCGATAAGCCTCCCGAACGGCCAGATGTGACGTACCGCGAGCTCACCGCGGAGGATCATAAAGAGCGCATGCTCAAACATGTCCAGACGTGGCTCGCCATGATGGATCCGACATGGGTGGTGGGATGGACGGATGTCTTGAGGACGACGACGGATATGTTCTTTGTGTGGAAGAGGGATGTGAGAAAAGGGGGCCCGGATGAGTTTGACTGTTGGGAAAGGCAGGCATCGTTTGTGGGGACTAACTTGGAAGCGCATGCACGACTAGTTGGGGATATTGATGAGGATGATGAGGCTGGGAATGTGGGGATCAAAGAGCAAGATGAGGAGGGGCAAGGCATGGTTGGAATTGAAGCGAGTCTCGAAGAGGACGACTTTTGGGATCCGGAGGATGACGATATGGTTGTCTCGGACTGTGAAGACGAGAAAACAGAAGCCGGAGGCGAGAATGCTGTTACTCCCCAAAGCCCAAGAGAACAGGAAGACGGTATGGTCGATGAGGGGTTAGAGGATGATCACGAGATGGAAGAATGATAGCTGAATGTGACTGAAAAGGAAAGGATTGGTGTTGGTTGGAGTAAGAAGTGTATTGGAAAGGGATGTAGCGCTGACAACTTTGTGAGTGTATACCTACCGAAATCATTTGAACACCACCAACTGCAGGCTTGAACATGAGAAACATCAAGACGGAATATGACTTATTCAAAAGGGACGCAACGCGCTGGAGTCATTTCAAGTATTGGATCCAACAAAAAACGCCGTACAAACCAGGACATTACAAGCGTTTCACATGACGATGCAGCAAGAGTTCTGCTTCTTGGCCTGCGTGAGGAGTCAGCATCCATGCCTGTGAATGTTTTTCAAAAGCACAAGATACATACTTGTGTGTAGAACATCTTGCTCTGTGCACTCAGACCGTCGCTCTTTGCGACCAGATTATCGATCTTCTCTCCGCGCTCCAAGATGCTCTCGATGGTGTTGTGCAGCACAATCTTTGTCTCGTCGAGTTCTTTCTGGATCTTCATGATGCTGTCGGCCTGTTGCGGGTCCTGGTACTTCTTGATGTAATCGGCGAGCTCTGGAAAGGGGAACGACTTGTTCTCGATGTTTTCTTTGGTGACGTTGGCGTAGGCGGAGCGTGGGTACTTGGACAGGAATTCGTCGACGACCTTGGACAAGACTTGATGAGCGACAAGCGAGGGATATTCTAGGTCGGTGATACATATGCCGCAAACGCCTTCTGTGCGGCCATAGGCGTGGAACATGTATTCTGAGGTGATCGCGTTAGTCTGCTGTGTGTCGACGACGGCCTGCATACTGCCAGAAGGTACGTACCTTTCTCCTCAACATCTTGTCTTTGCGCTGGTTGTGTTCGCTCAGCGACCTGACTTGCGAAGAATGCCACCTGAAAACGTTGTCAGCTCGTGGGCTCGTCACGAGGTTTTGATTCTCGCGCCCGTGTTTGGATGGAAAGACGTTGTGACGTACGAACTCGCTGATGCTCGATCTTGTGAAGCGACTGTAACTTGTAAGGTCTGACACGGATGTCAACGGGACCGCGGGCTTGGTCTCGTTCTTGAAAATCTGGACATGGTCGTTAGATGCTCGCGCTGGGATGCGGCGGTGAGAGCAGCGCTTACTCCGATATAGATGACCTTCATGATGGCGATAAGTCGGGCGAGAACTCCGAGGTAAAGGAGAGGATGAAGGGTGAGATTTTGGTGAGGTGGTGGAACAAATGGGTGCCTAGCTGTTCGCAATCGTGGAGATTTAGCTATCGTCCAACTCACCTCCAGCCGACCGACGAATGCGTGGCGCGCAGGCGCGCTGCTGAGGTAATCGAGCTAGCGGCGGGGGTGGGGCGAGTGGATCCCAGCAGTCAGATCATCATCGACCTCGCCAAGCATTCAAAGAGAGGCAAACGACCCGACCAGGAAGGTGGTACTCACTCACCTTCTGAGAGACTGAAGGCGGCCAGAATAACAGTTCCATCAACCTCAAGCCTTTCGAAGCCATGTCCCCGTCTGTGGAGGATGCTCAGTCACAATGGCTCGAGCAGCTCGACGCAATGCGCAAGGCAATTGCAGAGCTGAATCTGCCTGTCGACACTGAAAAGACACCAGCGTATGGAGATGACCTGGACTTCGATGACGACGACTTCTCTGGGACAGTCAGTGGCGAGGATATTTGGGATATCATCAGCGACGAATATGAGGACGAATACAGCAGCGACCACCTCGACCAGTATGCGGAAGCCTCAAATGGAAGCGGTCTCTACGACCAGCAATGGCTCACAGAAAAGTGTACTGGTGTCGCTCAAAGAAGTTCTGGCTTGGAATCTGGAGCTCTGAAAGAGCAAATCTCGGCCATCTTAGCCAGTGACAGCAATAGTAGGTCGCTTGTCTCTACAACTTGAAAGCCAAATTATTGACATAAAAAAGACGAAGAGCTGCAGATGATGCTGGCAGATATCGTAGGCTACGAAGAGCTGGATTTGGTGGCCGATCTCATCTCTCATCGAAAGGACCTCATGCGGTCCTTGCATGATCCTACCCCTGCTCAGAAGAACGGTCTCGTAGATCGCCTCCAAACCAGAGCTGAGCGTGAAGAAGCGTTGCGCAAGCAGGACTGGGAACATAAAACTGCCACTCTATCTTCTGCAGTGAACCGCACAGGACCTCAGTATCCGCACGTCTATCAGTCATACGCAGCTGGAAACAAACTCTCCGCCTACGGAAAGAAATACGCTCTCCCTCACGACCACACGCATTACGATGACAACCTCTACGAAGAGTACGGAATCCCTGCCATGCCAGTCGGCAAGGTCGGGACTGGCCAGAGCCTTATCGAAATCAAAGACCTCGACGGCCTCTGTCAGCGCACATTTAAAGGCTACACAGCGCTGAACCGAATGCAGAGTCTAGTATATCCAGTTGCATACAAGACGAGTGAGAATATGCTCATTTGCGCACCAACTGGTGCAGGTAAAACGGACGCAGCCATGCTCACCATTCTTAACACTATAGCGAAGAACATCGTTCCAAATCCAATTGAGGAGCCTGATGCCACCGACTTCACGGTCAGAATGGAAGATTTCAAGATCATCTATGTTGCGCCTATGAAGGCACTCGCTGCTGAAGTAACGGACAAGCTTGGAAAGCGCCTGGCATGGCTAGGCGTCAAAGCTCGCGAACTCACTGGAGACATGCACCTAACCAAGGCTGAGATCTTGGGCACACAGATCATCGTTACTACGCCAGAGAAGTGGGACGTCGTGACGAGAAAGAGCACCGGAGACACTGAGCTCGTGCAGAAGGTGCGTTTGCTGATCATAGATGAAGTCCACATGCTGCACGATGAGCGTGGTGCCGTACTGGAGAGCCTGGTGGCGAGAACCCAACGACAGGTTGAAAGTACACAGTCTCTCATCCGAATCGTTGGTCTTTCTGCTACTTTGCCCAATTACGTCGATGTCGCCGACTTCCTTCGCGTGAACAAGATGGCTGGTCTGTTCTATTTCGATCAGTCGTTTCGTCCAGTTCCTTTGGAGCAACACTTCATTGGCGCGAAAGGAAAACCAGGTAGCATGAAGTCTCGAGAGAACCTGGAAAAGGTAGCCTTCGACAAGGTCGTCGAGATGCTCAAACGAGGGCACCAAATCATGGTTTTCGTGCATTCGAGGAAGGACACAGTCAAGACAGCACGCATGCTATATGACCGAGCAGTGGACGAGCAGTGTTCCGACTTGTTTGATCCAACAGATCATCCGCGCTACGACGTTGCTGTGCGCGACATGAAGCAATCCAAGGGTCGGGAGCTGCGAGAGCTTCTAGGGAAAGGCATGGGTACGCATCATGCAGGAATGCCTCGATCAGACAGAAACCTTATTGAACGACTTTTCGCCGACGGCGTCATCAGAGTGCTTTGCTGTACAGCTACCTTAGCTTGGGGTGTCAACTTGCCTGCTGCCGCTGTTCTTATCAAAGGAACGCAAGTCTACAACGCGCAGGAGGGAAAATTCACTGATCTCGGTATTTTGGACGTCTTGCAGATCTTCGGTCGTGCCGGTCGACCTCAGTTCCAAGACACGGGTATTGGTTTCATTTGCACAACGCACGACAGACTCGATCACTATATGAGAGCCGTCACCGAACAACAGCCTATCGAGTCCAGGTTTTCTGCGAAGCTCGTAGACAATCTCAACGCTGAGATCTCCCTAGGTACGGTCACCACAGTTTCAGAAGCTGTGCAATGGCTTGGCTACTCGTACTTGTTTGTTCGAATGCAGAAGAGCCCTCTCATGTATGGCATCGAATGGGCGGAGATCAGAGATGATCCGCAGCTTGTTCAGAGACGCCGCAAGTTGATCATGGATGCCGCTCGAACCCTGCAGCAAGCACAGATGATCATCTTCAACGAGGTTACTGAAGACCTTCGAGCAAAGGACGTAGGCCGTATTGCTAGCCAATACTATGTCCAGCAATCGAGTATCGAGATCTTCAACACCATGATGAGGCCTCGCAGCTCAGACGCAGATGCGTTAGCCATGGTCAGTATGAGCGGCGAGTTTGACCAGGTCCAGTCACGCGACACAGAAGAGAAGGAGCTTTCTGCACTTCAAGAGGAAGGCTACGTTATAGCGGACGTTAAAGGTGGCTTTGCGACACCTCACGGCAAAACCAACATTCTTTTGCAAGCTCATATCTCAAGGGCGAGACTTGAAGATTTTACGCTTGTCTCAGACACGAACTATATCACCCAGAATGCTTCTCGTATTGCACGAGCACTGTTCATGATTGCGCTTAATAGGCGCTGGGGATACCAATGTCTCGTGCTTCTCAGCCTCTGCCAGTCGATCGAACACCGGTGCTGGTCCATAGAGCATCCGCTTCATCAGTTCGACCTACCACAACCAGTCTTGCGACAACTCGACCAGAAGTTCCCCTCCGTGGAATCGTTGCGCGATATGGATCATTCTGAGATTGGAGATTTGGTCCACAACAAGAAGATGGGAGGTGTCATCTCCAAGATCCTGGACAATTTCCCCACCCTGAGCATCGAATCTGAGATTGCTCCTCTCAACCGAGACGTGCTTCGCATCCGCTTGTGGCTCACGCCGGAGTTCAAGTGGAATGACAGACATCATGGAACCTCTGAGTCTTTCTGGATCTGGGTTGAAAACTCGGAGACATCCGAGATCTTTCACTACGAGTTCTTCATCCTATCCCGGAGAAAGCTCTATGACGACCATGAACTCAACTTCACAATCCCTCTTTCGGATCCCCTGCCTACGCAGATCTATGTGCGTGCCGTGTCAGACAAGTGGCTGGGTGCGGAGACTGTGCATCCGATCTCCTTTCAACACTTGATCCGTCCAGATACGGAGAGTGTTTACACAGATCTTCTCAACTTACAGCCACTACCTCTCTCTGCTCTGAAGAATCCACTTCTTGAGGAGGTCTATGCGCAACGCTTCCAATACTTCAATCCTATGCAATCACAGATTTTCCACTGTCTGTACCATACCCCGGCCAATGTCTTGCTTGGATCGCCCACAGGTAGTGGCAAGACCGTCGCTGCCGAACTTGCCATGTGGTGGGCATTCCGCGAGAAGCCAGGATCGAAGGTTGTCTACATTGCGCCCATGAAAGCACTTGTTCGAGAGCGAGTGCAAGATTGGGGCAAGCGCTTGGCCGGGCCGATGGGATTGAAGCTCGTCGAGCTGACTGGTGATAACACGCCCGACACTCGCACTATTCGCGACGCCGACATCATCATCACAACGCCTGAGAAGTGGGATGGTATCAGTCGTAGTTGGCAAACGCGTGGCTATGTCCGGCAAGTCAGCTTGGTCATCATCGATGAGATCCATCTTCTGGGTGGTGACCGTGGCCCGATTCTTGAGATCATTGTATCTCGTATGAACTACATAGCCTCGCAGAAGAAAGGCTCTGTTCGTCTCCTCGGCATGTCAACTGCTTGTGCCAATGCGTCGGATCTTGGAAACTGGTTGGGTGTTAAGGAAGGCCTGTTCAACTTCCGTCACTCTGTCCGTCCTGTGCCACTGGAGATCTTCATCGACGGCTTTCCACACCAGCGAGGCTTCTGCCCACTCATGCAGTCGATGAACCGACCAACGTTCCTCGCTATTAAGGCGCATTCTCCAGAGAAGCCAGTCATTGTATTCGTGGCCTCTCGACGACAGACGCGACTTACTGCCGACGACTTGATCAACTTATGCGGTATGGAAGACAACCCTAGACGCTTCCTTCACATGTCTGAGGACGACCTGGAGGCCAACCTTGCCCGTGTCAAAGATGACTCACTACGCAGGGCATTGAGCTTTGGAATTGGTCTTCATCATGCTGGTCTCGTTGAGACGGATAGATCGCTGTCGGAAGAGCTCTTCGCAAACAACAAAATTCAGATTCTCGTCGCTACCAGCACACTCGCTTGGGGTGTAAACTTGCCAGCCCACCTTGTTGTCGTCAAGGGTACACAGTTCTTCGATGCGAAGACGGAAGGCTACAAGGACATGGATTTGACCGATGTCCTACAGATGCTGGGTCGTGCTGGTCGTCCCCAGTTCGACTCTTCCGGTATTGCGCGTATCTTTACGCAAGACGCGAAGAAAGAGTTCTACAAGCACTTCTTGCACACTGGTTTCCCTGTCGAGTCGTCGCTCCATAAGGTTCTTGACAATCATTTGGGCGCCGAAATTTCTGCGGGTACTATCGCCACAAAGCAAGATGCACTCGACTATCTGACGTGGACATTCTTCTTCCGTCGTCTCCACAAGAACCCCTCCTTCTACGGTCTTGAGATCTCAGCTGAGGAGCACAACACCCTTGTTGCGCAAACCATGGCTAACGATTACATGGTTGAGCTGGTAGAAACCTCGCTCAGGGAACTTGACGAATCATCCTGTGCTGCAGTCGAGCCTACCGGCGAAGTCGATCCTACTCCGCTTGGAAAGATCATGAGTTACTACTACCTCAGCCACAATACGATTCGCTACCTAGTGAAGCACGTCAAACGCGACGCCACCTTCTCTGACGCACTATCTTGGATCTCGCACGCTACCGAATACGACGAGCTGCCCGTCCGCCACAACGAAGACCTCATTAATGCCGAGCTATCAAAAGCCCTCCCACTCAAGGCCGACGACTTTGGTCTCCCACTGTGGGACCCGCACGTCAAAGCCTTCCTACTCCTCCAAGCACACTTCTCACGCATCGACCTGCCCATCTCAGATTACGTCGGCGACCTGAACTCCGTTCTGGACCAGAGTATCCGTATCGTGCAAGCATCCATCGACGTGCTGACCGAACTGGGTTACCTCTCCTCCTGCGCAACAATGATCACACTCCTGCAATCCATAAAATCAGCTCGCTGGCCCACCGACGGCCCCCTATCCATATTCCCCGGTGTTGACGTCGACAAGGAAAAGGCACGTCTCGAGCACCCCAAACCCAGTCTGAAGACGCTCATCGAGACCACCACTGCACGGCCAGCCGCGCTGGAACAAGCCGCGAAGCTCGCGGGCGTTGCTCCCCCTGCTGTCAAGCGCTTCGTCGAGCCTGTCCCCCGCCTACCGGTCTTGAAACTCGATCTCGGTACTGTGAACGCGATCACGCTGAGTGTTAATATCACGCGACAGAACCCTGCGCGCATGACCCAGGGCGGTATACGTATCTTCGCCCCGCGCTACCCCAAGCCCCAAACCGAAGGCTTCTTCGCCATCGTCTCGTACTCCAGCACCGACGAGATCATTGCACTCAAACGCGTCGGCTGGAGCGACCCCAATCGTAGTCAAGGTGGCTTTGGGCGCGGTGGTCGTGGTGGACGCGGCGGCAGACAAAACGGCGGTGGAAGTTCAAAACTCTCTGCTTCAGCCAAGGTGTCGTTGCCGCCTGGTGCACAGGGTAAGAAGGTTGATGTCGCTGTGTATAGCGATTCGTATCCGGGTATGATGTGGAAAATTAGCGGGATTGAGGTCCCTGAGGCGCCGGTTGTGGATGCTGCTGGGAAGGGGAAGGAGAAGGAGGGCGAGAGCCACAAGGGGAAGGATATTGCGCCTTCGGGTGTGGAGTATAAGTGGTGAGGTGTGGGAGTTGCGCAATGATTCTATCAAGACAAATGTGGCGTATCTCTGGTTCTAAACGTCAATAGTAATACATTCGTGATTGTAAGCCCAGTCAAACCCCCCTCTCCCCCCTTATTCACTCATTTCACTTCGTAAATCCATGGTCGGCACTCATCACGCAAGAACACCCACCATCTCCAACCTACCCATCCCTAGCTGCATCGCCCCGTCCGACCTCGAAGCAAACTCTTCCGCTCCAGCCATCGCATCCCCACACCCAAAGTCAAGCTGCGCATTCTCCGCCACAGCACTCTTGTTCCGCCCCTCAATCTCTTCAACCCGCTCGCGAAGCGCCGTATAATCCCTCAAATACTCCTTCGTATCCTCATGACTCTCGCCCTGTGCTTCCACCGCGCCCTCATACGCCGTCTGATAGAGACGTAGCGCCTCCTCAAACCGGCCCAGTTTCTCCAGTACGCCGCCGAGTACCCACGCGCTCTCCAGCGTATCGCGATGCTGCGGCCCAAGCACGCTAGTCCGGCGCTCCAAACAATGAGTACCCAGTGTTTCGGCCTCGTCGAGTTTCCCCGTCTTGCATAGAAGGGCGGCTAATTCGCTCATCGGCTGCAAGGCCTCGGTATTATCGGCGGCGTACTGCGCGTCGTCCAAGGTGAAAGAGCGACGGTACATGGTCTCTGCCTCTGCGTATTTTTGCTGTTCGTGGAGGGCGCGCGCGAGGTATAGGGCGGTTTTCTGTAGGCACCAGTGCTGGGGATGGGTGGGGGAGAGCGTTCGTTCTATCTCCGTCATGGCTTCGCGGAAGTAGGATTCTGCGTCTTTGTAGCGACCTTCCAGGAAGAGTTTTGCGCCGATCAGGTTCAGCTCGTTGCACCATTTGGAGTGATTTTCGTCTCCTATGCCCTTGCTGCTTGCTGTGTAGGCTTGCTTCCAAACAGTGTGGGCTTCGGCGAAGCGGTCTTGGCCGACGAGGAAGGTGCCGCGCTTGTCGAGGGCCTTTTGGGTGCTTGGGTGAGCGGGGCCGAGGGTGCGCAGGCGGGCGTCTAGGGCTTGTATGTGAAGGGGTTCGGCCTCGGAGGTGCGCTTTAAGAAGCGGAGGCTGTCGCCTAGGTGGTCCATTGTGTCCAGCGTGCTGGGATGATCGGGGCCCAGCGCGTGTTTCTTGAGCATGAGGACGCGACGATGTATCTTCTCTGCCTCGGCTTCTTCACCCATGTGGAAGAGAATGATGCCTCGTTCTGTATTGGCTTCTAGCGTTTCTGGAGCGCTTGGGCCGAGAGAAATTTCAAAGGCTTCGAATGCGATGCGGTACATCTTTTGTGCAGTGTCGAAGACGGTTCGCTGATAGTAATAGCTTGCTACTCTTGTTGTCACGGATGCCCAGTTTGAAAGGGACTGCGTTGAAGTGTCAGAGGGCCGGTAAGGAATCGCTGCGTAAGCGTGAGCGAGCAATGGTTCGCATTTGGCAAATTGACCTTTATCTGGGTTGGGGAAGTTGATGTTAAGAATCGAGATGAAGACGTGGCTCCATACATTCAACTCGTTGTACTTGACAAGCCATTTCTTTGTGATGAACTGTACCAGTGGATGCATTGAGAAATGGTGGCGATCATTGTTCAATTTGATGAGGCTAAAGTCTCTCAGCATGAGCATATCATCTTCGAAGTTAGACGGTAGCGACTTGACGTATAGAGGTTGCTTCTTTGTCCGGCGCATGCGCGGCCGACGTCTCCACCAAGTCTTGCGGGTTTTCGGCAACGGTGCATTCACTTCTTCCCCGTACTGTCCTTGGAGAAGCGCTTCCGGAATGTCCTGACGATCAAACAGACACATCAGCGACAGGAGCCTAGCAGCTGAGGGTGCTGTCTTGCGAACGTACTCAAATGTAACGCTCCATGTAGCGACGATGGAGTTGGACCTACGAGCATCACGACGCAGTTCCGGTGTGCTCTCGTCCAACAAGCTTGCGGATCGCTCATCACTGTCCCTCAACTCCTTCAAGTACTCGGTTATCGGTAACGATCTTCTGCTGATGTTTGCTGCAGCCTGGGATATGGGAAGTGGTATATAGCCGAGAGTTTCGATGAGTAACTTCATGTCACTTTCGCTGTGGTTTCCCTCCAAATGATTTTGTAACATGCTCCTAGCTTCGTCTTCAGTCATTGGTTCAACTGTAGTAATGTGCCGATAGTTACACGTGACTTGAAATGCAGCATCACGACTTCTTGATGTGACCAAGATAGATCCGTTCGACGATTGTGGTAGATAGTCGCGTAGCTGTTTCCCAACATCTGACCCTTCGCGGTTTGGCAAATAGTCCGTAAAGACAGTTTTGTCATCGGCATTGTCGATTATCAGCACCCAGGATCCATTTTGTTCGTTCCGTAGCCATTCGTAGACGAGTTTGAATATATCAGCATTCTTAGTGGTCGCTTCTGTGATTTGCACCGCTTTGGCGATTTCTCGGTAGCCTGCCTCGAACTTGGCACTGTTCTCGGCATCTACCCAGAACACCCACGTCTCAGGAGAGGTTTTCCGTACCCGAAACCCATATTCGATGGCGAGCAGAGATTTACTAATGAAAGTAAGATCAGCATGAATCACAGAACAGCCCGTAAGAAACAAAAACTGTGGTATGTGCTTACCCAATGCCGCCTCCACCGACAAGCGCTTGTCGTGAGCCGGGTCCTGTCTTCGACAAAATATCCGCGAGCACCGCCCGCTCAACGAAATCGGCGTCCTGTCCAAATGGGCAGACAAATGTTGGAGTAGGTGGGGGCCGCAACACTAGAGGCATCTGTCAGTTATGCAATCCAAGAAATGCGAGAGTTTGCTACATACCAACCAAGTCTCTGCTAGAACTGGATACAACACGCTCCAGTGTCAGCATAGCCACATACCCCCTTATCACCTCTTCCCTATGTTTGACCTCGCCATCGTACCGAAAACTTGTAACAGCTTTCGTCACGCGAGCGACAGTCGTCGCATTCTTTTTCGGCAATACTTTATCGATGATATCTTTCAAGGCTTTGATCTGCTCTTTGCAGTCTTCGATGATCGGGTTGAGCGCCTCCGTACTATCATCAGGTACCAACCCATCTTTTATAGCCAGATCAATACGTTTAAGAGAGAGTGTTAAGATCGGCAGTTCTTTTTGTAAAGACTGAAACCCTCGGGGTAATCCTTCTGCTGTAGATCGAAATTCGTTGATCCGTGTGAGTAACTCAGCAGTGATTTGGACGACGGCGAGGATGTTGGCTGCAAGACCAAATGCTGTAAGTGGATCCATAGAATATTTGGAGGATGCTGGCTCGAGTGGGATGGGTTCGAAATAAGGAGGCGGACAGTGACAACATAGGCATCGCGGGGCAACCTCTGTAACATGCCTGCCGGCGGCAAGATGCAGCATGTCTGTGGGCGGCGCAGCGAGGCTGATGCACACCATGTTGTTTGACAAGGGTCAAATTCAGTCGCAATTCGCTGCCGGCGCGTACGACGGAAGCGTGGGGAACATCTTGTGCGATACGCCGGGGACCAGTCCCGAAGTGGGGTAGGCGCGCACCAACCCTCGGGTGCAGCGCATAGCCGCATTCGATGGTCATCTGGCCCCTGTGGCTGAGGTAGGTTTCTGTGGCTTCGTCGATGGCGTATTTGGGTTTAGGAGGCGAGGGTTGGGTGCAGGGGGACGGGGGATCGGTGGTATCCGATGGTGTTTGATCAAGAGCGAGGTCGTGTGGTGGGAGAGCCATGCGGTGGTAGTGAAGTATCAATCTCTCTGCCGAGTTTCTTGATTTTGTAAGTGGTCAAAAAATTGGGATTGGCAGGCTGATAGTTGAGTGTGGTATTGAAAGTGGGAGAGGGTGTTTCGCGGCTATGAGAGAAAAGAAACCCCACTCCAAGTGACGGTGGATGTGGATGTACTTCGATGTGTCTAGTTCGATCCTTCTACGGGTCTGAAACTTCGACGCAGTGTTAGTACGGCATGGCACACGTTCGAAAGACTTGGTCGGAGATTGCTAGACACAGTTTGCTAGTTTAGAGTGAATTACACATGTTGTATGTGCACGTAATCTGTCTTGCAAGATGTAGCATGTGATGCAAAATATAAGTCTAGATTTGAAGACATTAACTATGTAGCGAGAGCTGCCCGTATCATAGAGATATACTCCATCTCCCCTTTAGCTTAGACTGCAATAGGTACCGGTGACTGGAAAACCAACATCCCCGGCGCCACGCTCGCCAACTCCAATGCATTGTTATCGATCACACAATACCCCTCTTCCCCAGCCCACAAAATCCGCTTGTTCTTCGCTGAGTTTAAGTCGTTCAGAAACTCAATCGTATCAGGATGCTCTGGGCCCAACTTCTTCTCAGTCCCAACATACGCTCGCTCATACAACAACGTCGCATCCTGGAAGCGTTCCTGCTGGGTCAAGATATCCGCCAGCGTGTGCACACCGATCAGCGTGTCCAAGTCATCGACTCCAAGCAGCTTCTCTCTCTCTTCGATCAGCCGGCGACCGACCTCTTCCGCTTCGACGAGTTTTCCTTGTTTTGAAAATACTTGGGCGAGGTTGTCCATGCTCCACAGTGCCTCTTCGCGCGCCTTGTTGTCGAGATCGGTAAACACGTCTACAACACGTTGGTATTGCTGTACCGCCTCATCGTAGTTGCCTTGTTTGTCCAACGCTTCTCCGAGGAAGTTGATGCTCTTGATGGTCTCAGCGTCGTGGAGCCCAGATCTTTGTTCCCTCGTCGTGACGACCTGCCGATGCAGCGCTTCAGCCTCGGTGAATTTTCCCTGTGTGTGTTGGAGTACCGCAAGCGCACGCATATTTTTGTACGTGTCGTCTGATTCTTCTCCGAAAGCGGCCTTGCGTATGTCAGACACTTGTTGGTGGAGCGCTTCGGCCTGTTCGTATCTTCCGTTGTTGACGCTACTGAATGCAAGACCACCGACCAGGGACTGCAACTCGATGTGTTCTGGCCCAAATAGGTTTCCTCGTCCTTCAATCACTCGCGCTTGCATCAGCTCGCCCTCTTGCCACTTTTTCTGTATGTTGAGAACCCCGCCTAGCCCATGAGCGCTGTCCAGAGTATCGATATGATCTGGGCCTAGCAGGACCTGTCGCCCTTCCCATGCTCTTCGAAGAAGTATTTCTGCTTCTGGATAATTTTTGAGTGTGACGAGAACAGAGCCGAGGTGATGCAAACATCGTAGTGTATTTTCGTTTCGTTCTCCCATGTGAGCTTCAAACGTAGCCAGTGCCGTACGCCACAGGTCCTCGGCTGTAGTATAGCTGCCAATGACACTTGGAAACTGTGCGACTCTTTGAATGAGGGGTGTCCACACTAACAGTGCAGGCCTATCGATAGGACGGTACTGCGCGGCTTGTTGGGCGTGCGGGAAAAGGTACTGACAGATCTTCCAATTGTCGTGTTCAGGTTGTGGGAAAAAGTCGCTCATTATTGCGACGTACCTTCGCTTCCATACCTCTAATTCATGATTCATTTCGAGCCATCTCCTGGTAGTGTACTGTACCAGACCATGCATGTTGAAGTGTTGCCCGTCCGCGTTTGTTTTGATCAATGAGAAATTCGTGATTGTGCGCCAGTCGGCGTCAAAATTACATTTTCTCTCTCTTCTGTGTTGTCTCTTTTCCATGGGTCGCTTGCGTTTATTCAGCCGCCGTCTCCGGATTCGTTTCCACCATGAGAGGCGGGGTTGAAGTGGGGCTACTGCTTCGGTAGCTTCCTCGCCGTATTGGTCGGTGAGAAGCGCTTCCGGAATCCCCTGCCGATCGAACAGGCACATCAGCGAAAGGAGTCTTGCGGCTGAAGGATGTGTCTCTCGAACGTACTGGAATGATAACTGCCAGGTTTTGACAATTGAATTTGACCTGTGAACACTTCTGTTGGATTCGTGTACACTCTCTTCCAACAATCTCTCCGTGTCTTGATTCGGTTTTGCAAGGCTCTCGAGATATTTGGGTATGGTGACACGCGGATAGTTCAGACTGATAAAAGCGGCAGCCTGAGATATAGCGAGCGGAATGTAGTCAAGGGCTTTGACAAGCTGTACAAAATCATCGTTGGCGTAAATATCGTTGGGCTTGAGTTTGCTTTTGAGTAACGTGATAGCCTCCACTTCATTCATCTCTTCGACATCGATATGATAGTTGAGATTTCCAGTGATCATCTGTGCTGCCTCTCTACTTCTCGAAGTAAGCAGTATCAGCCCGTTTTGCGAACGCGGTACGAATTCTCGGATTTGAGGGGCTGTCCAACTCCCATCATCAACCGTCGGAGGTTGTGCCTTTGGAGATGGCGCAGTCAGTACGTTTACGTCGTCCACGTTATCGAAGATCAGAACCCAGGGTCCGTTCGTCTCGTCATCAAGCCAATCGCGAACGAGAGTGAGCACATCCGCGCCTTTCTCGTCGCACCCTGGAAGGCATACCGCTTTTGCGATCTTCCGGTAATCTTCCTCAAACGAAGTTATCTTTTCAGCATGTACCCAAAACACCCATGTCTGGTGAGAAGCGTCTCTAGTTTGGTGTGCGTACTCGATCGCTATCTGAGATTTACTACAACAGGTATCAGTAACTGATTCTTGCTGAGCAATCAGCTGCTGCTGAAAAATAACCTACCCGACACCACCCATACCAACGAGTGCAGTAATAGATCCAGGCCTATTGCGTGAAGTGACTTGATCTAAAGCATCTCGGTGTACAAAGTCTTGATCTCGTCGGAAAGGACAAGTCGTTGTTGGGATTGGTGGAGCCTTTGCTACTGCGCGTTTTTAGTAACGCTTCTCGTCTGGAGTGAGATGTTACGAACAAGCTGAGTCTTTCGCAGCTGCTGAGATGATGTGATGTTGCGTCATTGTATCCATGTACATGCCAATAACTTTGTCCATCTCTTGAACCTCGCTATCGTATTTGACGCTCGCGACAGCCTTCCATTTTCTCGTCATTCCAGAATCGCCGATCTTAGGCAAAGCTCTATCAATTGTCGAATCCAGTTTCGCGATTTGTCTGGAGCACTCCTCCACGGCAGGCGCGAATGCCTCCCTCGTACTCTCGGCTATGGATCCATTTTCCATAATTTGCTTCGTTTTTCTTAACGCGTCAATTAAGATGGGTAATCGGCGGCTGATGTGCGTGAACGCTTTCGGGAGACCACCTGCTTCCTCGCGAAAGTCCTCAAGACGTTTGATGACTCTGACCCCTAAATCAACAACCTGAAGGATGCTGGCCACAACGGCAAGAGTCGCAAGTGCTTCCGCCATGGTATTACGGGTAAAGTTGAAGGATGGCTAGTTTGGATGTGATGGATCATGGGCAAGGGAACAGCAGCCTCGATATACTTGGCCATTGCGAGGTACGCTCCTCGGAGTATGTGACGGGCGGCTCGAGGATGCGAAGGTGCGGGAGGCGCAGTAGGGCTGAAACAGGTCATAACGCCTAATACGGGTAGCAGCCGGGGCAAATGTTAAAGCTATTCGCTGGCTGGCGCGTAAGACGGAAGCGCGAAGAACAACTCATGCGATACGCTGTGGGGTATGATTCTGATTCGACATACCACCTGCAGGTCGACGGAACAAAAGGCGACCTTAAACCAAGCGATGTCTATTCCTAGCTTACGTTGAAAGTGCGAAACATTGGATGCTGTATATATGACAGAACTTTGAGAGAAAGTTGATAGGTGATCAAATTAAGTGCTCGACTTTCTTCTGATGGGGCCGGTACGTAAAAGGAGATATCCGGCAGGCAAAATTGTTGTAAGCTCTGAGATGCACGACGCATATGTTGAATGATTTTACTGAAGACAGGCAAACACTTGATTTTAGGTGTAAATCCAAGGGAGCGGCCCGAGGACGGGACCCATGGCAAAAGCTACTCCCAAAGCGGAATAGGCGCAAGCTGGCCTCGGGTGACTTCCGTTTCAACACCTGTCAGGCCAGAACATCATTCATCATCCTGTCTCCATGTTGTGACAACTCAGTTTGTGGTATAACATTTCGGTTATTTTGTCCTTTGGAATAAACCGTCCGCCTGTGGGCTCGGCCGTCGTACATGCACTGCGCATTGCCACAAGAAACCAGCACAGCCTTCTCTTCCAGGATGTCACCGGGATTCAAAGCACTGCATGGTTAACCAAGAGGTGGTTCCACACTCGATTTAGGTGTGATTGGTCTATCAGGGATAGCTGAGACGCGACACTCGAATTCCTATGCCATCCTCATGCACTGCCTCTGGGCGATGAGTTGGCAGATTTCGGTTCTTCTCCTGGCTTCATAGCCCTCTACAGCGTTCAACACGATACTCCTCCAATATTCCATGGAGGAGTTGCCACCACGGACAGTTATCTTTCCAAGAGCCAGTATTTCTATTCAATAAGCTTGATGTAATTTCCATGTTTTGTGGGACGAGTGGAGCTAGCCTGCTGTGAGGCATGCACAAACCAAAAAAAGGAATTTGAAATACAGTAAACAACACTCGTACTGACCTGGCCAACTATCTTAGTGTCAGATCTGAGATTCTAAAAAGACCTGTCGTGATTGGGTAACGACCAGATGGCACAAGAATCAAGGCTAAAGAAATGTACGTCGACGAAGTCGATGCATGGCAGAATCCAAGTCATTAACCTGGCAGAGTTATCTTATTTCAAATGTCAACTCAAAGTGTCGTTGCTGAGACGTCGAAGCGTACTTTCCTGTCCTGGAGACGCGCCGAGGAGAGCCTTGACATCGAGCTTCTCGATAACCTCATCGTGAAACCGCATCTACCAATTCATAGCTGTTATTCGATGCTTAACCGGGTCATCGACGCAGCTCAGTACAGCCTGCGCATATGTTGGACTCATATGGTGTGAGAGCTTCCACTTGCAAAGCTCTTTCAAGATACTTTGCACTGAAGCTGAGTTCTGATGCCCGCTCCGAACTTGAATCTCCTTTACCATACTTGCTGAAGTCCTCCCAAGACACATATCAAGCAGGATGGTACCCGAGGCATAAATATCACGTTACATGGTAAACCTAATTATCGCGTTGCCTTGTCTATCAGGGTGTCTGTACATGTAACTTTCATAGCCGGCAGCCGTGCTGGAAGCATAGCCACTCGAGGTAAAAGGTCAAGCAAAAGACGGGACAGGAGACACACAAGACAGTTGTAACTGCATATGTGTTGACACAGGATGACAGGAAGTGCATCGAAGGAAAGTGACGAACACCCTTCACACACATAAAAGATTTTGTTCACTAGCTCACGAGAATGAGTTGTCCATCGAGTTCCATATCTGCCATTTCTTCTACTACCCCATCTCAGCTATTCACAGCGCAATTTCGTCCGAGTTCATAGAATCCCATCTTCCGCAACTGGAGGCGCTCAAGCGTTGTTGCACATATCCTGACCGCACCCATTCCTGGCCCAAACACCCGTGTTGAATGTGACACATTGTCCAAGTCCCGTAGCCCTACGACGGCTGCAGCTCGAATCTCCGCAGATGATCAACGGACCACAGGTGCTGCTGCAAGCTTGTTGGTCATTAGACACCCACAGTGCGGAGAAGGAACCGGCTGGACCACTAAGATATAGTTAGTTTAACATAGAAAACAAGGATGAGTAGAAAACGGGAGTGAAGTAAGAACGGGGATTAGACGGAGGACTAGAATGTGGTGGGATGATATACCCAGTGGTCACATATGAACCCGGATGTCTCTCGCCGATGTAGTTCTGACAGTTTGTGTCAGAGTAGAAGTTGACTTGTCCAGCTGAGGCGACAGAGAACATGCTGGCCGAGGCCGCGATGATAAGAGCAGAAAAGTGCATTGTTGTGTGGGTTTCAGTCTGTAGTCGCTGAGTAGAGGTTGGCTTGATGAATTACAAGACTGAGAGAAGAGACAGCCCTTTATATTTACTATGTCTCCCTCTACACGACCAAAGTTTTTCCCGTCAGGCTCTCCGCTCCTCTCGCTGTATAGATATATTGCCTCAGCTGATGAAGCCGTATAACTGCTCGGCATGGGAACGTATGCAACCCGCTAACCTTCTCAAGTCCATGATAATGAGTCGCGACTCCTCAGTGTAACGTGCGCATTGATACACCCTAAACCTTGTTCCGCATGTCAGTCAACATTTCCATAACCTTCTGGCATCCGATTGGAGAAATCCTCAACTCGGACCAGGAAAAGGTTCTTTGCCTTGCTGTCCAACATCCAAGTCCTTGTTCTGTAATTCTACAGCCCTGCTAGAGCAGAAAAGAGGCTTTACGAACTCCGTCGCATTGGTTCGTTTACCTTGTTATTCCACACTGATACGCTCAGTAAGCACTATCCGACCCATGAGCTGAGCCGCTTAACATGTGGGGCTGGTCGACATCAGGTCCCAATAGGGTGAAGGTAGCCTTGGTTGCATGATGAGTAAGAAAAGTTTATGCAGCTTCATTTCAAAGTAAAATCGGTGTTACAGATCGTGAATTGTTTATACTTTGTTTGACATGTTCGTCTATGACACATTAGTATTTGTAGTGTGTTGCGTGTGACTACGAAAGTATCAACCTACGGCGCTCTGATAATAAGGTAGAATGGAGGACTTACAAACACTTAGATTCATCGGTGCAACATGCTATCCTTGCAGACTAGCAGGATGAAATAGAAATGCGCATGCTTATAGAGCAACCCCGCTAGCCGGATCTGAGTCGATGTCTGCATATCATAAACGACAACTATATTGAGCATGAACAACATGCAACAGCACTCCAAAAGACGGTATCAACTCATGAGATGTTTTGAGTTCTTGCCGCCGAGCACAATTGTCTATGCTATAGTGGCGCTGGAGTCCTTTTGTAGTTTGGATATCATTGTCTCAGACATGGACAGTGATAATGTGACAGTAGTCGTATGATTAGTCTCTGCACCTAAATCAGGGTACACTTAGTTCAGATGTTGCTCACAAGGTAACTCGAGGGTTCTAGACTTGTCTTGCTACACTGTTCGCAAATGTAATCTGACAATGATGATTTTCGCTCCAGGTATTAGCCTCAGCAGTCTATTGTTTGACTTTCGACTGAATTAGACTGCACTGGACGCTTGAGGAAGTGCTGAATCATTTAAAAACGTAACTTGAACACTTGAACATAACTCAAAGATGGATTGCAAGCTCATCACACCCAAGTCACAAATCCGCCATGGTAGGGCGATTGACTTAATTGGGTGGCGAACAACACCTCAGGAGGGGTTCATGAGGAAACTATCGTAGAACGTAAAGTGACGTTTGTGGTGCGAGAAGAGGAGGTAGCATTCTAAACATGACGATTGATGACCTCACAATACGAACTAACTCATCTTCGCACCACATCACCTCCGTCACATCCGAAACTTCGCTTTATATTTCAGAAGGTCGCAGGCTCTACTTCTCGTTCACCAAATTACTCAACTTGATCAATCATACACACACCGCAGCACATATCCACCATGAGTGACCAGGAAGCACCCGTCACCGCATACCCGTCCACTACCATCAAATCGCAAGATCAGTCCGGTGGCCCCGGGCTTGACAAAAACATCGATCCCTACGCCGAATGGACACGTCTTGAGTTCTGGGACGACGACAACAAACCCTACCTCAAAGAATACGAAGGCCGAGACCTCCTCAAAGGCAAAGCGGCACTGATCACCGGCGGCGATTCGGGTATAGGGCGGTCAGTAGCAATTCTGTTTGCAAGAGAGGGTGCAGATGTGAGTATTGTATATCTGCCGGAAGAGGAGGAAGATGCCCAGTTCGTGAAGAAGAAGGTGGAGGAGGCGGGCCGGAAGGCGAATTTGATGCAGTTTGATCTGAAGGACAGGAAGAACTGCGAGAAGGCTGTTGAAGGCCACATGAAGGCGTTTGGAAAACTGAACGTACTTGTCAACAACGGTAAGTTGATGTAACGAATTCCTAGACGAGGTTCAATTACCAGCTTCTGGCTACTTTGAGTAGAAAAATTCTAATGCTAAAGCAGCTGCCATGCAAGAGATGCAAGAGGACATTTCTGAGATCGATCTCGACGTCACCGAGAAAACGTTCCAAACGAACATCATTTCTATGTTCGCCATGACAAAGTATGCGATCAAGCATATGAAGCGTGGCGACACGATCGTGAATAGCGCATCGGTTGCAGCATACATGAGCAACCCGGTGTGTCTCGACTACGCATCTACAAAAGGCGCGATCACTACCTTCACTCGAGGTTTAGCGCAGCAGCAGGCCAAGAATGGAATTAGAGTGAACGCCGTTGCACCAGGCATCATGTGAGTTGACACCTCTGCAGGTGCTTGTCTTCCAGAGCTGACGTTACACAAGCTGGACTCCTTTGCAACCAGCAACCAAGGGCAACCCACCGGATGCTATGAAGGCTTTGGGCGTTGGTGCTTGCCCACTGAACCGACCAGGTATGCCAATTGAGATGGCTACCTTGTATGTTACCCTGGCTTCGCCTCTCGGTTCTTACTGTACGGGCGAGACTCTGCATGGCTCAGGTGGTCTTGAGATGCAAGGATAGTTTGATGTATGGTTTGCTTCACAAAATGGGCCACATATATGCTTAAAAGGTTATGTAAATACACTTTGTTCATTGAGAAAGATATTCCTGATCCAGCTTTCGTTGACCATACGAACGACTTGGCTTTTAAGCTCCCCTTCGATAGCCGTTCTCGGTTGTTCTTCTACTTCGTATCGTCATGGCTAGTTTCCGTTGACTTCCGCATCATTGCATATGAAGATTCTTGGCATCCGTTCACTCAAAAATGGCCGAGATCCGGTGAGGTGACAAGTATCTACACCTGATGAAAATTTCGGCACGTTTCCTTCAGGCAGTGTCTTGGATACTTGGCGGACCGCTCGTCGTTGTCGTTTTGAGACTACTGGATCGCTCCTTCACCAACGATTGGTCGAGCCACCAGCAACCAAGACTTCGAAAATGCAAAACCCCACACCGAGAACGCGCTATCAGGTGTCAAAATTAGCGATACGATGCCTATCCTACCGAACATCTGTTAAACATCTTATCTTCATTACCTATCTCTGCCCAGGCCACGGCGTCGCTCAAATGATGGGAGCACCGAACATAGAAGATATCTCCGTATTGTCAGATCGCATTGAAAAGAGACAGCATCGCACTACCAGAATGCCGATCATCTTCACGCAACAGCAAATTTTACTTCCTCCATTGCGCGTCGGACGCACAAAACGACATCAGTCCTTTTAATGATGGAAGACGTCAAGCATACCAACCATGGCAGCATCGAGCAAGACCTGGGCATCGGCTCGGCATACATCCCAGACCTGAACGACAAGGCAATGGAAAAGCGTATCGTCCGCAAAATTGATCGATGGATTCTCCCGTTCATTTGCATATCGTACCTAATCAACTTTCTCGACCGAGTAAGCTGAACTCAACTGTGCAGTAACAGTCAGTGAACAACGCTGATACAACACAGGTCAATCTGGGAAACGCGCGAACACTCAACAACGATATCCCCGCGAACAACATCGTCAGAGAGCTTTCTCTCACTGGAAACCGCTTCAACATCGCTGTCGCTGTCTTCTTTGTGCCGTACGTGATCTTCGAAGCTCCCAGCAACTTCTTCATGAAGTTTTTCACTCCATCAGTTTGGATTGGCCGCATCATGATTAGTTGGGGCATCATCACCATCTGCACGGCGGCTGTTTCGAGTTTCGAAGGCCTTCTGGCTGTCCGGTTCTTCCTGGGTGTCGCCGAAGCTGGGTTCTTCCCGGGTGTTGTCATGTATCTGTGCTATTGGTACAAGCCGTCCGAGCGGGCGACGCGTTTGGCTATCTTTGCGGGATCAGTCGCTGTCGCGGGAGCATTCAGCGGTCTGCTCGCGACTGGTATATCATTCCTCAATGGGAAAGCTAATCTTGCGGGTTGGCAGTGGCTGTTCATCCTCACCGGTATTCCCGCGGTCCTTTTCGGCACTGTGGTATGGATTTGGATGCCAAACTATCCTCAAGACGCCAAGTTTCTTACCCCAGAAGAGCGCATTTTCGCAGTTGCTCGTATGGGACCCTTTGCTCCGAACAAGGAAGACAAGACTTTCGACGCAAAGGCGGCCAGGAAGACGCTTCTGGATCCGCTGTTCTGGATTTACGCAGTCAGCTACTTCTTCATGGTGAATAGTTTGAACGCTTTCAGTTACTTCTCGCCAACTATCGTCTCGAATCTCGGGTTCAAGGGCTACATTGCGCAACTACTTACCGTACCACCAAATGTGTTTGGTCTTATCATCATTCTCACCAACTGTTTACACTCCGACTACTCCAAGGAACGTATCCGCCATGCGCTCGCTGGTCTAGCTCTCGTCGGAACGGGCTACCTGATCCTGGCATTGGTGACCAACTGGATCGGTCGCTATGTTGCCGTGTTCCTGATCGCGTGTACGAATTCCGCTGTCATGCCATTTCTGGCGCATCGCACAGCGACGGTGTCTGGTTCCACAGCTACGGCACTAGCCACGGGTGTGACGATTGCGATCTCTAACTGTGGAGGTATCAGTGCGCCGTTCCTGTTCCCGTCGAGGACCGGCCCGAATTACGTAATGGGTAACGTACGTGCTTCAGTTCATCCCTCCACCCGGAAGCGAAAAGCAAAGCTGACGCATTCTAGTGGACTGTATTCGCTATGCTCTGCACGACTTTTCTGTTGACTATATATCTTGGTTTCAGGCTTGGGACGAGTTCTGAATATCGTGACCTTGCCCCTGGTACTGCAGATCAGCTAGCCAATAGCGTCAACGTAGAGGGCAAGGCGCCTGACGGCGAAAGAGATTCACGAGATTTCTCTGATTCATCGGCGCAGGATGGAAAGGGTGCTGCCAACAACAAGGTTTAGCTTGTGAAGTGAAAGCATTTGTCACTCGCGCGTATAGAAACAGCTCGCAAGAACAAACATTTCGGAAGAAAAGTTGTTGAATCACTATCAAGTTACTCATATATGTTAGTTCGCTCAAGCAGCCAAGATTACCTCCTTTATGCTGCGGTAGATTGCTTGGATGTCAATTCATCCACTGTACCACGGATGTTTGTCACTACTTTCTAGATTTCAACACCGCTCTCTCCCCATGCGTCCCTTCAATTACCGGCTCTGGGACCCGGTAACTGAAAACAGCCTCGAGAGCAAGGTCGCAATTATCCCGCCGATCAATACTCTGGAAAAATAGGGAAAAGGGATGCTGGTCTACTGGAGACGGTAGATGCCGACTATCGAATTACGGAAACTGGAGAACGCCGCAATTAAGCTTTAGACGAAACGTCAAAATAACCCAAACCATACTCTTGCGCATGAGAAGGATGCAAGATGCGTACTGTGGTGTCAGGCAAAAGTAGTGTACATAACCAGGGGGGTGCGGCACAGAGATTACAGTGCGCTAGGATAAATATAGATAATTCTTTACACACAATTATTATGCAAGCTTCTAGTATTTTGTGTACCCTCCTTCAGCATCTATTACTACCTAGTATCTATCTTTTATACTATTAATAAGATTCCTAAAAGTCTTCTTATATAAGGGCACTGTAAACAGGTAATTAAGATATAGAATAAATAGGTATTTATTAAGAGATTAGACAAATCCTTAAGGTATAAGCCCTAGGGATTTATAAGTACTATATACTAGAGCTTTAAGAGCCTTACGCCCTTAGCCTAAAGGTTTACTAAAGGTAGGCTAATAGGAGCTTAGATAGAAATACCTATAATAGAGCCTCTTCTCTTCTTATAGTTTATCCTAAACTACTAGAATTTTTAAAGTAAATAAATAGGTATTTAATTTATATAGTTACTTTAATTAAACTTTATAAAAATCTTCTATAAAAAGAAAATAGTTTAGAAGAAATTTAGTACTAAATTATTTAAGTTTTCTTTAGGCTAGTTCTTAGATCTAGCCTAAGGGCCTACTATACTAGGCCTATATCCTTATTACTAAGTCTTTATAACTTTAGTAAGTATAGCCTAATTTATTATAGGTAACTGCTAGGCCTTTATAAAGGGTCCTATTTACTGTTATTTCTAAATTATAATTCTTAGAGGTATAGTTATACTTACTATATATTATTATTAGTAACTTTATATTTATAAGTTTTACTTTATTAGGTACCTATTAACTATATAGATAGTTTGTTAGGCTCTATTACTTCTCTAGCCTTATTCTAAAGGCTTTATAATATATAATTATATAAAGTAAGAGCTTAATATAGAGTTTACTTATAATAATTTATTATTTACTTATTTTATTATTATAGTTAGCGTTTATACTAACTTATATAATTATTTATAGGCTAGTATTATTCTTATAAGGTATATTACTAGTAGCCTTCTTAAAGGTTTATTTTATATAGGTAGTACTTACTTTAATATTAGTACTTATTATACTCTTTATAAGGTTTATAACTATAGTTTTCTTATAAAGGTCTATTAGCTTTTTATAAGTAGTCTACTAGGTATAGTCCTAGTATCTTAGGTAGTATTTATTATTTATTTATATTATAATAACTTTTTATAGTTATTAGTATATGTAAAGTAAGGTAAAGTAGTATAGTATTATAGTAGTCTTAGAGGGCCTATATATATATACTAGATAGGTATAAAATACCTATATATTACCTTATAACTCTAATATTACTATAATAACCTTCTTTTTATTAACTTACTATACTTCTGCCTTTTTATATTAGTAATATGCCTCTATCTAAGTAGATTTACTAGCTCTTTACTAGTATAGCTTCTTAGCCTACCCTTACTTACTTTTAGTATATAGGCTATATTAACTTTCTTACTACTACTTTCTAAAAGTACCTTTTTAACAGTACTATTATATTATTTTTTAAGCTATAGTAGAGTAATAAGCTGTACTATAAATATAAGGCTAGTTAAGGTATCTATAGTAGTTATTCTAATACTAAGACTAGAAGTTATACTAAGGTAAGTTTCCTATTTTATTTTATTTATACCTTATCTATTACTAACTCTAATAGATCTTACCTAAGTTTTATTATATTATTAATATCTTTAACTACTACCTTAAGTATACCTTATATAAGACTTAGAAGTTTACTAGCTTTATATTTACTACTAACTCTAATACGCTCTTTATAGATAACTAGGTATAAGCTAACTAAGTAAATACTTATACCTATACTAAGGCTTATTATAAGAATTTCCTTAAGTATAATTATACTAAGTGCTATACTATTACTAATAGTAGTTTCTCTACTATAGCTTTTAGTTAGGCTTATTAAGTTTCTACTTAGTATAACTTAAAGTAATATAAGGTTAGTTTACTATTATTCTAGTATCTTTCTATTACTAATCTATTCTAGTTAGGTTTTAGTACTACTAGCCTATATTATTCTAATAATATTATTATTTATGCTTCTATAAAGGCTTACTTTCTATATAATAGTACTTTTAAGAATATTAACTAGCGCTTTTACTACTATAGTACTAATATTTCTAATACTAAAAAAAAGAAAATTCTATTCTTACTATTACTCTAGAAGTATCTTTATTTAGTAGCTCTTTATACTCTTAGTTAAAAGGTAGCTAGTAGTGCTTCTAGAAAGGCTTTTACTACTAGCTTTTCTAGTTTTTTAATAGCTAAGTATAACTTTAGTAGTATTAGTTTTAACTTTATAGTATTTTAATAGGTAACTATAAAGGTTCTTTTAATAGATATATATTTTAGTTCCTTTAGATAGTATAAAGAATAATAATTATAATTTTCTATCTTTACTAAGGCCTATATTATTTTATACTAGTTTATAATTTTAGTTTTAAAGGTAATTACTATACTATAGCTCTAGCTTTCTTTTCTTTCTTTTTTTTAGATATTCTTTCTAGGACGTTCTTATTTCTGCCTTAGTAGATTATTAACTTCTAAATCTAGTAGAGCCTTTACCTTCTACCTATATCTTTTAAGTAGCCTATAGGCACTTTAAGATATATCTTATAGGTCTACTAGATAGTCTTAAAGAATCTTATTATAGTAATTAAGATTCTTAAGTAGTTTTTAGGTAGTATTCTTATTAGACTAACCTAGCTACTTTACTCTATACTTCTACTCTTAGGTAGTAGTATTATAGTATTCTATAATTTCTTTAACTTTATATTTATCTTTAGGTAAGGTATTTTTTAGGAGTTATATAGGCCCTAGCTAAAAGCCCTTCTTAGTAAGGAGTTTCTACTATAGTTTAAGTAATAATATATTAAATACTAGATATATATACTCTATAGAAAGTAGTAGTACTAGTTTATAAGCTAATTTTCTAATACGCTTTATAATTATAAAAGGCTTAAAGTACCTAGTATTAAATTTCTTTAAAGGCTGCCTAGTAGTAATATTTTTTACTTAAAGAAGTACCTACTTACTTTTAATATAGTATTTTTTAGAGTACTTAGTATTATACTATTTTATTATACCTTTCTAGGTATACTTAAGGCTTTACTTTACTCTTTTTTATATTTCTTACTATTAAGTAAGTCTTTTAGTAACTTACTAGCAGAGCTCTAGTACCTTTATATCCTTATTTTAGACTTTAGAAGGTTACCTTAACTAGTACTTATCTAAAATTCTATTAAAGCCTTTTAAGTTTAACCTAAATATTACCTTAATAAGGTATTCTCTATATATAGAGTATACTTTAGAGTTATATATATATTTAGTATATAGTAATAATAGGACCTAGTTATCCTACTTATAGTTTATATAAATATATAGGTATATTTTAAGTTCCTAGTTTAGCCTTTTAGTCTAACTATTAGTCTAGGGGTAGAATACTATACTTAGGTAATAGTTAATTTTAAGGTAGTAGTATATATCTAACTAAAATTAACTAGTAAATACTAAGCTATAATTTAATAGTAGAGTATCTAGAGGTTCTTATTTTAAAAATACTTATTTAAGGAGTAGTTTAGCTACCCTTTAGAATAAAATTATTTTAGTTATAGAGAGGTAGTAAATATACTTACTAAACCTATCTACTAATACTAGAATTAAATTATATATATTCCCTAGGTTATCTTTTAACTTAGGTAAGTTAGTAATAAAGTCTAA